CAAATCCCATTTTTCGAATCCGCATATATTTCTCATACAAAAAAATTAACTAGCAGTACGACTAGGACATCGGTTTATTTTATGCCCTTCAGCACCACAACCACTGCAGCGGAATTGACGGCGTACGATTGGTTGAGAAGCTGGGAGCTCCGGCTCTGCCGGAGCAGTAACAACAGCTTGAGATGCCTCAACCTGACCTTGTACGAGCGCTTGAGCTTCTTCTCTAGTAATCCCTTGCTCAATAGATATCTGCTTATTAGACCTTTGGCGCTTTTGCTTCTCTTTTTCATTTGCAGCTCGTAAATCGCCAACTTCTTTCCGTGCAAGCAAATAGTCATTTCTAGCCGTTTCATAAGCCTTTGACATCCGTGAAAGAATCTGATCAAGGCCTTCAAATGGGTTTTCTGTATGCTTATTTATACGCTTCTTTATTGTAGTTGACTGGCGTACAAATTGGCGTACAAATTGGCGTGTATTTTGTGGTGTTTGTAAGCAAGATGATTGTGTATTACTTGATCGACTTGGAGGGGGGGTTGGTGTTTTTAATTGAATATCAAGCTGTTGAATAACTCGATCCGGATTGAAAGGCACCAATCCGGTGGCTGTGAAGCTATTCCGAATAGTTTGAGCTTTATATGCCATTGTACGAGCCTGTGGAAATGCCGTTAAAAAGTCGATTTTGTTGATATGGTTGAATCCAAGCCTCATTCGCTGTTCAACAAGCTGCCCATATTGTTGCTTTAAAACCGCAAAACAGCCAACATCAAGAGATTGTAAGAGATGCGAAGAATGAGGTGGCATGCAGATTAGAATAATATTATTCTCGGTGCACGTACGGTCAAATTCTGCAGTCAAATGACTTCCATGACCATCAAGAATTAACATTCGATATCTTCCCATTGTGCGATCATTGATATAAGGAGTAAAATGGGTTTTAAGCCATTCTAACCCTATCTGATCTGTAGTCCAACCATTATCGCTAATATTGATTCTCCAATCGCTAGGGAGCTCATCAAACCAGCCTAATCGTACGTTTTTCTTTGCTTTAAAAATAACGTACGAAGGCAGAGCCCAACCGGTTGAATTTGTTGCTTCAATTGCAGTCACCCATTCTCGATTTCCGGGCTATAAAAGCTTTGGCCGAGCATATCAATCGCTTCCGGTAATAACCTTTGCAGTTGCACAAAGTCCCATAGCAAAGCCAGTCTCATCAAAATTGTAGATATCTTCCGGAAGGATTCCATACTGAGATATAGCATCTCGTACGCGGTCAAAGTGCTCTTGAATTATCTTTGGATCTTCGCATTTGGCACGCTCGTAGTTGTATCTTCGTGAGAATTTTGAATCGATCTCTGGGCGACGTTTAACAAGGTTATATACCCATTTTTCTCCAACCTGTTGATTTCCAGATTGTGATAAAAGATAATTAGCCATTTCTCGTACAAGAGAATGCCGGGGGGGTAATCCACGTCGATCTAAATCAAGCACCCATTTGACAAGTGATTCCTCCTCAAATTGAGTCAATTTATGTTGGGCTTTTGACCAACTAGACCAAAAAGCTGCGCGCATACTAGATGATCTAGTATGGATGTAAATAGCTGGCAAAGGTGATATGTGATGTGAGGTGATATTCCCAACAATTTATGGTTGTTGGCGCGCTTTTCGGCCTTATATTCAATGCCTTTCAGTCGATCTCGGAGAGTCGTACGAGGAATATCATAAATCCGTGTAACTTCACGAATATTGGAGATTCTTCCATTTTTCAAATCGGAAACAGCTAACTGAATTCTTCCCTCAATCTGAGCGCTTTTTGAAGGGTCTTTTTTGCGAATCGGTGGCATTTTTACGCGTTGAAATATGGTAAATCAATATAGAGAGTTATTTTTCGGGGAGGTGGGCGGGTTGCTTACATGGGCGGGTGGCTTACCGATTACGTTAAGTTAACCCCTCTCATTTTAGGTAAGCAACGCAGTCCTAACCCTAACCCTACGGCCAACAATAAGCACGAAGATATATGCATGAAATCATTAAAACGTCAAAAATGGTTAGTAGCAATGATCGCCTACGTCGATGTTGGGTACTAGTATTGTGATTGGTACAATCATAGATGTATAGTCTAGTTCTGTGCCTAGGTAGGTACCCAGGTATTTATACATCTCAATCGCCCTCCCACATCTCTTTCCTTTTTATTCAATCCTGCATTGTTCCATTTCCATTACCGAAAAACAAGTATACAGAACTTACTCTAATATCCTAGTAAGAGGAAACGATCAAAATCGAAACGGAGGATACAATGGCTACCAAGGCTGATCGCGTTATTGTGGCGTACGTCTCTACCTAGACTGCAGTGCTTCGTCCACCGTAGTCAACTGCTATGATGCGCCCAAATGGGTTTATAATGCTTGTATTTACTACCAGATTCAACGGTGCAATCGAAACTCATATTTTCAACGAATCTATCGACCCTCCGCGCGCCTTTGCCTTTGAAGTCATATTCTATCCGCATCTTTGGCCGGCTACTCTACTCACCAAAAAGCCACCAATGCACTTCCATCCATTTCAGAAGGAATATATACAGGTGCTAGCGGGCCGTCTCTGTGTCGAGCAGAGCGGCCAAGTTCGTACCCTGACCCCCACTGACGGCGAGGTCTGCATCAAACCCTGGGTCAATCACCGCTTGTATCCATCGGATGATGATCTACTGCGCGCCGCGGAAGATGGTAGAGGAGATCCAGTCCGATTTTTGATAGCGGGACAAGAAACGAATAAAGTCTTTAGGCTGGATACGATATTCTTCGAGAATTGGTATGGTTATCAGGATGAAATCCTGACAGAGAAACAGCTCGACTTGGTTCAGGTTTTGACGGTGCGGTGCTTTTCTTCCTTCTCCTCTCTTAACTTCGTTACTCTCTTGATTTTCTAGACCTAAGCCACTTAAGTGAGGAGCTACTAATTGCATGGTTAGATGTTCGACGCTGGAGGCTCCTATCTCTCCTTACCATGGTGGATCCCCTTTGGACGTACTTTGTCCATGTCGATAGGGATAGTGGTAGGTCGCTGGATCGGCCCTCTCCTAGGGTATCAGCCGTACTATCCTAAATGGACCTCGGACTGGGAGTTGGCGTGCGAGAAGATGAGGCAAAGTTTTTTTCAGCGTCGATTTGCCGAGAGGAAAGATACCTAATCTTCTCTCGTTCTCTATCTTCTACTGCTTGGGCAGCATACTGTTCCTACTGCGTTCTAAAAGAGTAGTTCTGATGAAATGTGTCCCTGGTTGTTATTCCTCATTGAATATTCTACCTTGAGAGGACCAGTTCCAATCGTCACATTACCAATAGATGTACAAAGGGGGAAAATATCAAATAGCAACAACAGTATCATTTGGACCTAACCCCGTCCATTGTAAGGTCTTGACCCACAGAGCCTCTTGTTTTCTCTCATCCTTACTATCCACTGAGCTCTCATCCTTCTTTCGAAGAGTATAATATCCTTCTGCATGTAAATGGTCTTTCCCAACTGCCAGTTCAATAACGTCCACACCGGCATCCTTTGCACTGCGCATAGTTGGATCCACCATCATCCGTAACAGCGGGCCCAGGGGCTTGATCACTACCCGCGACATGATCCGAAGGCTGGTGGGGGTGTTCGACCGTAATGCCCGCGAGTCACTCAGGTTGCCAGGATTGATTGCGATAGCGGTGATGCCGTTCTTCAGCTGAGAACTGCTGTTCTGGGGACCTGCGTCTGTCGTGAAATCGCCGTGCAGGCGACGATTGAGCGCGTACATCCACGCCACAATTGCCAGCTTAGAGTTCGCGTACCGTTGAAATCCGTAGCCCAGGGGATCGTTCTTTGCCTTTGTGTTTTTTGAAACATTCTCCGGATGAACGAGAGAATCAAAGCCATCATCGTCTTTCACCTCTGGTAAAGCAGGGGGATACTTTTCTAGCGAATTTTTACCTGGATAATGCGCGTCACTAGCAAAAACCACGATTCGTGCATTAGAGGAACAGGAGCCCAGTAGACGCAGTATGAGAGCTGCATGGGCTAGATGATTAACCTGGAAAGTTTTCTCAAATCCATCGTTGCTGAGTTCAGGTGGCCCGGTCAGATTCCAGTAGAAAGCGTTGCAAATGATGCTACTCAGAGGAGGAACAGTGCCAGAGGCAATCTCAGCAGCCAGCGAAATGGCAAAGCTGTGGACAGCGGAGAGGTCGGCTAGGTCAAGAGACCGAACAGAGACACGGTCCTTGAAAGGGGCGGTGATTTCTAGTAGGCGCCGAGTATCCTGATCTGAGGCAGAGGGGTTACGCACCGTCAAAATGGCGGTTATGTCCGAATAGGTGGAGAGAAGGTGTTGGATGGCTGGGATGGCAAGAGAGCCGTTTGCGCCCGTTAGCAGCACGGAGCTGGTCATGATTTCTGTAAATTGCTGGAGGGCTCTGTTTTGTCTTCCTTCCGAAGTTCAAAAGCTGTCAGTCAAGTTAAAACACAAACATTAATACATACTACTGGTTATACTAAACCATCGAAGATGTCCGTTGGAACAGGGCAAAAGGACTGACTGTCCAGCTACATGTTACATTGCATCGAATCGAAGCTGCAATAAATGATAAGTTGACTGTAGACTTACTCCCTGGTCATTTACAGGGATTGGTGGGACAATACAGGGGTACTGCCGCCTTTGATTCATGTGAACAAAGAAGCAATCAACGAGATGAGGGGTACTTGCAGCAAGTCATGGGTAGTTCAACCAAAAATGAGATGTTCTTCCTCAATGGTCTCTTTTCGTCGTCCGAGTCATCTGAGCTTGATCCAATCAGGTTGAATAAGCGAACCGGGTTATCCACCGAATGACTGTACCCTGTAGGAGGAAAATACATCGGCAGTCTAGAACGAAGTTGATAATAAACAATCTGTAAGGTATAATACGATGATGAATGATTCTTTAATCAGCCTGACGCACTGGTATTACCATATGTTACGTACTAATGTATGTTATGTGCTTGACGCACACCATACCCGCCGATGGAATCAAGTGCGTCGATTGCTCTTGGATCAACACCGATTCGGTCACTATCTTTGCATTTATTAATTCATGGTTTTACAGTGGTTGCTGACGTTGTATGCAATAGCTTGCGTCGCGAGGGTATTAATGAGATTTACTGTCCATATGTTCAATATCCACCACACCTATGTACAATATCTGGAAGTATCTCCTATCCCTGATAATGCTTAGGTGAGTTATAACAACGCACAGTCAGGGATTTCTGCAATCAGCCGGCGACTATGTAAAATTAGAAAGATTGGGATTGGCCATGCATAGCCCAAGCCCCCGTTCAAGAAATGTTGGTCTAGGGCATTCTTTACTGCTGCTGGCAGTCGTTTATGCTGGATCTCATTAACGCTACATACAGGTAGGCCTAATGTAACTGAATATGCAAGTAGGTACCTGCATGCATATTTGGGGGCTATAAATTACCTACGTTATTTGTCTGCCAATGCCCCTTGCGATCTGTCGCTGCATCAAACTCTTCCTGTCTGCAGTATACTTGGGTGGCCCTGCATGGTGCTACTAATATGGTTACATACCGGGCAGTATTTGATTTGCCTCGTACGTATTGAGCAGATCAAGGTCTAGCAACCGCCAGAAACCAGTAGTCCTGTAGCAAAAGAATGCCTAGTTTATTCTCCACAGGAACTTCAAGAATATCGGGCATATCGAGATTTAAACACGCCCAAAGTGTATTTAATAGATGAGCTTCTGGGAACCGGTTGGAAATATAAGTGCAAACAATTAGAACCATCGTGAACATTGCGCCTCAAATTTGAGCATCATTTGTCTTCTAACCATTAGTAGAATATTGTTTCAATAGACTCATCACTAGAAGATCCAGGATTCATGGCAAATTCAAGAGGTAGTATTCAGGCCAGATTAGCCTGGTTGCTCCAGTTCTTTTGTTTAATATTCATTTCAACAACGGCGCAAGCCGTATCACTGGATCTACACGTCCTCAGTGCCTGCCAGCAATTTAAATCACTGTACGGCAACCTCACCTTCCTCGCCAACCAGACTCAATATACAGCTCTTGCAGATGAGAACTGGTCACAAACAGCTTGGGCAGATCCCTCCTGCATCTTGCAACCGGCGAATACGCCCCAAGTGCAAAACATTCTCCGTCTTTTAACAGCGCAACAGATACCCTTTGCGATTCGCTCAGGTGGACATTTGCCCTCGCCGCTGGGCGCCAATATCAATCGTGGGGTGCTGATTGACCTCTCCTTGTTGAAAACGCTGGATTATGATGCAGCCAATGAGGTTGTGTCTATCGGGAGTGGACTACGCTGGCAGGCAGTGTATGAGGGATTGGCACCGTACGAACGAACCGCCGTGGGAGGCCGTCTTCTAGACGTGGGCGTAGGAGGTCTGTTGCTGGGCAGTATGTGCATTTCTCTGTGTGTGATGGGTGATGTATAAATACGTATCTAAAGCTCCATATAGGTGGACTCTCATATCTCTCCGACCTCTATGGCCTGGCTTGTGACAATGTCGTGAATTTCGAAGTAGTGCTTGCTAGCGGCGAGATGGTCAATGCCAATGCCACGTCAAACTCGGACCTGTTTTGGGCCTTGAAAGGGGGTGCTAATAACTTCGGTAAATTGACATACCGTTGAGACTTTTGAGGAGCCTTACAATTGACTTGAAATAGGTATTGTCACTACCTTCACGGTACGCACCTATCCTATCGGCAATGTCTGGGGCGGCATAAAAGCGTATGATCTTGAATATCTTCCTGACGTACTGGCCGCTCTCAACACCTACCAATCGGTCGAAAATAAAGACCCGTACGCCAACCTAATGGTACAAGCAGCCACTACAAACAGCAGCATCGGAGTGTTGCTAAATCTTGTGTACTTAAAACCTATGGCAAATCCCGCTGCCTTCGACCCCTTTTATGGAATCCCTACACTAGAAGACACGACTGTCATTCAGTCTTTTGTTGATTTCATGTCGGAGGCTGTCATGCCTGATATACCACGGTATAACCCCCTCTCATTCTTGTAAAGGCATTTAACTATCAAGGAGCACAAATAAACAACTGAAGCGAGTAACAGTGCTGACATTCGCAGATGGGATTGGCACGCAACGAGTTTTAAACCAACGGCATCCCTCTACTCCCAAATTGCCGACATAGTAACCACTGCCCCAGAGATCAACGAGCTCATATCCGTCAATACCGCCACTCTAGTCGTCGGCATACAACCCATATCCACCAGTCTCATAGCTGCAGGTCACGCGGCAGGCAGCAACGCTCTCGGCCTAGAGGCAGTCAACCAGACATGGCTGGTGCTGGATATTGGTTGGGAGAAGTCGACAGACGATACAAAGGCGCACAATTTGACGAGATCGCTAAAGAACCGTATTGAAAAGGCGTCCGTGGACGCTGGGCAGTATGTAGAGTATATCTTCATGAATGACGCGAGCTGGGACCAGGAAGTTATTGCGCATTATGGTGATGAGAGTGTTGACCGATTGAAGGCCGTAAGGGATAAATATGACTCTACTGAGATATTTCAAAGATTGGTGAAGGGGGGATTTAAGTTGGGGTAGCGGACAGATATTCAATTCACCTATTTTACGTCGTTTTTCGTCGAATCGGAACGGTGGTGTTGCTGTCTTTGCAAGGCCAAGCTGTGGATATTTTCAATAGATGATCTTAGGTGTGGAAGAGTACACTCACCACCATGTACGTACTACCAATTTCTAATTATCTTCGCAAAAAGAACCTTATACTGCATAGACAAGATATAAAGGCAGTCCTGGCTCTCACATACATAGTATATGCACAGCCAATAACAGCCGACTCGGCGTTAGGACTAAAATTCATATACCTATGTCGTGCAACAGATGCATTAATCATTCAGACTGAATGCTTCCATAGTGTTCTCGACATACCTTAGTTGGTTACGTAGCAGCATTCCATATCGAAAATGAAGTCTTGTATCCGTAGCACGGCTCGGTAAAGGAACCAGAATGCAAATCGCCAACGAGACCTACGCATCGAACGGCAAAATTGTTGGTTTATGACTTATTTCCATAGAAACCATTTGAATAGTTTGAATTGTTAATGAGTAGCATCAGCGTAGACTAATATTTTATTGAAATTTTATATTAACCTTGAAATACTCAATATAAGATTCAATTATCATGGACAGAATATTCATACATATAAGTCAGATTATCACTTGTTTAGAGCATGCACTAGGAATCTACTTTCGTCCATTATCCTGCAATTCAACATAGTCACTCTGCAGAAACACCTCCTCATCCCCGGACCCCTTCAGCAGGCCCTTCGAACTTTGCCGGCCCCGAAAACTCACCGATCGCGCTGAAGAAGACACTTGCTTACTACGCTGGGCGTAATAGGCAGTCAACTGTTGTGCCCGCTCCACGAACAAATGACGCAGTGCAGGTATTGAAGTTCCAATCAAAGCTACACACGGTTCGACCTGGGAAGGGATCCAGAACGTTTCGCCGTAACGGTCGAATTGCGGAGGTGTGATCCGGCTCATTTCGTATTGCAGCCCTAGAGACTGTTAATACTCAAATACAGATGCATGGCTATAGTGAAGTATAATTTTGATTCACTATATCTTCGGGCGAAGGGCCCTTACAACCTACATTTTGGGTTGATCTCATCAATGCGCTTCATTTGTAGGACAAAAATGGCTAGTTTGTACCCTGCAACTGCACTGGCACTATTTTGTGCCGTTCGTCTCATCAGCTATCCATCATATTTGGATCTGAATAGGGATCGGGGAGGAGAATATAGAAGAGACTCACCCAGCTCCCAACATAAAAATAACAACAATTCCCAGCCGTTGCCGCAACGGCAAGTGCAACTTCATGATTGGGTAGATTGGGATGAAGAGTAATATACCATCAAAAGCCATGCTACAGCTGTAGAGAGCCACACTCATGTAGTAATAGTACCAGTCATTGCAGTACTCGTGGCGCTTGAGCACGGCAGTCCATGCTTTATTGATCGGGTGGCAGATAAAACCTGGCATGATGGAGAAGACTACCAGGTAGATGCCCTGAAGAATTAAGAGAATCCAAATGGCGAATTTCATGTAGGGTGTCTGCGCAGCAAAGGTGCGACGGTAGAGAAGGAGGATGGAGGTACGGATGCTAGCTGTCATGGCGGGATAGATCCAAGAAGAGCCGACAATTCCCTTTTTTTCCCCCACGATTAGTCGGTTGATATTTTTGTAGTTATGCAAAGCATCTTGGATAGGAAGAAGGTGGATGTTGTTGCCTACCTGATACCACACTGAGAATTCTCCGAGAGTAATCTCCCATAGTGGTTTGCCAACTCCTGCGTGCAGGTTCACGTAAGCGGCCATTGCTGTCCAGCCAATGTAGAATAGCTAGTAGCTTTGTTAGCCAGTCTATGCGCACTTATTGACAGATAGGGATCATTCACCAAACCCGGGATGATAACATAATCGTCGGCCCCAAAAGTTCGTGCATGTATACGTTGTGCTAGTCGGCTTATTACCACGAGACTGGCAACGATTCCTAGAACAATGCAAGTAATGGCAATTGAGTAGACCTTATGTGAGTCGTCAATTGTGATCGGGGGTGGAATGAGGGAGACCGCTGTTGTCGCGGCTGTGCTGGAAGTGGTCGCCATTTGCCGATTCTGAAAGCAATGGGAAGAAAAGATAAAAGTGAATGGCCGTGATACTGATCAAGATTTTTATGAAGATGATGAGGATGAAATATGCACCTATAATACTTAATGGTAACCTCGTATAGTATGGAAAGAGCAAAGTTGGCTAGGTGTTTAACCAAGAAGAGCCAAATGTTGAATTTCGTCTTTCCCATTACAACAAGACCTTTAGACTGCCCCAATACGTACCTAAATAAGCAAATCTATGGATGGTCAGAATAATTTTATTTTTAGGCCTCCAGTGGGATTCGCCGCATGCATTCCCATTTAATGCCCGGATAAGACTGCCGTTTTCTCGGGGTAAAAAAAGATTAGAAGTAAGTGAACTGTTTGTTTTTTGGTATTCTTCTCAGCATGATAGTAGCCGGAGGACATGTATAGCCGACCTACGAAACTGGAGTCAGCTGTCGCATCTGAGCATTAAGAGTGTGAACCGTGGTACTTTCTTCTGTAGTAGCCAGTTCCGATGGAAATGCCAATCAGCATTCCTCAGAATCCCCCGCTGAATGGTAATTAGAATACTTGTTTTCGAATACTGACCAGGATCATTTTCATGCACGTTGATTACTCGGACAGCACGGAATCATCTGCAATCCGACACAAGCTGTGGCGCTGCACAATGTCATGTAACTAACGTGCGTATCGTCCAGGATTATCATATGAGTATGAAGCAAGAATTTCCGGCCTTAACACGGTAGATGACCAAATGCTCGAAGTAATAATTACAGGGGGGGTTATATTATACATGAACCTGATAAAAAACAGTGGTATTTCTACCATTGATCAAGTGCTGTAATTTTGGGGAACAAATATCGTCCAGTATTAAGCAGATCATTTAATAGCCGGCGAGTATATGATCCATGTTTAGGTGAGTATTTGTAAAATAGTTTTTTCTAATTGGAGTGGAGAGATGTCTAATGCAAGAAAGAAGACAACAGGGATAGGTAGATGCAACATTATGCGCATGGCATACATTAGGGCAAATGGAAAGAAAAAGCAAAAGTACGCGTAAATAATGACCGAACTTCCAATATAAATTCGCCCCCCTCGTGCATGATGCAGGGTTAGGCACGAAGAGAGGAAGACTCGATGAGTCTCAAAAACAGTCACTCCTCTTCGTAGGCTACTGTTAACAATGCTCATATCCAGATCTTCTCAATCCTGCCATGTTTCCAACAAAGGTGCCCTACCTACATTAAATACTCGCCCAACAATCCAGCAAAAATTGCGCCACCAGCCAACCAGAATGCTTTGCTGAACCACCACCAGCAACTCTGACTATCCCGTAGTTCGACCAGGGCAATCATCGCACCAAGGGCTCCAATAGCGCCACCTACCCCAACGAGGTAAAACACTGCTCCGAAGTGACTGCGCTGACCACAGCTGACAAGTAGACTAGCCATGAGCGCTAAAAGCGGCCACAGTACAAACTTCGTTCTAGTCTGAAAAAGAACTGCTAAACTCTTGATCCCTACCCGGAGGTCCGCCTGCAGATCTTGATGCGCGTAGATTGTGTCGTAGATAACCGTCCACACCACTCCGGCCAGAAAAAGTGCCATAACACTCGGTTCTAGCGTGATGTAGAAAAAGGGGAAGCTAAGTCTTTCCTGAGCCCAATCCAGTGACCAGAATCCAGCCGGAACTGATATGGTGAATGCCCGAACACCCAGCATTAATTCCCCCATGATCGTACCCCATGCCAAACACAACCCTAAGACGAATTGGGAAAAGTGAGTGTGTCGTTTAGCCCAAGGGTAATATATGGTTGCAAGGATGTTGGGCAATGCGTAGAGGAAACCTTGCTGGAAGCCACCCGGTAGATATGACAGGAACCAGGTTGCTCCCATGGCTTGAGTGACGGTAAACAAGAACGCCGCGCGCGGGGAGATAGCCCCGCGAGGAATCGGACGCTTGTAGGTGCGCTCAACTTTCGCGTCTAGCTCAGCATCGATCAGGTCATTCCAAGTGTGCGCGGCATTTGAGAAGAAGAAGCTGCCGACGAACATTATCGTGCTGGCGTAGAGGAGCGTGGCAGAAGGTGCTCCGGTTCGAATAGCCGCATGCAGTATGCCAAAGGCATGCGGGAAGTATATGAGAAACAAGCCAGCCGGAGGGAAGAGACGGGCAAGCTGGATGTACGGGATCCATGAGTCTGGCAGATTGGATAACGCCGTGGGCTTGTGGTTGCCTCCGTATTGGTCTACCCCTGACCCGTTGGCTGTCATGGAACGGGCCACCCTGGAAGTTTGGGATCCAGTGTTTGTAGTTTCCATCAAGGATGAGGCATGAAAATCTGTGGTCGCGGCCATTTTAGAAAACTTGGGCCTTGCTTAGCTTTCCAAGCTGGCAAGGATACTCGTGGGTTTCTCACGGGCTATGAAATCCACCAACGAAGTGTCAAATTAGTTTAAATCAGATTTGGGGGCTAGTTGTAAAGACAGAAAAAAAAGCAGTCTCGAGCATCGTGATGTTAGCTATTCGTGGTCTTTAAGTAATCAGAGCCGAGCCGGTTGATATTAGGGTCCTAGTAGTGCTGACCCATGTCATCAACAGCGTGGCATGGCTTTTTCTTTGGTCACTGTTACCTACATCACCAACATGGCTACTCTACTATAAGTAGATGCATGTCGGTATCGATGTAGCATCATGATAATGTAAGGCCACACTCTCTCCCTACGCATTCTCTACCTCCCTGCTCTCTACCTGCTCTGTTCTGTCGTTCCCCTGTCTGCCAATCTCCAGATCTGTTTGTCCATTCTTGATTGAGCTATAATCACCGACAATGAACAATCTGGCTGTGGTCTACTACTTATTTTTCACGTCGGTGATCGCGGTAGCTGCGGCAGTCAATACATCTCAGACGATTACCCATTTTGTTAATGGGCTCAGTCTTTCGTCAGCCGACTCGCGAGCTATTCAAGGCAGATTATTAGGCAATGTAGAGAGCCTCGAGGTTGTGTTTAGTGGGGCGAGCATTGCGTCGTCTATCGTAGTGCAGCTCGCATGCTACACTGCCCAGATCGTGCTCGGAACCAGTGCTGTAGCATCCGCGGGCAATCAGACCGAAGTTGAAGGCACCTGGTCCGAGGCATGCTGGGAGGCACCGACATGCACCATATTGCCCAACTCTGACCAAGATGTATCACTGGCCGTTAAGATAGTCAATTTTTTCCAGACCAAGTTCGCCGTCCGTAGCGGAGGACACTCGCCCAACCCCGGCTGGTCCAGCATCGGTCAACCAGGGATTCTGATTGATCTAAAGCAATTGAATGAGATTACCGTCAGTTCCGACGCAGCCGTTGTTAGCCTAGGACCCGGCAACCGATGGGGCAGTGTCTATTCCGCCCTCGCACCCTACGAGGTGACTGTGATTGGTGGGCGGATCAACGATGTCGGCGTTGGAGGCCTTATTCTTGGAGGTATGATTGCCCTTTAGTCTAATTTTAAATTAATCCAGAGTCTAGATCGGTGCGTATTCTCTCAAGCTAATACCATTGTCGTATAGGTGGATTATTCCATTTATCCGGCGAGTTTGGTCTTGCAGCGGACAATGTCCAGAACTTTCACGTACATTCTTCCGCATAAGAAAACAAGTTGTGAATGTATCCGCTGAATATCATACAGGTTGTACTAGCGAATGGCACCATTATAGACGCCAATTCCGACCAAAACACTGATCTCTTCTGGGCTCTCAAAGGAGGTGGGCCTAACTTTGGAATCGTTACCCGCTATGACCTATACACAATCCCCGTGTACAATCTTTGGTTCGAAGTTCTTTACTACACCCCGGATCAGGTACCTGATGTCCTCGATGCTTTTGCAGAGTGGCAGACAAATGGCGCATCTGTTGATAACAAGTCCACGGTAGCCATGGTGATTAGCCTGGATAGCGTCGTGGTAGGCCTCTTGTACTCCCAGCCTACTGCAACTCAACCAGCAGCCTTTGCGCCGTTTTATGATCTGAACCCTGCCGAAGTAGCCTTGGCCGGGTCAAATGGTACCATCACCGAGCTTATGGAACTCTTTGGCGAGACTGGATCTACCGCTGCCGAACGACATGATTATCGGTCGGCCAGCTCCAAGGTCGACGCCGAGCTGTACAAGGAGATATACGCTTTCTGGGTAGAGCAGGCAACATCTGTATACAACCAGACTGGAGCGAACCAGACATTTGTGTTGCAACCAATTCCGGGCAGTCTGATAGACGCTGGCAATGCCCGAGGTGGTAATCCTTTGGGACTTCCCTACGAAAATATGCAATGTAAGTCTATACAATCCGTTTTAGTGGGGTTGGACTAGATTTCAGAGAACAGAACAAATGAAAAAATAAAAGACAATTATTAACTTTCTCGTCTCTCATTAGGGTGGACAACACTCATTGACTGGGTCGACGCTGCTGACGATGACCTCGTACGTGGAGTCTCGATAGCTACTACAGAGAAATGGCAATCACTGGCCACGGCACGAGGCTCTGCAAGTGATTTCATCTATATGAATGATGCTTCTCGCGACCAGAACCCGCTCGGCACGTATGGTTCGAGCAATCTCGCTCAGCTCAAGGCGATTGCCGAGAAATATGATCCTTCAAAAGTGTTTCAGCGGCTGCAGAACGGGGGGTTCTTACTTTCCACGGCTTGAAAGTATCTCTAACTCAACATTCTCATATCCATATCAAAATATACTCAGTCTCTATAGTTGATCTCTCATGTCAGTGGTGAGTCGACTTGATATAATCGAATGGAGCACCTTGAAATAAAGAAGGAAGAGAACAGGAATTGATCTAAGTGTATAGAGTTTTATGTACGCAAATATTCTTTGTACAAGAGTAGATTTCCATATAATACAATTGTAATTCCATGTAGTACGAATTGATATGTAGCCATGTCGGATTTGCAATGTAGAAATTTCCAGACAAAGCCCTAAACAAAGAATCCCCGGTTAGGTCCATTGACAGCTGCCACACCAAATCAGAACTAAACTAGTGGCTTATACTTACATGTCCATGTCAAGTTTATGTTACACTATATTTTACAATAGCTAGGTATGCAACCCCTGTCAAATTGCTTTAAATAGCCCAACTTCCCTCTCCCATCTTTCTTTGTTATTGCAACTCCCCACCTCCACAACCCATTTAAAGAGCCCATAATCACCTAGAAAATTCTCCTTCCCTCTTTGAGGAAAGAATCATTAAGCATAATGTCATCAGAATCTATCTCTCTCCAAGTCACAGTCTGGATCAGCCCAGGGAACGTCCCCAAGTTCTTTGAGGCACTCCGTCCTGTGTATGAGAAAGTCATCGCGGAGCCGGAATGTACCTTTTTCGAATACTATGAAGATCCAGAGGAGCCGGGACGGATCTCTTGGGTCGAAAATTGGTATGCTATTCTTAGTCTTCATTATTTACTCTCGAGAATGTCTTCGGCAATCGAAGATTACTCACTAATCGGATTGAATATAGGTCTCAGAGTAAAGAATGGCTACTTCAGGTATGTATATCGAAAGAGGCACCGGCCCACATTTCCTCTAGATAAAGAGAAAATTGAAGATGATGGATTAGTAACAAAGAATAATAACAGAACCAAATGCCAAAGGAGTATTATCACGAGTATTTCGCCATCACAGAGCCAATGTTTATCAAGCCACGGGAATTCAAGGTACTCAGGCGTGTGGGAGCACCGTTTACGATGGTGAAGGAGAAGAATGGAGGATTGAGAGAGTGATAGAGATATCACCATACTTGCTATGATTGAGATGAATTGCTATTTGGATGAAAAAATGGGTACATGGCTTCATTTGAAAGATGGGAACGAAACATGCTCGTGTATGAATTCTAGAGCTTCGAGGACCTGTTTCAATACTTAGCTCGCGGTGATCTATCAAAAACATCAGTGGGAATGGCAAACCTTTTCATCCTCACAAGGACGTCCAATAAGTTGAAGTGAAACAGGCGCATCACGATATAGTTCCGGCTGCAGGCTGCATCTGCTTAATTGTGACATTACACAGGTAAAGTAAGAAAAGTGGACACGTCTGATACGTAATATCATTCAGTATCTCATCTTCAGAGTAGCTATATCGTAACAACATTACACATAATTATCATCTATTCGAGCGTAGCTGACTCTGGAGAGTATGCTGAGTCCCTTGTACAAGCGTTGCTAAGGAATGAATCGACATATATATCCAGACCTCTTTACTGAACTTCAAGGCACTAGATGTCGTATAATTTAGCAAAAAAGCTACCTGAGGTGTCAATCTCAAGAATTTGGCCAGGAGAACAACACAGTCAACAAAGACGCATGGTATCTCGAAGAGCTTCCTGAATTGTGATTGTTGTCAAGCCAAAGAATACCAGACTCACTACTGGAAATCGGATCTTCCTTTCCCTTGCCTGAAGATAACTGACATTCCATTACAACAGGACCGCTGTTGTTGAAGATATTTGAGTCTTTTCTTTCAACTTTTTCAGTTTTGTACAATAGTGCACCTGCAATGACACTTTACTCCGGTATGGAAATTGTTGCGCAAACCGATCCTCAATCATGCCCCAGCTATAATTCTTGCTTTTCAATTCCACGATAAACGCATCTTCTTCCGGTGAGAATTTTCGCGATCTAAATGTAGAAAAGCCTTCCTGTCGAGATGGCCGAGTACCTTTCGTTTGGCCGCCCGCAAATAATGACGAAACATGGGATTGTGATAACTCTAGACAATAGACGACCTCGGATCCAATATATCGTAGTTTGAGAAAGCCTTGGACGGGGATTGACTCGCTTTCCGGATTCGCCTCTTGCTGTGGCGTCTCGGGCTGTCTCGTGAGCGGAGACTCTGGGGATAACCGTGGAACTGTTTCTTGAGAAGTCGATGAGATCGTATCCAGTATATGGCCCCTCTTCAACCGTTTCGCTGGACGCGAGTATTCACTTGATTCGTCTCTATCAATGTTAAAAACATGTTTTGCATCGTTCTCATTGTTAAACACAGACACATCACGATCTTCGGCGACCTGACTCGCGCAGTGAGACTGATCATGAGACGCTGACCAGTCAGGTGATCCCTGCAACGGGTCTAAGCAATGAGACAGAGCAGGAGTCACGACTGGTTGAGGCGGGGGGCTAGAAATGCATACTGCTTCATTCTGCAACGAATTCGAAAATTCTTCGGATAGATATAAGGTAGCAAGTATGAAGTCTTCCAGAATATCCTGTGACTCGATGCTTTCAATTGGCGAACTGCTTTCACGAGGATCCAATGGCTGAGGAATGCTAGTAGACAAAGTTTGCTGGGTTTGCCCTGGACTAACTGTAGGCGATCCTGATGCGGAAGATAGCGTCGCTATATCGCTCAGAGTGGAATCCTCGAGGACTGGTGCTGATGTTGCTATTTCAGGCATGCAGCGTAGTGATAAACCTTGATCTGGTAGAGCCATGCCATCACTAGCTTGCTCCTGTAGCTCTGTTTGACTTTGATTGAGTGGCTGCGAGAGATCCGCATTTTCTGCCGACTTCAAGGGCGCTTTTGCGGAGAAGGTGGACGGTACACGTTCATCTGCGACTCCTCGACCTGACAAAGTTGCACGTACGCTATTGCTTTCGTCATCTTTGTCTCCTGCTTTTTATATGTAAGCTAAAAACGGATAGATTGCATGAATAGGGAGTGTACCTTTCACAGGCAAGCGAACTAAAGACTTGTTTTCCTCTCTGTTTTCACCCTCCACGACCGAAAAGTCACTGAAAGCTCGGTCAGAATCATTCGAACACGTGGGATTGATATGGACTGCATCAGATGTGCTTGAGGTGGTCGGTGAGATTGTATACTCTGAACTATGAATGGAGGAGACGACAGCTGGTGGACGAGGGGGAAGTGTATGACGCAAAGTTGGTTGTACGAAGGATGTGAGGAAACTAAGTGAATGGAGGGGTTTGGATTGACTCTTTTTGAGGCGTGGAGGAAGGGAGTTGAACAGTTATTGGAAGGTATGCTCTTTATAGGACGTGCAGGAAGTGAATGGGGACGGTAAAATTTGATTTTTTTCCAAGGTAACAGCCATGATCGTGGAATGGGTATAGAGAGGTCGGGGAAAATAAAACAGATGTTCGACGGATGCACTCCATCCCCCTGAGCGCTGAGAGGTCTTTATATCTGTCTCAGGACACAAAAGGTGCAAAAATATGATTGCCAGTTCTCGTCGAATGTCGCTCGAATGTCGCTATCGCTGCCACTGACATATTCTCTGTCATCGTCTCTACCTGCAACAAAGAAGGTTGATGATGCAGTCGTCGTAATCAACGGACTGGCCGATTTCCAATTAGATGACCCAAATCCAAGCTCAAAAATGAGACATTATCTAGTAGCACGCCCGATGCTACTCAGTTTCATGCGCAACTCCGCTTCCGTCCCACAATTGAGGCATTGCTAGTCACATCTGTGACCAAAGCCGTCTGGATTACCATAGCACAGCCTTTGCGCACGTTCGCGGTGGCTCGTCCTAATCAGGAAGTAGGGTATGTTGTGAAAAGATATTCACAACCTAGACCCAACTTAGTTCTTGAACGCTTTGTTGGCCGGCCTGCCACTTTATGATCGAAGATGCCGCCTCCAACGGAGAGAGTCAATAGGTTATTTGGCGAAGATTCGTTGCTGGTGATAATGCCCGAAGATTGTTTCTTTGAGAGATGGGGGTCGAAGTCATCTGGGATTGAGGTGGAATGATCATGTAACTCATCAAAGCCGGGTGATGTTGCTTGGCCCGGAACGGGTTGAGACTGATCTCTCCAAGGCAGTGTTCGTCATCAACCAGTCAACCGGCGAGATGCTACTGTACATGAATCAAGCTATCTCATTAGCCCCTACAGTGGATGAACGTCGTCGCATCGTCGTAATCTCTTCATCCTATGGCCATCACGCAATCCACTTCGCCAGTGCAGTATTTTCGCCATTGGTCATGAGATGCGGCAAGATAATAGGATCGTTCGCTCATTGCTGAAACCCCAAGTGGAGAGCGCTAGTGCAGTATGTTGCGGTATTGCGTTAGGACTGGTGTCAACCAATTCTCAGCTGACGAGGAGCGCAGAGCGTCAACTCCCGGATGCCGGGAACAGGAAAAGCAGGTCATTTCGTGGAGCCATAAATGTGATCAATCGTGCATGAGGCATTTATACCATTGGCCTTGTTTCTCCCTGAAGGTATATTGTCGTCAGCTGGACCCTCAGGTAAGTAAATTATCCTAGGTGCAAACGACATGTAGTATGCATCGCAAAGCACATTTGTCAGGTTTCTTGATATAGGACAAGTGCTAGCCCCGCATACATGTGGGAGTAACGAATTCTGGTACAAGACTTCCCCGGATATAGGGGACCCCACAATGCTAGTTAACCAGGAACGCTGTATCCAGACACATGCAGAGCTGGCCCCGGGCCCATCGTGCGGGGAAGGAATTCATAAAATGCACTTATCTCCAAAAGAAACCATCACCTTGCGTGGAAAGCTCAAGAGTTCTTCCAGCCAAAGGGAATACTATCCTTAACAACAGACAATGACGACTCGAACGAACGCCAGTGTTGCCGGAAACCTCTCCAAGATCATAGTAGTCGGCGCTGGACCGTCCGGACTTTTGCTATCGATCCTATTAGCAAAACATGGAATCAACGTGGAACTACTTGAAGCCACCGAAAGATTGGACGAACAACCCCGAGCCGCCCATTATGCCTCTCCCGCCGTATACGAGCTTCGTCGTGCGGGTGTCATTGACGATGTGATTGAAAGCGGTTTCAAACCAACATCGGCATGTTGGCGCAAAGCCAACGGGGAAATTATTGCCGGAATGAGATTTGACGTTGTTCCTGATGACCCTGAGCGGATGGTTGTGTTACCCCTGGATCGACTAGGCAACGGTGGGACCTGGCAGATGAATTTGGCATGATTGGTAGGAGATGTAACGCAGCCGGTTCTGCGTAAAGTTCAGGAGCGCCATTGACCGAAATGGCCTTGGATCAGCCTTGATGAGGCTGTGCTGTAAAGGGCTGCTAGAAGGGGACATGCATCTCTTCAGACCGTAGAATCGAGGAGACTGATATCTCCAAAGCATAGCCAGACACCGCAAGGTCAAACGTAGACAATAAGGGTCTGGTGAATAGCATAGTAGAAGCCAAATCTAAAGCAAAGGAATGATGCAGCTCGAATACTGTAGATCCGACGACACCAATTTCCAAAAACCTGAAAATGAAACCCCGAGAGTGGAGTGATGGCGCGATGGCCGTGCGTTGTGACCGTGAATGCGACGGTGGTGGAGACGAGCTGAGCCGGGAGGGCAGGATGACGAGCCAAAACGAGTTCGACCGGAGGAGAAAATACAGAAGTTGAAGAGGGCGAAGTAAAAACAGCGAGGGACGAGGTTTATATAGTTGCGGGTTCGGGACGGAGGCGATGACAATACGGCGTACGGAGGCGCTAGACCACGAACGGCAAAACTAACCGGAAGCGGGAATTCACAGGTGTTGGATTGTATGTAACAATCTCTAGCGGTTTATCTAGTGGATATATGGGGGTCAGATTTCTTACCGACATGTCTGAGACACCATACTAAATCCAGCCGAGAAACGCCAAGGTGAAAATATCCAGAATTACATACGGGTCAAATCTTGTATTATTTTACTAGCGTACTTATTTTCTGCGTGTGTGTGTGTGTGTGTGTGTATTTAACGGCCGTGGTTCGTGACTTGCACGCTTCCCACCGATCCCTACTGGGACATAGGCCGCCGAGGGTTAAGCCTCGGGCTTCAGGTCCTATCAGATTTATATACAAATAAGAGACTCTTTAGCGCATTTCCATAGCTGCCGTAGTCTTAAATAGAGATCCACTTCCTAGTAGATTTTAGATATTTGCTAGCTGCAATGGTCCACCTACGCTCCATGACCCATCATTCTACTACCATCATACTTAAGCAGTGAGTTTAAAAAGAAAAAGGGAAGAAGGAAAGAAGAAAAGAAAGAAAGAAAAAAAGAATAAAGGAAAAGAGAGATATAAGGGGAAAGCAGGGCTGACTTAGCTAGATGCTAAGGAGAGATTAGCGAGGACAGATATCCTCAAAGAAATAGATCTCTGCTAGCTATAAGGCTAGTTTTTGTGTTCCTTTTGCAGTACCTAAAAGAAAAGAGATAACTTCAGAAGGGGATCCAGGTGGACGAGGGGCTCATCTCTTAGCTATATAGCAGAAGAAGAAATATAGAGGTGCTTTTTATGCTCTATACTGACAGAGAAGATAAGTATCATCATGATGAAAGCGCTCATGGTAATCTGTAAAGTCTCTATGACCAGTACGGGCCACTATAATATAGCTAAGGTTAAGTTGGTTAAGTTAAAGCTCTCCAGGGCGTTTAGAAGATGTAGTTATTTCTAGATCTTGGTATGTCTATGGTGCTACAGTCTGCCACTGTGTCTGAGCAGCGGAAAAAGATTGAGTCTTGGCGTATCTCTTTAGCGAGGCATATAAGGACTTATATAGAGAGGGGGGGATAGAGACAGCTTCTTCCTTGGCAGTGAGATTAGCTGCTTCATTCTTAGGGATTTTAGTATATCCAGGGACCCATCGGATTTAGATTGATCCACTTTTGGTGTGTGGAAGCCTTTCGCGTAGTAGCCAGGCAGCTGCAAGGGTGCAAAAGGATTCAAAGACCTCTTGAGAGGATCCTGTAGAGGGGGATAGGAGGTGCGTGGTAACTTCTAGGTTGTCAAGACAGATCTATAGGTTAGTAGCAAATTGAGCTGTTGGGTATGCTATTACTGCTTGAGCACCAGCTAGGGCAGCTTCTGCTTTTGTGTCAAAGACCTCTTTCTCATGTCTATATGAGAGTGAGTAGCAGAGGAACTGATGGTGTGCTTGAAATCCAATATAGCTACCCCCTGCACGTCCATCTATCAGCCTAGATCCATCTAAAAAGATTACAACATCTGAGCTAGGGATGGTGCGTTGAAAAGCTATGAAATTAGCCGCTACCTGTTCCTTAGTGCGTTCCATGGGAGCTCCTATTTGGGCTTAGGCACTCTTGCGTGACTCATGAGGGTACCAGGGAGTATGTTATAGAGGGTTTATTTATTTAGAGTTGGGGAGCGCTAGCACTTGGCGGGCAAATCGACTGGTTTGTCAGCCGTCTCTAGCTATCTGTTCTGCGCGTCTTTGGAGTGGGTGATATGGATCAAGACGCTATAGGCGGACAGTTGCAAGGAGGGCTATTCAATCTAGTTCGATTTCTGATGGAGAGAATCCAGACTCTTGATAAAGGACTGGCTTTGGGGTTGTGCGGAAGACTGGAAGGACTGCTCTTGTGCCTATTAGTATTACTTTAGTTAGTTTCTCAAGATGTTCTCCAACTCGGTTTGAAATCTGGGAAGGTCCAGGGCAAGTACGTCCTGGCTACCAGGTTTCTGCGCCATAGTATGCTTTATGGAGTATACAGGCTAATACAGCCTGCTGTAGTAAATAAGGTTTGACTCTATGGATAGTATTTCCTAGAGAGTGAAGGGTATTAGCTACAGTGAGGGCTTTAGATGCTGTTTCACTAATATGCTATTTAAATATTAGCTTTTTGTTAAAGAGGATTCCTAGCCAGCATAGATATAGCCGTTTAGTATTTTCTAAGATTATGATAGATCCAGCTTTTACTGAAGGTATGCAGGTTGGGTCCTGGTCTGCTTTATGTCGGGAGAAGTGAAGAAGCTCGTATTTATCTGGTGCAAATGTAATGCCCTCTGCAGTGCTCCAGTTTAGAGCTTCTTATAGTGAGTCTGATAATGCTTCGCAGTTAGTAGCAAGAGATATTAAGATTGCTAGGTTAGCTGCGTCGTCTGCGTAACCAAATCTGTTCCTTGGGTTTCCTAGATAGAATAGGGGCGCTATGTAGAGCATGAAAAGAATGCCAGATACTAGGGATCCTTGTGGAAGACCGCAGGCAATGTCTGTTAAGGGGCCAATCTCTCCATCGAGTTGGATCTGGACTGATCGCCCAGTAGCAAAGGAGACAATCCAGAGAACAAGATTAGTGGGCCAGCCCTGCTCACGTAATCTGCGGATAAGTCTGCCGGGAAGCACGGCATCAAAAGCGCCCTTGACATCTAGGGTAAGGAGTGAGGTAGTCATGCCTTGATTTAGTGCTTGTTCAACATCATGTGTTAGGCATGTGGTTAGATTATTTGCAGATCTTAGTAGGAGAGCCCCAAACTGTTGCCTTGCTAATACTTTGTAGTGTATAGAGATCCATGCCATATTCCGTGCCACCAAGCGCTCCAGTCCTTTGCCAAGTACTGATAGGAGAGTAATTAGTTTATATAAACTAGGTGAAGACCAATCAGTCTTTTTTAGTTTCTAGATAATTGCTAAGATTGCATGTCAAAAGCATTTTGGGTGATAACCAATCTTTAGGCACCCTTGGTATAACATTAGTACCTTGTCCTTGATCAGAGGCCATACCACTTTAAGTATGCAGATTGGGATTTCGTCTGAGCTAGGGGCTGTGTTTCCTGCCTGAAGTACTGACTCCTCCACCTGTACTATTGTTATATCTAGGAAATAGAGACTAGTGGTAAGGACTGCTGGGGAGTCCAGCGGTATGTCTTCTGCCTCAGCCAAGTTTTGGAGAAGATTACAGACTAGTACGTCTTGTTTCTCATGTATAGTAACTGCTGGGAAGCTGTTAGGTCTTAGTGGATCCTTCAGTGGAGGGCTTCGGAAGGTGCCTGTGGACTTATACTATTTGCTTATATCGAAGACATCCTTCATTTGTGTTACTGTAGAGAGCTTATCTTGCTAAAATTGTTATTAAGACCATCTAGTTATCCTGCGGAAGTCTGTCTTTGAGTAGAGGCCTAAGCGGTAATTGTGTAAAGCTTTCTTGTAGTCTTCATTCCACCATAATTGTTCTATGCCTTGTGTCATAGTTCTCTTAGTAGAGCCTCTATATGCTCCTTGAATTGTAGATGTCAGTTTTTCAGCAAGGGCATCAAGATCTTCTTCTGTTGCGGCTGAGCTCTCGGTGCCAGCGAGATTAGAGGTGAGGAGCGAGAGGAAGGAGGTGTGGTCTAGTATGTCAAATCTCAGTTTCTAAGCTGTTTCCTTGTATCTCTGATCCCATGGTACAGTGGTGATTAGTGGTTGATGATCTAAGGTTGCATCTAAGTGGCTCGCTATGCTAGTTTTAGCTCCTGCGAGTGCCAGAGGGCTTGAGGCGAAACTAAGGTCTAACACGTTACTCCTTTCATGTGTGGGACAGTCTATGTCAGAGATGAGTACTAGACCCTGGAGGTCCAGCCAGTTAATGAACGGCTCTGCAGAAGATGTGGGGCTGCGATGTAGCGAGGGCTGCCATCTGTTATGTAGTAGGTTGAGATCGCCTGCAAGTATCGTTGCTTGAGGGAAATATGCCTCTGGCAGGATTGTAAGAGCTTTTGCAGCTTCGTCTGCTCTGATGGAGCCTGCTGGGGCATTATAGATGTTAACTATCAGAGTGGACTTTCCTGTGGGCGAAAAAATCTGTAGGAATAGGAGATCTAAGGCCTCTTTGATGTCAGTTGTGAAGAGGCGCAGCTGGAAGGTCCAAATGCCCTTCTTCTTTTGAACATAGATGAGGACTCGTGGTCAGCCACTTATCGCCCAACTGTCAGTTGGGGAGAAGCATTCATATGATAGGTGTTTTTTAGTGATCTGTCGGCTAAGATCTTTGAATGTATATAGTTCTTAGATTAGGATAATATCAATATCACTTATGTATGCTAATGTGAGAGCTATTTCATGTGCATCTGGCGCGTGCCCTACATTTAGCTGTAGGATTTTAAGAGGCGCCTTTTGAGTTGGATAGTGATAGATTATAGCTCCCGTTCAAGAAGGGAGGCAAACCGATTTTGTGATTAAGGGGTTATAAAGCGGACTGCGCGAGCTGTAATTGGAGGATCTTCAGTTGGGGCGCAAGATGGAGGGGTTACTGAATGGAAAGGAGAGATAATCTCATGGGTTGAAGGCTAAGTTGGTATCTCGTCTAGTGCCATAGATGTTTCTTTTGTGCCAATGGAGAGCTGAGTGCTACATCCTCCTTCAGTTTGAGCTTTTGCAAGGTTAATAGCATAGGATTTCCGGATCTCTGCTTGTTGAGCTTTAGTATGTTTAGAGTTGCCTTTAGGGTGCAGGAGGCATTCTGGGAAATCAGTAGGATGTAGTCCATGGCAGTGTATACATCTAGAAGGGCACTAATGAGGCTTTAGAGCTGTGCAGTGGTTAACATGTCCCTGTTCAGTATACTCTGAGGAGCTGTAGAGCCAGTATTAAGAGGGGCGGGCACAGGATTGTGTATTATGCCATTTCCAGCATCATATGCATTGGATAACTATTGTTCTCTTAGAGAGGTAACGAGTATTAGTAATAGTGCCAAAAAGGTGTAGCTGGATAGGCAGTGGTAATTTTGTGCCTTCTGGGAAGTTGACAAACCAGCTTGAGGAAAGAGTATCAGGGTTGGCGGCACTTGTAGCGGTCTCGCTGATAGATATAGGCTTGAGTCCTATAGTTTCACTGATTTCTGAGGATAGTAGTGTAGGATTAATAGGGATTAGAGAGTATTAACCGTCCAAGATTTGGCCAACTTTCCTTGGCACATTGGTGACTCAGTACGAGACCCATCAGGAGCTGCGTTCTATCTGATAGTTCACAGAGAATGTAGAGATAATCTCTTTTTGGGCCTTAAGGGTTAGGAGGGCTTCTGGAGATGAGGGACATAGTGTAAAACCAGTCTTTGTAGCTTGAACTTCTTTTAGTGCTGAACTGTTTGAGTTTAGTTGAGACCGTAGGCTAGAGTAGATAGCGTAGGCTTCCATTTTTCTAGCTGCATGGTTAGCTGGGAGGCGTACGAAGAGCTAGTTGTCAGGAAGGGGTTGTTTCACCAGAGGCATATGCTTTTTAACATGGGCTTTGGAGTGAGTAGTAGGAGTTGATTTGACCAGGGCATATTAGGTAATAGTCACATAAGTCGACTGTTCAAGACCTGAGAGGGGACGTGAGGGAGGGGGTGAAGGGGGTAAGGAATTTGGAGTAGGGGAAGGGGAAGGAGAAGGGGAAGGGGAAGGGGAAGGGGACAGGGCAGGTAGAATGGAGGTCGTCGAGATACCGCTGATATAGGCGCTAAAATGTCGTTGGGCTACTGAGGCGAGGTCATCGCTTAGAGTGGTGAGGGCTCTCAGTAGGTGAGGGGCCAGGCCGGTGGTTTGGCTGCGGTGTTTATCGAGGAATGCAGCTATAGGGCTGAAGATCTTCTGTCCTTCAGAAGCTCTTGTCGTGGCTGCGGACGTGGATTCCAGTAGGGCTGTCTGTAGAGGGCCATCTGTACCAGGGCCTTTACGTGCCATAGTGTTGCCGGACGCGTTGAGACGCGTCAAAGGCCGCACTTCTGGTGGCTAGGTGGTAGAGAGGGGTGAGGAGTTTGGGCCTCTGACTGTTTGATATAAACAATTGTAGGGAATTCGTCTATCTGTGGGGTCAATGTGACGGTCAGTAATGAGGTTATTTGCCCCCCAAGAACGAGTGTGTGTGTGTGTGTGTGTGTGTGTGTATATTTAACGGCCGTGGTTCGTGACTTGCACGCTTCCCACCGATCCCTACTGGGACATAGGCCGCCGAGGGGTAAGCCTCGGGCTTCAGGTCCTATCAGATTTATATACAAATAAGAGACTCTTTAGCGCATTTCCATAGCTGCCGTGGTCTTAAAGGGAGATCCACTTCCTAGTGGGTTTTGGGTATTTGCCAGCTGCAATGGTCCACCTACGCTCCATGACCCATCATTCTACCACCATCATACTTAAGCAGTGAGTTTGAAAAGAAAAAGGGAAGAAGGAAAGAAGAAAAGAAAGAAAGAGAACAAAGGAAAAGAGAGATATAAGGGGAAAGTAGGGCTGACTTAGCTAGGTGCTAAGGAGAGGTTGGCGAGGACAGATATCCTCAAAGAAACGGGTCTCTGCTAGCCATGAGGCTAGTTTTCGTGTTCCTTTCGCAGTGCCTAAAAGAAAAAAGATAACTTCAGAAGGGGGTCCAGGTGAATGAGGGGCTCGTCTCTTAGCTATATGGCAGAAGAAGAAATGTAGAGGTGCTTTTTATGCTCTACATTGACAGAGAAGATAAGCATCATCATGATTAAAGCGCTCGTGGTAATCCGCAAAGTCTCCATGACTAGTATGGGCCGCTATGATACGGCCAAGGTCAAGTCGGTTAAGTTGAAGCTCTCCAGGGTATTTAGGAGATGTAGTTATTTCTAGATCTTGGTATGTCTGTGGTGCTACAGTCTGCCACTGTGTCTGAGCAGTGGAAAGAGATTGAGTCTTGGCGTATCTCTTTAGCGAGGCATATGAGGACTTGTATGGAGAGGGGGGGATAGAGACAGCTCCTTCCTTGGCAGCGAGATCAGCTGCTTCATTCTCAGGGATTTTAGTGTGTCCAGGGACCTATCGGATTTGGATTAATCCACTTTTGGTGTGTGGAAGCCTTTCGCGTAGTAGCCAGGCGGCTGCAAGGGTGCGAAAGGATTCAAAGACCTCTTGAGAGGATCCTGTAGAGGGGGATAGAAGGCACGTGGCAACTTCCAGGTTGTCAAGACAGATCCATAGGTTGGTAGCAAATTGAGCTGTTGGGTATGCTATTGCTGCTTGAGCACCAGCTAGGGCAGCTTCTGCTTCTGTGTCAAAGACCTCTTTCCCATGTCCGTATGAGAGTGAGGAGCGGAGGAACTGATGGTGTGCTTGAATTCCAATATAGCCACCCCCTGCACGTCCGTCTATCAGCCTAGATCCATCTGAAAAGATTACAATATCCGAGCTAGGGATGGTGCGTTCCCCCAAGAACGAGGGGGACGGGGATAGCTAGCTAGATATACGCGGCACGCACGTGCCGCGTCAGACTAACTATATCCGGTGCCAAAACGTGTAGGGTTTGATATTCACGGTCTAGTGTGTCAAATTTCAGTTTCTGAGCTATTTCCTTGTATCTCTGATCCCATGGAACAGTGGTGATTAGTGGTTGATGATCTAAGGTTGCATCTAAGTGGCTCGCTATGCTAGTTTTAGCTCCTGCGAGTGCCAGAGGGCTTGAGGCAAAGCTAAGGTCTAACACGTTACCTCTTTTATGTGTGGGACAGTCTATATAAGAGATGAGAACTAGACCCTGGAGGTCCAGCCAGTTAATAAATGGCTCTGTGAAAGGTGTGGGGCTATGATGTAGTGAGGGCTGCCATCTGTTGTGTAGTAGGTTAAGATTACCTGCGAGTATTATTGCTTGAGGGAGATACGCCTCTGGCAGAGTTGTGAGAGCTTTTGTGGCTTCACCTGCTCTAATAGAGCCTGCTGGGGCATTATAGATGTTGACTATTAGAGTAGACTTTCCTGTAGGTGAGAAAATCTGAAGGAACAGGAGATCTGAGGCCTCTTTAGTGTCAGTTGTGAAGGGGCGCAGCTGGGAGGTCCAAATGCCTTTCTTCTTTCGGACATAGGTGAGGACTTGTGGTCGACCGCTTATTACCCAACTGTTAGTTGGGGAGAAGCATTCATATGATGGATATTTTTTTTGTGATCTATTAGCTAAGGTCTTTGAATGTATATGGTTCTTAGATTAAGATAATGTCAATATCGCTAGTGTATGCCAATGTAAGGGCTATTTCATGTGCATCTGGCGCATGTGCTATATTCAGCTGTAGGATTTTAAGGAGCGCCTTTTAAGTTGGATAGTAATATGTTATAGCTCCTGTTCAAGAAGAGAGGCAAACCAGTTTTATAGTTGAGGGGTTATAAAGCGGACTACATGAGCTGTGATTGGAGGATCTTCAGTTGGGGTGCGAGATGGAGAGATTACTGGACGGAAAAGAGAGATAATCTCCTGGGTTGGAGGCTGAGATGGCATCTTGTCTAATGCCATAGGTGTTTCTTGTGTGCCTGTGGAGAGCTGAGAGTTACAGTGTTGTTGTTGTTGTTGTTGTTGTATTCATACACTGACCCCTCGCCGAAGCGATATGCAGGTAAAACACTATCTAATCCTTGTCTATCTTTATGTACAGTAAACCATTACATACCGACGAATTTAGAGCCTCGTCACGGCCTGTGATGGCCTTAATGCCTGGCGTTGTATTGAGCGGCCCTATGGCGCGCGGCTTTGAAACCTCTGTGATGCCTCTGCAAAGTCTAGTACCGCACCAATGATGCTACCGCCTTGCATATCATCCTCTTTACCTTTCTTACCTTGAAACCTTCCTCCCAGCATGTTTAAAATATCGTTGAATGCAGTCCCAATCTTCCTCCGTAGCTCTTGTCGTGGGACCCTCAATTTGGGGCAGTCAATCAGAACGTGAATCACCATTTCTATGGCCCCACACTCGCATTTGTCGTCTTCTCGGAGTTTGTGTAGTTTGCCATGTGTTGCAAGTTATAAATGGCCCGTTCGGAGCTGCGTGAGCAGGTAGCTGCGATTCCGTCGCAGCGAGCCGTATATTCTCTAGGTGTGGACTAAGGGTAGGTTTGGGTCTATCCGGTGGAGATGGCGGCCCTTCCCTGACGTCTTCCATCCCTGCTCTCATTCCTTCTGGATTCGGTTGCGGATAAATCCTTTCTCCCGCGACAGTAGATGTTGAAAGGGGTGTTCTTTCTCGGGGCCCATGGCTTCTTTGGCCAGCCGATCAGCCGCCTCATTGCCCAGGTCACCACAATGTCCCGGCACCCACTGGAGGCGGAGTGGGATTCCCTGTGTTTGCAACTCTTGCACTGATTGTTGAACCGCTTGGATGATCCTCTGTCCTAACTTATTCCGTGCATTGGAGAGGGCTTGAAGCACTGACATGCTATCACTCAGGATAGTTGCCGGTTCCTGTCTATCTGTCATAGCTTGCCGAGTTTCCATCGCGATCTTGAGGACAAGACTAATGGCATAGTATATGGCCATGAGCTTGGCTGCATATACCGACCAGTATTCCATAGAGCCAATGCTGACTTTCCGCTGTTGGATCACATTATTATTTCGGTCTAGGGCGACTGCTGCGGCTCCTAGATGGTTATGTTGGCCTGACGCATCCGAGAAAACCGCAATACCGGCTGTATCTTGGAGAGCAGATGCTTTGTGTTTGGCTTTGTCATGGTCTGGTTCAATGTCAATCTCTAGGAACGCTGGGGTCCGCTATGGTGGTGGAGGGGTTGTGTTGATGGTTTCCAGGGCCTGGAGTTGGATGAGATCCATCGTCCGCAGGGTTTCTGCAAGAGGGAACCGAGGTCCAGTTCCTATATATAGGCTTCGTGAGGCTGCTCGGACCACCACCACACAGCCTGGATGGTCGTCTGGGAGGGTGCTAAGGCGGGCGGCGACAATCTGTGCACTTTGTTTGAGTCGTAAGTGGGTTGGCAGTATGCAGGATTCGACCTCAAGCGCTGCGGTGGATACGGTCTTGAATGCAGAGAGAATGCGAATGAGGGCTGTTCTCTGCACGGTACCCAGCGTCCGCAGGTGGACCTTATCCTTCAACGATTCGGTTACAGTGTGTGTGTGTGTGTGTGTGTAATTCATACCCTGACCCCTCGCCGAAGCGATATGCAGGATACAACTATCTAATCCTTATCTATGTCTATGTACAGTAATCCATTACATAAAGACGAATTTAGAGCCTCGTCACGGCCTATGGTGGCCAACATGCCGGGTGTTCTGTCAGAGCCTCATTCGGTTACAGTGCGTTGCAAAATCGGTTTCCCTCAGGAACTCATTCGAATTCTTTTCAAATCTCTATTTCAAACAACAGTGAAACGAGCTAGTCTGTAAAAAGTTAGCTATCGTCTAACCACATCTGGTGTAACTGGTACTGAACGGTAATATGACCAAGATTCTTGTATGATACCTGTATGACCCACTTTGACAACTACGACGATAAATTGTAACAAATGCAACAGAAAAGTCCAGTGGCAACTTTAACTACATACAGTATTAGAGCCCGAGTCCTCCTAGGCCCTTCTTTTAAAAAAGATATTTGAAAATATTAGAGTAGTTACATCATGAATGAAACACCATTAGATCAACTTCAGAAATGTAACTCGACCTGAAGCATGTCCCATAACAAGTATGCTCTCGTACACGGCGGAAGAAGTTGCTCGATACTCAACAGGCAACCAAATGGCATTAAAATCATTGCGGGTCAGCCATTCATTCGTAACTAGTATATTTTTATGAAGACTGCTTGGTGTTTGCGATAGACTGCGAACATGATGAGACTCAGTATTAAGTCGTCCTTGATTAGTCTCCAGAAATTTGCCGTCGGGGGAGAACGCCACTACCCGAACCAGACCAGAATGGTCTTCAAGCGTCTGCCGCAGAGTGCCAGTAGCTAGATCCCATAGCTTGACCATCTTGTCATAGGAGCCTGATGCCACCAGCTTGCTGTTAGGAGAGAACGCCACTGTCTGAATTAAATCAGAATGACCTTCAAGCGTCTGCCGTAGAGTGCCAGTAGCCGGATCCCATAGCTTGACCGTCTTGTCATAGGAGCCTGAGGCTGTTAGCTTGCCATCAGGAGAGAACGCTACTGCCAGAACTGGCCCAGAATGGCCTTCAAGCGTCTGCCGCAGAGTGCCAGTAGCTAGATCCCACAGCTTGATCGTGTAATCAACGGAGCCTGAGGCCACCAGCTTGCCGTCGGGAGAGAACGCCACTGCGAAAAACTGAACCTGAATGGCCTTCGAGGGTTTGCTGCACTGCACTCCAGGCTGATTCCACTTCTGGTAATCCTCGAACCCAATTGGGGATTTTATCGATATATTTATTCCTAATTACACTTCCTTTTGGTGCGAAAATAAGCGCCGATGCATAGAGCTGGAGAGGCGCCTGATCAATCAACAAGATGTTTTTTCGAATAAACCGCATTGCGTCATCCAGGAATTTGCATATTGCCATGCCTTCATCACTCTGGATAGATTGTAAGAACAAGGAATCGCATATATTCAACTTGAAGATACATACTACAGTAGTTTGTAATGTCCCCACTAGGTGAATACTCTCTGATTCTTCCCAAGAGGCTCAATGATTCCAGCCAATGTAAAAAGTGATCCTGTATAAATTCATGAACTGGATCACTATCATTGATGCGGGTCTGACTCTCTTTCAAATGGTGTACCCAGAAGCGGCAAGCATATTGTATATCTAGTGTAAGTGGTTAGCTATGATTCTGCCATCGATCTCAGCACAGAGTATCCCGTGGCCCGGAAGATTGCATATATTTTCTTGAAGACTCCCGGATTGAGATATTCGTTCAAGGCATTTAGTCATGACCATCTTATGGGTTTCCATCTTGTCAACCCAGAATGAATTCGTGTGACGTTTATCAGGATCAATCAGGAAATCACGGAATAAGAGGTGCAACATCCTTATCGCAGAGTCCGCAGAGGATGGCACACTAAAGATAGAATAGAGAGATGAGAGCTACCCCTCAATCTCTTGGCTGTCAGTATTGAGCAAAGATGCGAGAGATGACCGCGAAAGGGGCTCCGCTAAGTGAACAATAGTGCCTACAATGCGTCGAAACCGCTCCACCAGTGATTTCTGTGCCTTTTCTGGATGTCCATTGATTAGCTAGTTTAGAATTGGAGAGTAAGTGGCATCTAGCTTGTCCATCTCAGAGCTACTCTTCATATTTCGATACTCAAGAACCTTTTGCAGCTGGCCTATCGGGTCCGACCACGCTGGATCTTCCACAAAGCGTCACAGGGTAGCAGCAAAAATGAAGAGCGGAACAGCCATTTCAACCAACACTGACATCGCCTCTAGGCCAGGCCAGTTAGAAGGAAGTAGCAGGCCATCTTTCCTATACTTCTCCTGGATTTGGACAAATCTCGATTTGAGGAAGGTAGTGATGTCCTGCTTGATGATAGCCTGGGATATTTCGTGAAGCTCTATATTCTCGCGTATATCTTCTGGTATGTCTACAAATCCAGATCGAATTTGCTGCTCTGGTCTGCTTGTAATAAATATCTGTAAGATTGGTGACCAGTTCTCTCTCGTTTGTGATAAGAGGCGAAGGAGAGTGTCTCTATTCTGCGCGCATTCATCCAAAGCATCAATCACGATAATGAGTTTCGGTGTTTGGAGGAGGTGATGCCGAATCTGTGATAAAGGTAGATAGATAAGCTTCTCAAATTGCTCTCCCATCGATTTATCAGATATATTGGGATCAGCATCAATTGCCATCTCGACAGGAGCGATCAGTGACGGAATCTTTACTAAGAGTTGGGCACAAATAGTGTTAAAAAGCATAGTCACACTACCTCGATCAGCTTCCCCTCATTTAAAGAAAAAACTGGCTCCTAGTTTTCCTTCCATGTGAAGGGACTCGGCTACTGTTCGAGAAATCGTTGATTTTCCTGTTCCAGCTATTCCTTTCAGCCAGAATATTGACTTCCCTTGTCCATTTTCGGCCCATTCTCTGATTTGACGACGTAGGGCAATTCTTGTTTCTGGATGGCATCGTGGATCAAGAACTCCATCAAAAGAATCGAATGTGGAGCCCTTGGCATACGGCAGCTTCGCAATCACTTTCTCGCGCCGTCGGTCATTATCCAGGATCTCAATTGCCGTTTTTGTATTTTGAGCAGTAGTATGGACTTCTTTTATGTCCTTTCTAACTATGAATCTCATTAATAGAGAGCTTTGCAAGGTCCACTAGAGACTAACCTAAAGAAAGCACATCACTGATTCTCTTCTCAGCTTCCACCCGATTTGGCGAAATGCGAGAGAGGAGGTCTTTAGCATAAGCAGCCGCAGTCATCGCCGCATATCCTTGCCACTCTTTGTTCTTGTGAGAGTCAGAGTAGTCACAAATCCCCCGTATGACTAAGCATAGGAAATGATTCATCAAGCCCGCTGCTTCCATTTCAAAACAGAGAACGCCCTTCTCTGCTGCAAGTCGGTCACGGATTACAGCGTCTTTCATCAGCTGGTTTGCAGAAGCCACCAAGCCATAGTGGATCGCTGGGTTATCCTCATGTTCTGCTCGCTCGCGTCGCTCGACCACATATGATGGATTGTGAACACAGAACCCACAGGCTCTTGAGTTGTGAATGGCATGGGGATGAAAGAGCTTGTCAGTGTTTGGTTGCGGCCGTGCATATTCCTGACATAATCTTGGATTTTTCTCGAGAACAAATCCAATAGCGTCTTCGCCCTGATGCCCTTTCCGCTTGTGCTGGGCTTAGATCCCCGTGACTGCGGTGCGTAGTATCGTCGGAGGCTAATTCAGGAAACATGTATGTTGGAAGGCCTGCTCCTGTATTGTTTTACCAAAGTTGTACTCAAGGACACCGCCCTCACCGTCACGAGGCGCGCTAACCACAATATCTCCAAGACGGATATCATGCTTTCTACTTAGTGCTCCACCACCAATACCCACCATCAAGCCGATCCTGGCATTTAGGAAACTATTAAGCATGTTTGTGGCTACAGTAGCAGCGGAGGCTGTTCCATATTCACCGTCAGGTAACACAGCTATAACGACATTATGTTTTCCAAGCCTGCCCAATGTGTAGTCATTAGTGTCATTAGGCGACACGAAATCCAGCAGTGCATGCTCATCATCAAGGAATTCTTGTGCGGCAACGTATTCTGTGCTTAATGCACATATCCATCCAACTGTGTAGTCGTTCGGGTTAGACATCCTTCGCAATGAAGGATGTTCGCCACCCGCTGGCAGGATCGATTTCCGGATGTTATCTTGGCCGATTATGGATAGCTTTCGGTGAATTGAGGTGGCCAAGTCATGATTTTTTCGATCCTGATATCCCAGCCGTCTGCAAGTCAGCTTATCCGAAGAACATGATGATACAGGGAGAGGCACAGGACAGTGGACTGGTTTGTCAGGAAGCAATTCAGCCTCGTCAACCCCTCTCGCCACGTGACACCTGTCTGCAAGGCCGTCACATCTCATGCACTCAATGAGATAGAGTAAAAGCCATTTCGAGTTGATAGGCGACTTCCTTATTGTCGGTTTATCTACGTCTAGGTCGCTAGCACTAGTCACGTAGAACAGCTATTCCGACGAGCTGACGAGCCTGATCAATATGGTATGGGATTCCTGATATTGATGACTGCCCCCCAAGAGTAAGGGGGACGGGGAGTAGCTAACTACATATATACGCGGCACGCACGTGCCGCGTTAGACTAACTGATATTCAGTGCCGAAACGCGCTAGGTTTGATATTCACGTTCCGACACTTATAATTATTCATATCAAACAGTCGGAGGCTCAAATTCCTCACCTTTCTCTACCACCTAGCTCCCAGGAGTGCAGCCTTTGACGCGTCTCAACGCGCCCGGCAACACCATGGCGCGTAAAGGCCCTGGTACAGACGGCCCTCTATAGATAGCCCTTCTGGAATCCACGTCTGCAGCCACAACAAGAGCTTCTGAAGGACAGAAGATCTCCAGCCCTATAGCTGCATTCCTTAATAAACACCACAGCCAAACTATCGGCCTTGCTCCTCACCTACTGAGAGCTCTCACCGCTCTAAGCGATAACCTCGTCTTGGTAGCTCAACAATATTTTAACGCCTATATTAGTGGTATCTTGACGACCTCCATTCTACTTTCTCTATCTCCTTCCCCTTTCTCTTCTCTCACTCTAAATCCCTTACCCCCTTCACCCTCTCCCTCACGTCCCCCCTCAGGTCTTAACCAGTCAACTTATGTAACTATTACCCAATATGCCCTGGTCAAATTAACTCCCACCACTCACCCTAAAGCCTCCATCAAAAAGCCTATACCTCTAGTGAAACAACCCCTTCCTAACAACTGGCTCTTCGTATACCTCCCAGCTGACCATGCAGCTAGAAAAATGGAAGCCTACGCTATCTACTCTAGCCTACAGTCTTAACTAAACTTAAATAGTGCAGCACTAAAAGAAGTTCAAGCTACAAAGACTGGCTTTGCACTATGCCTCTCATCTCCAGAAGCCCTCCTAGCCCTTGAGACCCAAAAAGAGACTATCTCTGCATTCTTTGTTAACTGCCAGATAGAACGCAGCTCCCAATGAGTCTCATACCGAGTCACCAACGTGCCAAGGAAAATTGGCTAAATCTTGGATGGTCAATACTCTCTAATCTCTGTTAATCCTACACTACTATCCTTAGAAATTAGCGAAACTACAGGGCTCAAGCTTATATCTATTAGCGAGACCACTACAAGTACTGCCAACCCTGATACTCTCTCCTTAAGCTGGTTTGTCAACTTCTCAGAAGGCATGAAATCACCACTGCCTATCTAGCTATGTCTTTTTGACACTATCACTAATGCTTGTCACCTTTCTAAGAAAACAATAGTTATTTAATACATACAATGCTAGAAATGGTATAATACACGATCCTGTGCACGCCCCTCTCAATACCAACTATGCGGCTCCTTAGAGCATACTGAAGAGGGCCTAGAGCCTTATTAATGCCCTCCTAGATGTATATACTGCCATGGATCACATCCAGCTGATTTCGTAGAATATCTTCTGCGCCCCAAAGGCAATACTAAACATACTAAAGCTTAATAAATAGAGATCCGCAAATCCTGCGCTATAAACCTCGCAAAAGCTCGAACTGAAGGAGGATATAGCTCTTAGCTCTCCATAGATACACAAGAAACACCTATGGCATTAGATAAGATGCTATCATAGCCTTTAATCTATAAGATTATCTCTCCTTTCCATTTAGTAACCCCTCTACCTCATGCCCTAACTAAAGATCCTCCTATTATAGCTCGTGCAGTCTATTTTATAACCCCTCAATCATAAAACCAGTTCGCCTCTCTTCTTGAATAGAAGCTATGATCTATCACTATCTAACTTAAAAGGCGCCTCTCAAAATCCTACAGTTAAATGTAGGGCACGTGTTAGATGTATATAAAATAGCCCTCACATTGGCATACACTAGCAATATCAATATTATCCTAATCTAAGAACTATATATATTCAAAGACCTTAGCTAATAGATCATTAAAAAATATCCATCATATGAATACTTCTCCCCAACTGATAGCTGGGTAATAAGTGGCCGACTACGAGTCCTCATCTATATCTAAAAGAAGAAAGGCATCCGGACCTCCCAGCTACACCCCTTTATAACTGACACTAAAGAAGCCTCAGATCTTCTATTCCTTCAGATTTTTTCGCCCACAGAAAAGTCCACTCTGATAGTTAACATCTATAATGCCCCAGCAGGCTCTATCAAAGCAAGTGAAGCTGCGAAAGCTCTCACAATCCTGCCAGAGGCATATTTCCCTCAAGCAATGATACTCGCAGGCGATCTCAACCTACTACATAATAGATAGCAGCCCTCGCTATATCATAGCCCCACACCCTCTGCAGAGCTATTTATTAACTGGCTGGATCTCTAGGGTCTAGTACTCATCTCTGACATAGACTGTCCCACACATGAAAGGGGTAACGTATTAGACCTCAGTTTTGCCTCAAGCCCTCTGGCACTCGCGGGAGCTAAGGCCAGCATAGCGAGCCACTTAGATGCAACCTCAGATTATCAACCACTAATCACTACTGTACCATGGGATCAGAGATACAAGGAAACAGCTCAGAAACTGAGATTTGACACGCTAGACCACACCTGCTTCCTCTCACTCCTCGCCTCTAATCTTGCTAGTATCGAGAGCTCAACTATGATAGAAGAAGACCTTAATGCCCTTGCCAAAAAACTAACATCTGCAATCCAAGGAGCATATAGAGGCTCTGCTAAGAGAACCCTGATACAAGGCATAGGACAATCTTGGTGGAATGAAGACTACAAGAAAGCTTTATACAACTACTACTCAGGCCTCTGCTTAAAGATAGACTTCTATAGGATAACCAGATGGTCTCAACGATAATTTTGGCGAGAGAAGCTCTCTACGGTAACACAAATAAAGGATGTCTTCAATATGAGTAAATGGTATAAGTCCATAGGCACCTTCCGAAGCCCTCTACTAAAGGACCTACTAAGACCTAACAGCTTCCCAGCAGTTGCTTTACACGAGAAATAAGATGTACTAGTCCACAATCTTCTCTAAAACTCAGCTGAGGCAGGAGATATATCTTTGGATTCTCCAGCAGTCCCTACCATCAGTCTCTACTTCCTAGATATATCAATGACACAGGTGGAGGAGTTAGTACTTCAGGTGGGAAACACAGCCCCTGGCGCAGATGAAATCCCAACCTGTATACTTAAAGTGGCATGGTCTCTAATTAAGGATAAGGTACTAATGCTATACCAAGGGTGCCTAAAGATTGGTTATTACCTGAAATGCTTTTGATATGTAATCTTAGCAATTATCCAGAAACTAAAAAAGACTGATTGGTCCTCACCCAGATCGTATAGACTAATCGCTCTCCTATCAGTCCTTGGCAAAGGACTTAAGCGCTTAGTGGCACGGAATATGGTATGGATCTCTATACACTACAAAGTATTTGTAATACAATAGTTTGGAGCTCTCCAACTAAGATCTATAAATGATCTAACCACATACCTAACACATGATGTCGAACAAGTGCTAAATCAAGGTATGACTGCCTCACCCCTCACCTTAGATGTTAAGGGTGCATTTGATGCTGTGCTTCCTGGTAGACTGATCCGCAGATTATGTGAGTAGGGCTGGCTCACTAATCTTGTTCTCTGGATTGCCTCCTTCGCTACTGGGCGATTAGTTCAGATCCAACTTGATGGAGAGATTGAACCCTCAACAGACATTGCCTGCGGTCTTCTATAAGGATCCCCAGTCTCAGGCATTCTTTTCATGCTCTACATAGCATCTCTATTCCGTCTAGGAAACCCAAGGAACAGATTTGGTTATGCGGACAACATAGCTAACCTAGCAATCTCGACATCTCTTGCTACTAACTGCAAAGCCTTATCAGACTCCCTCTAAGAAGCTCTTAACTGGAGTGCTGCAGAGGGCATTACTTTCGCACTAGATAAATATAAGCTACTTCACTTCTCCCAACATAAAGCAGACTAGGACTTAACCTGCACACCTTCAGTAAAAGCTAGATCTATCACAATATCAGAAAATACTAAACAGCTATATCTATGTTGGCTAAGAATCCTCTTTAACAAAAGCTAACATTTAAATGGCATGTTGGAGAAATAGTATTTAAAGCCCTCACTGTAACTAATGCCCTCCGCTCTCTAGGGAATACTGTCCAAGGAGTTAAACCTCATTTACTATAATAGGCTATATCAGCCTGTGTACTCTATAAAGTATACTATAGTGCTAAAACCTGGTGGCCAGGACGTACTTGCTCTGGGTCTTCCCAGACTTCAAACCGAGTTGGAGAACATCTTGAGAAACTCACTAAAGTAATACTAACAGGCGCAAGAGCATTCCTTCCAGCCTTCCGCATAACCCCAATTCCTGTCCTTTATCGAGAGTCTGGATTCTCTCCACTAGATATTGAACTAGATCGAATGGCTCTTCTTGCAACTGTCCGCCTACGGCGTCTTGATCCCTATCACCCACTTCGAAGACGCGCAGAACAGATCGCTAGTAATGGCCGACAAACCAGCCATTTTGCCCGCCATATACTGGCCCTCCCTAATTCTGAACAGATAAATCCTCTCCAATACACTCCCTGGCACCCTCGCGAGTCTCGCGAGAATGCCCAAGCTTGAATAGGAGCTCCCATGGGACACACTAAGGAACAGGCAGCGGCTAATTTCGCAGACTTCCAACGCACCATCCCCAGCTTGGATATTGTAATCTTTTTAGATGGATCTAGGCTAGTAGATAGATATGCAGGGGGTAGCTATATTGGACTTTAAGCACACCATTAGTTCCTCCACTCCTCACTCTTATATGGACACGGGAAAGAGGTTTTCAATATAGAAGCAGAAGCAGCTCTAGCTGGTGCTCAAGTAGCAATAGTGTACCCAACAGCTTAATTTGCTACTAACCTATGGATCTGCCTTGACAACCTAGAAGTTACCACACGCCTTCTATCTCCCTCTACAGGATCTTCCTAAGAAATCTTTGAATCCTTCTGCACCCTTACAGCTACCTAGCCACTCCATAAAAGGCTTCCTCACACCAAAGATGGATTTATTTAAATCCGATAGGTTCCTGGACACGCCAAAATCCCTGAGAATGAAGCGGCTGATCTCGCTGCCAAAGAGGGAGCTGCCTCTATCCCTCCTGCTCTACACAAGTTCTCATACGCCTCGCTAAAGAGATACGCCAAGACTCAATCCCTATCCGCTGCTCAGTTATAATGGCAGAAGATGGCACCACAGAGTTATCAAGATCTAGAAATAACTACTTCCCCCAAGCACCCTGGGGAGCTTTAACTTAACCGACTTGATCTTAGCTGTATCATTATGGCCCATACTGGTCATAGAGACTTTGCAGACTACTATGAACGTTTTAACCATGATGATGCTTACCTTCTCTACTGATGCGGAGCACGAAAAGCACCTCTGCACTTCTTCTTCTGCTATATAGCTAAGAGATAAGCCCCCCAGCCTCCTCGGCCCCCTTCTAAGGTCATCTCCTTTCTCTTAGGCACTACTAAAGGAGCACAAAAGCTAGCCACATGGCTAGCAGAGACCTACTTCTTTGAGGATATCTATCCTCGCCAACCTCTCCTTAGCACCTAGCTAAGACAGCCCTACTCTTCCTTTATATTTCTTTCTTCTTTCTTTCCTTCTCTTCTCTTCTTTCTTTCCCTCTCTGCAAAACTTACTGCTTAGTTATAATAGTGGTGGAGTAATAGGTCATGAAGTGTAGGCGGACCATTGCAGCTGGCAAATACCCAAAACCCACTCCAAGTGGACCTCCCTGTAAGACCATGGTAGCTATGGAAACGCGCTAAAGAGTCTCTTATTTGTACATAAATCTGATAGGACCTGAAACCCGAGGCTTACCCCTCGGCGGCCTATGTCCCAGTAGGGATCGGTGGGAAGCGTGCGAGTCACGAACCACGGCCATTAAATACACACACACACACACACACACACTCAATGAGATACAGTATTTTGCATGTTCAGAGTACCCGTGCCCCCAAGCCCGCGACCACACGCTGCGCGTGTGGGTGCGCGTCACATAAATGCAAATGACACATAAACGCAACTTTTTATTTTGGAATCTCCCCGAATCATTACAAACCCCCAAAACACCACCAAAATGCCATCTTAGCAATATATAAAAGAGGAATCAAGGATTCAGAAAGCGATAGAATCGCATAAGCAAAATCCGATGCAAAAAATAGCGCGTTTAGCGCGGGAATTTAACGTTGATTACCATCGGCTCCGGCGACGCCTACAAGGTAGTGCTTTTCAACTAAACCGACGACCAGCGCATAAGCGATTAACGGATGATCAAGAACGTGCTGTAGTTCTATGGATAGATGACCTTGATGACAGAGGCATCCCTCCGACCGTCCGCATGATCAGAAATTACGCGCAAAAAGTGCTTCAAAATATGCACCCCGGCGTGGATGACCTCCCTCAACTTGGGGATCGTTGGGTCCACCGATTTCTCAAAAGACTGCCTACAGCATACAAAAAGCAGAAGCAAAAGACTATAGATCCAAAGCGTCATCTTGCTGAAGATCTGAATATAATTCAAGCCTGGTTTGATCGTCTAGAAATCGCAATAAGAGAGTATGAAATTACATCATGTAACTATTGGAACTTTGACGAATCCGGATTTCAAATTGGACAAGGAGGCGATGAAGAAGTTATAACAAAATATCCGGAAATGATACGGCATGTTCCAAGCTCTTCTTCACGGGAATTAGTATCTACAATTGAGGGTATAAATGCAGAAGGAAATACGATTCCTCCATTACTTATTTTTACTGGAAAGGTTATCCTTGAGAGCTGGTTTCAATATCTCAAAGAAGATAACTGGAAAGTGACTATAAGCGACTCAGGCTTTTCAAATGACGAGATTGCATTCGACTGGGTTAAACATTTTGAGGAGCATACACGAGAATAAGCTGGGAATAATTTTCGCCTTCCTTATGGATAATCATACCGCTCACCTTACAACCGATTTTATATCTTATTGTGAAGAATATAAGATCAAACTTTTCCGATTTCCGGCTCATACAACGCATATTTTACAGCCTTTAGATGGAATGCCGTTTCTACACTATAAACGCATTCATAGAAGGGCTATCAACGAGCAGGCGCATCTTGGTGGTTTCTTCTACGATAAGATCGATTTTTTGGCCAATATTGCTCGTGTACGCGCCGAGGCATTTACTCCACGAATTATCCGGAAAGGATTTTCTGACTGGGGGCTCTGGCCTCTCAATCTAGATATTGTTGTTGATCCTTTAATGGAAAAATGGGATATCCAAATGGGCCAAGATTTGCAGATTTTTGATGGTGACGAGGAGCAAGATATCCCAAGTTCACCCACTAATGCTTCATTTTCTCCGCTAACTACTGCGTACAAGCTTTAAAAATCTATTGCTAAGGTTAACGCCCAGCTAAATGACCTTAATAAAGCGATTCCTGGAATCTGGAGGAATCTGAAAAAGATTTTTGACGGAAGTCTTACGCAGGCCCATATCAAGGATCAACAACAAGAGCAAATTGACCGCCTCCAAACGCTCAATGAACGCAAATCCGCTAAAAAAACTAAACGCCAGGTGCAAGTTGGAGGCATTCTCTCTGTAGCAGATGCGAATAGAGCCATCAAAAAGCGTGCTACAGCTGAGGAAAAGAAGGCTGAGAGGAAAAGGCTCAAGGAGCTACGAAATGCGCCATTGGGATCAATGCCTCCCCCGCTTACAGCAAGCGACGAGGCGGCAATTGATCGTAATATCATATTGAATCTGGTCGAGCAGGCTTACCCGAGACGCTCTGATCCAAATTTAATTCGTTGGGTGGAGGATAGGATATAGTTTTGTTAGCAATTCCCATACAAATTTGCATTTATCTGACTATTGCACTTATGTGACGCGCACCCACACGCGCAGCGTGTGGTCGCGGGCTTGGCGGCACGGGTAACAACTAAAACTCCCTTCGCTTTCATCTGAAACAGTGCCAAGACTACGCTATGACAAAGGTGGTATAGCGCGGGAATAATATTGATCCGGAAATAATGCTATACCTCTCGATACAGGTCTTAATTTACAATACATGTATGGTGCTAAACACATGTCCTGAACATGCCTGATAAACCTGGAGACCTGCCAAGTTGACGACATCCTGTATTCTGTATCTACAGTATCACAAAGTAGATACTTCGATGTGTGTAGTAGGGCTATTCTCTCATTTGCAGGTCGGCTAGTGCTCTGGAGTACTAGCTGAGGAGAAACACATCCTCATGCAGCTGCTAGTCATTCTTTTGAGCCTGTCAGCTGCAGCCCCGTATGCAACATGGTTTAGGGTCCGAGACTAACATATGGCAACGCTATATACCACGATAGACTAAGTTCGATCGGTGCTAAAGCATTTTAAATCATATTATAACAAAGATCCACGCTTTGACTTATACGATCAGCAAATTAGTAGACATTTTGATCTTTTGAATAGATCGATTAGATAAGCAATCAAGAACAGTAAACAACTATACGGCTGTACCAAGTCATGGCTCGTCCGTAGTCCTGAGCTTCTGGTAACTCTCACTGTCTTTGGCTTCACCTAAGCCAGGCCTGGTCCTAAATAAGTACGTATCTGTTGCGTACCTGAACAGCGTCCAAGTTGCTTGCAGAAAGACTAAGTCCGCTACCAAAATGGATACTATGATATTTCCGGTAGACTTCAGTTGAGGGACTTGACAGGTATATTGACTGGCAATGATGCTTGGGGTTGTTCCTAGAGGGCCCGTTTCGTTCTTTGCCGTGAGGTAATCTACTTTGGCTTCGGGACCGGGATGAGCGTTAGCCCAGTGTTGACCGATTGAGGCAAAGGATGATGTAAAGTATTCCAGGTCATCAACATCGCTGAGAAAGTTCGACTTGGTTTGTATTTGTCCCAAGTCTGTCAAGACAACTGAGTAGGCAGATTTGGCCAAGCTATCAACTATTGTCCACACATCAGGGTATTTTTTAGCTTGATCAAGTTCAGTAATAGTCGATTCATTGCCATTGCCAGGAGTAATGACATCGAACCTCCCCAAGCCATAATCGATTATGAAACGAAAGTCGATGTTGAAGAACTCAAGATTTTTGATGTTTATTGTGCTGTTGTTGTTCGGAGCAAAGTAGACTGTGCCTTTTCTGATGGCAGCGTTGCCTGACGCTGTAGTATTCTCCCTGATGTCTTGCATTACTCTTGTAAGAGCTACATAGTAGTTTGAGAGTGCAGATTCACCCCACCATAGACTCGCTCGGGTTTTTTTGTTTCGATCAAGAAAATTTGTGCCAAGATATGTGTATAGTCTTGCCCAAGAAACAGTTGGTGGTATATAGTCGTAGGTCTGTGTCAAATTAACATTGATCACTCCGCCTGGGCTATTGAAGGCACAAGTGATAAAAGTTTGTATGACACTGCCCCATTCTGAGAAGCCAAATTGAGATGCGGAGCGATCTAAGGCCTCGAGATTCATTTCAACTGAAGTTACTGTGCAGTTTTCGATGACATTATTGGAATAAGATAAGGACGAGAGAATCGTGGTATTTGCGCCATCAGAAGATGTCTGCCAAATACCCGTCAACTGATAGACCAGGGCGGTTTGGTTTGTGAATAGCTGGCTGCCAACAGGAATATTTGCGGGCTGGCACGTTGGCCGCACTTTATCACTGAAGTAAGATGGCCAGTGGTTTAGCCATGCAGAGCCAGCAATGGTAGAGTTCAAATCATTCGTGTTATGAGTGACCATACTATAACCGTTGGCAGCAAAGTTAAGGAGACTGAATAGGGCAGTGCATACCAATCCCCCTGTTATTGCGGTCGGTGTAAACCATCGATAAGGATATGGCCGTGTAATGTTATAAGAGAAGAAAGATTCATATTGAGGTTTGACTGGCATATTTTCTTTTTGATTTTGTACGGTATAATAGTCTGCTGGAGTCTGATCTTTCAATATCATGAACCTTGAAAAGGGTTGGCAAATAGAAACGAAACTTGATTAGAAAGTTATTTAGCAACGGAATTCGATTTTCATGGCGACAAAGTAGTCATTCTAAGAAATATGGCTTTAACTATAGGGACGAACGAGGTGAGGGTTATTTATATATTTTAGATAAGTACTCTGACGTGAGATGAAGAATTAATCTACTAGACAGGATTAGCAACCTGTAATTACAAGTAACAACTCCACATTTGTATCGTACTAGGAAGGCGGTAGGCAGGGCTGACTAAGAGCTGACTAATATGGACTCCACATTTATGTACCTCAAGTGACAACTGCTGTTCCATGAGGTGACAACTGTTTTAGGTAAGCGCACGGGCCCAAGAAACCTCGACACATGTTTTTTCTCAGGTACCTCAGCCCACACCTAATTATACAGGCAAATAAAGTGACGATGGAATGGCAAAGTCCAACGCCCTTACCAACTGTTTCTTCCCAAAACATCCCTCCATCTTCTCAGGATTCAAGTACGAATAGTCCTGTTGGCAGCAATCTACGCATATCGGCGAGGGGTCTGAGGCCTAGTGACGAGGAGAAGCTTGTACTCTTCAATAGCTGCTTAGAGCTTCAACAATAGTGGCTTGAAGGCAGCAATAAAGAAAAATTCTGGCAAAGCGTTGCTCAAAGATTTGAGGCTTCAACTGGGCGTCAATATAGATGGGAATCATGCCGTCGAACTGTCAACAACGAGGTCAAGCGACGCCGTGAATATTTGAAGTCGTATGAGACTGGCAAAGCCAGTGAACCAAAGTCGGATCTACATGAGGCTATTGACATGTGGACTGAGATACTTGATCAACAGGATATGATAGTTTTAGCTTCACAAGCTAGTGCTGAACAGCGTCGACTTGATGCTGCTGTCGATGATGATTTCCGGCGCCAGTTTACAGAGAGATTGGGCCAATCACGCGTGAGAAACGAGTCAACTATAAGCTCAACTACAAGCGCTACCGAGGATACAGAGGATTCAGAACATCCAAAACGGCGGCGACGTACAAGATTAAACGACGAGGAAGATGCTATGACAACTGCTCTAGTAGATTTAACTAAAGTGATGTCTGAGAGTCTTCTAACTACTTCACAAGAAAGCAAGGACATGTCGACTGTGGTTGAAAATATTGAACGCCGTTTAGAACACTTAGAAGCAAATTATATACGTACAAATGAGCTTCTTGAGCGCTTGATCTCCAAGCTAAACTAGCAAATAGTCTTTCAATAAAGGAGGCTTTATATCATACCGATTCGAAACTACGTTCCCACGTAGACAGGTATGAATATTTGTTAAGAAGACAGAAATAGCATAATATACAGCAACAGGCTGTAATAATCCCTTCAAATTAACATCGAGGCTGTTTGCTCGCCATATTGAGGTCACATATCCAAATGCTTGCTCAATCGAGATCCGATCTGAAGATAAAGCACAGTTGAAGGCAATTTCAGCGCGACTTAGTAGTCGTGTACGCTTATATGGGGCAATGACACGGTAGCATGATTCATATGGTGAATCTCCATATAGAAATAATGGCTCGTGGCCTTCAAAAAGCTTCTCGAGTCGAGCCTCAAGCCTGGACAGTGTATAAAGAGATATATCATGAAGACGACCTTCAAATGGACCTGCGCAAGAAAGAATCATGCCATCAGGTGTAGCAATTCCCTGATATTTAAAGCCGTGAGCTTTTTTATAACCAGAATAAACATGCTCTTGGTTTCTCTTTGGCCGGCAAATTTTGTGAAAAGTACCATCAATAAATCCCCAAACCTTCCCAGATCCTAAAGCATTAAGCCTTTGCGCGTAGAATTGAAGCTTCTCGTACGTGAGCAAAGGATGCCAGTTAATTATAGCTGAATAGCGACTATAAAGATGGAGGATCGTATCATTAAAAATAAACAAGATATAAGTTTCCGACCGACCAAAAAAGGCTTCAAGATCTTCATTCCTTCAGGACCAAGCGAGCCGTGCAAGCAGTATTGAGAAGGCAAGCTCCGGTGAGGCAGTTAATCGGTCTCGGAAGACTATCTCTTGAAGCCATAAATAAGGTAGGATTTCGAGAATCTCATGCCGTTGGAATCTAATATTTTGATCAGTAAGCACCAGCTACCTAGAGCAGTATTTTCGAACCGTAGCATTGATCGTATTGTGGCATCTGAATATGCTAAGAGGCTATAATCAAACTGTTTATAGCGCAGCATTTTATGGTGAGAAGATTGTCGCCATTTTCTGATATAACAGGTCAATATTATGATGAGAAGAAAGATCTGTTTCTGTACTTTGATTAAAGCCATATTTTAGACAGACTCAAGGAAATTTGATGAAGTTATCAAAGTTATATATTGTACAACGAATAGTCTCTATTTGGTGGTGAGGTTATACCAAAGTACGCTAACCTGATTAGTTTCTGCCGTTTTTTTTGACCTGTTACTTGTTACCTGTAATTACAGGTTGCTAATCCTGTCTACTCTTTGCAAGGCTGTGAAACAAGCGCTGTGGCTCAGTGAATTGATTGGTACATGTTACTTCGGCCCCACGCACTGCCACCGTGGGGCGAAGCGACAACCAGCTTGTTACATGATCGGACAACCCATTTGATCACTCTTAAATCGTTAGAATATTATGTAGATGGACGGAGACCTAGAAATAATAAATAACTATATAATCTTGTTGAGATATTAAAGTGATAAAAATGATTTGTATGGAAAACACAAGTGATCGGTTGGATGACACGTTAGCTAAATAGAAAGCAAAGGCTTTTGGAGTGATTACTCAGCTCGGAGTATGCATCCGTCGAGACTCAAGTTCTGTAAATTAAATCTACAACTAAGCCTCGCTGTGATGGGCTGGGTTACCCGTGCCAGCGCGCACCAACCTCGAGAGGGTAACAATGCACACTAACTAGAAATGTGTGGACCTGAAAAACCGCTACGTCACAAAAGAATCCCCTCAATGGGTTTGGTCTTGTAAGGTCATTTTCTGGCTGACATTATGTTAACTCTAACTTAACTAGTTAACGTAATCGGTAAGCGAGTTGGGTGTATACAGTTCACTTGAACTCGATGGACGGCTCGTGAGCCATTATTGTCTCCACCACTAGGCGCCAAGGCCCGCCAAAACTTCTTAGTCAGCAGGATGGTTGTAATTAATCATCTCGCAATGGAATCGACTGAATTTATTGATGCACTAAATGATGAGGATAATTTTCAAATAAATGACGGTTTATTTGACGATTTTGGCTTGGAACAGGAAGAGGTATTTTATAATATATTAAGTACTTGTTAACTGGTTACTGACTGGTTAAAAGGACGAATATTCAGTTCCAATATTTCTTACACATGCCAAAACAAATCCTCTTACAGTACAACAGTTAAAATAGATTATATTGATGATCTACCAGAATATCCAGAATGTCATATTCATGGATATAGTTATATTGTTGCTACTAGCGGGCGATCTCATGAAGAAATGACAAAATTAACAAAGGAAGAAAGTTTTTAATCAGTTCGTAAGAGATCTCTAACCGGTTAAATTCAATATTCGAATAATACAATTTTATGGACAAAGAGACCATGTGATAAAATGTCAATTTTTAGATTGTGACGTTAAAAAATGGACATGAAATAGCTCTGGGGTAATTAAATGTAAATATTTACGCTTGGATTTACATGTATCATATGCACGTCGCTGACATTCCTAAAGTTAAGTCTTAAGAAGGGAGTGAAAGAGAGGACGATAAGTCGTTTTCTGTCGCTAAGCCAATACAAGTAATTTATGGTAGCGTTTATCTCGTTACTACTCAGTACCGAAGAAAGAAAATTACATGGACCAGGGTTGTTCCGGATCTAGCCATATATATACTAGGCTTTCTTTGTATTGTTTCAGATGAAAGCGAAGAGAGTTTTAGTTGTTACTCTGAACATGCAAACTACTGTATCTACCTAGGACTAGCTTTCTAAGACTTGAAGACTAGTATTCATGTAGATATAGACTATGTTACCTAGGTCAGCCACAGTGTTAAGATAGATTACCTAGATTATATTACAGCTTAGACGAGACCGTTACGCCAATATTCAGTTTGGAAAGATCAATAACTGTACAACGTCAGTCTGCGCGGCGAAAACAAGTCCCCTTGTGCCCAGCCTTCTACACAAATTGTCTAGGCTGATGGAACGCACAGTAAGGGTTCGAGTCTCCCTCGTTTACTTTACTACATTCACTTATGCACTGATCTATAATCCAACAGGTTTGATAGATGATTCGTGCGCACTGGTACTAGTCAATTGCAACTCAAACTTCTACTGTACATGCAAACCATCCTCCACAAACTGCTTAGCCCCTTCCGTAGGAGCTTTCCAGGCCACGCGGTCCTTGGTAAACTGCTCCATCGTGGGCCTCAGTTTAGTCTCGTGCAAAGAGAAATCATCCACACTGCCAACGCGTAGAATACTCATTCCCGGGAAAGCCGCACCGACGCGGTACATAAGAGAGCCGCACGTAGAACAGAAGTAGTTGGTCATGGTGTTGTCCTTGCCGGGAGTTTTAACGAACACAGTGCGCGATTGGCTATATGTCTTCAAATTGTCGCGGCCACGCAGATGTTTCAGGTGCGTGTCATAGACCGTGAAGTTGGTCGCGTGCACAGATGCGGTAAGCTTGTGGCAGTCAGAGCAGTTACAGATGAAGGAGCCAACGTAGCCGGGTCCATGGGTTGGCTGGGAATGTAGAGCCGCTGTTAGAGTAGCGCAAAAGTAAGAGCAGGATCGGAATTGAGACTTACGAATGAGAGTTGCACCGCACCACAAAAACATGTGGCCGTCGCTTCATCCTCGGTAGACCAGCCATCATCAGCACCTCCAGCGAGAGGAAAATACGGCTTTGACTTGTCAATAGTGGAAGATGCCATGGTTTCGTACTACTGTGACTTCGTGATGATAGTATGAAAGACGATAAGCTTTTTTAATATATAAAGGACGAGGATCTTGCAGTTTCAAAGCAGGCTTTATATACTTGTGAGGGAACGATTCCCGTGTAAGTTTTTCCGTCGTATTATGCGTCATTTTCAGCCACTTTTGATTGAACCCCCGCGCTGGCCGACCAAACGTGCTTGGTAATCGAAGGCTTAGAAATCCAACTCTTGAGCCGGGAATGACTTTGCTGGTCAGATTCTTCAGTTCCCGTCTAGATGATCTGCAACCTGTACAACATCCCTCAGTTAAGTTCTGAGAAAACACATCCAGTCCTTATATCCGTAAGCAACAATATGACAATCTGCGATTCCTTCGGGGAATTTTACGGCTCGCACGACCACCTGGATTGACCGAGTCGCTTCTAATTGCACAACTACCTTTTACAAAGATCTCCGACTATAAGGGCCCATAGATCCTCGAGGTATTTACAATGTACCTCTTGCTATCGAAACAACGTCGCACGGATGCGGGCCCCAGGAGGGTGATCGTGACGTAATTCATATGATGACAAATCGATATATTTTGTTCTCCGAGCGCCCGAGTTTCAAAGATTGAGGCGTGCGAAAACTTCCATTGGCAACATCAAATCAAAAGGGTCATCGTGCCTTATCGAACTAGGCCATGCTAGCAGTAAGAGGTCATTCTGCCACCGCGTCTGAACAAATCAAAGTGCTATCGTCGCATCAATTGCTTGGACCTGATCCACTAGTCGCGCGTAAGAAGCTCTATCTGGCCTAGATCCGCACTAAGATCCAACCTAACTTAAGTCTCATCTCTCAATCCTCCAAAAGATCAATGACTTGGATTTTGGCATCTTTTTTAATTAGATCTGGTTTTGTGAGAGTTCTTAATGTTCTCTATTCTTTGGAGTCTACTTCTTTTGCCATATAGACAGATTCGAAACCTCCTTCATGTCACGGACCTGGATCCACCTTAGTTCTAACAGCGGTGCGTCGTGATACGTTAGGATAGTTGAACCTCGCACACGTTCCGACCAATAATATAGTGGACCGTAGTGGATGGTATGTAACGAAGTATCGAACAGTAATGGGACGGTGACTGGGAATAGTAACAAAACTAAGATAGAAGAGATCCCCCGTACAGCCTGGTGCCCGTACGAGTTAGAATGCCTTGCTGACTCTCACTGTTGTATTCAAGTGACTTATGTCAAAGAGCTATGAAGAACTAAATACATGATGGTAAAAGAGCGTCCTTTCTATATCCAGTCCTCCACGTTTCGTATATCGTATATCGTAGTATCGTAGTATACTACGATATTCTTACTACAATACTATGATTCCTCCTCCAATGATATCCCGTTGTTTCGTATATTCTTATCTCTGATAAGATAACGGTATAACTACTATCTTTCCTATCATTACGTGATTCATCAGGTCTCCGTTCCCCATTGGTCAATACCCGTTACTGTTCGTGACTTGTAACGACATGCCCTTGTAATTTGTGACCTTTCCTTTTCTGCTTTAGTACGCTTTAGTGTCCTGCAGACTTGATTCGTAACACTTCACTTTTCTCTTACTCTCTCCTCTTTTTCGGCTCCACTTTATTCCAGAGCTAGCTCCAGAATAGTTAGACCCGCTTTCAATCTTTCAAGACAATACAGAAATCTTAATTAAGAACCAATCATAATAATTATCTACTAAACATAGCGTACAGATTTGAACAGCCCTAGTCGCTTTTGGAATAGTTTAGGCACCAGCCCTTGATGCGGGGTAAAATAAAGAGAGTCTGTATCTTGAGTAGCAATATCAATGTTGGCCGGTACAACTGTGACTATAATAGAATGTGGGTTACTTACGTATTCAGGAACCAATTCTTGGATTATCTTTTTGTCCTCCTTTGTTGTAACTCCTGATGTTGTATTTCGAAAATTCTATGTACGTCAATCATATTTAAGTGTTCTTCCTCTGGGCTAGACCTAGGCAGGTGTTCAGGGTAACCCAACTGAAACATGTGTCAAACCCAACTTGGGCTGGGTTTTGGGCTCAAGGGGGGTGTTCTGAGTTGGGTTCTGGGCTTTCATATAGAACCCAACTGGGTTACCCAAAACCCAGTTGGGTAGACAAACCAGACAAACCAGACAAACATTATAGATCATGTGATATGCATTAATTATGCAGTCCCGGCTTGTATTTATATGTATTCAAACTATATTACTTTATATCATTATATGTATAGTTGAGGAGTGGAAGAATAAGAATTTTAAGAAAATCATTTTTAATTGCTCTTCTATTTCTTCTCTAACAACTAATAGTGAAGGAACTGATCATCCTTACGCCTTGTACGCTTCTGATTTCGTCCTGAGATATGTGGTTGCGTGTTAGGTAAAGGAAGAACCGCTTCATCATCAGATGAAATAGGTAGTAGCAGTAGTAGTAGTAGTAGTACGGGTTCATGAGAGTTTTAAGCGCGGCTTGGCTATCTGAGAAAATAACTAGTTTCTTGGTTCGTATGCCCTGATCTGCAATTTGAAGCGCAGTTTCGAGCGCGAATTTGATCCCACAGACCTCAGCTGCGTATACTGTTGAGGTGCCTTCCGTACCAATACACTCCGTTCGTTGTTTTCTGAATGTTGGAATGACCATGGACGTGCTAATATAGCCTTGATATCCACTGCCATCCGTGTATATTGCGATATGCTCATTCTTGCATGTGATGTTACGTACTGATACTGCCCCCTCTCGCTCATCAATCACAACCTTTGGAGGCTCATGCCACGGTGCCTGGACGTATGCAGATCGGCTCTCCCATTTCCCTGCTAAGGTTCTGGGGGGAGCCAATAAGCATCTGCTTTTCTTCCAGGCATGAGCTTCCATGGGAGTGTATCCGCCAAGCTTGAGTTCGTCGCTGGTGCGTCGATTGACTAGGCCGTCAGGAATTGCAAAGGCAGGACCTGTGCGAATCCGGATGGCTGCAGCCTTTGTGAGTTGATCCAGTTGCAACCGGATTGGCATTAGGTGAAGCTCTATATTGAGGGCCTCCGCAGCCGTTGTACGAAAAGCACCGCTGATCAGGCACGCTGCGCGCTTTTGGATAGTTGTAAATTTGCGTACAGTTTGTGTGATTAAAATATATATTTTAATTGTAGAAGGTAGTTGTATTATAATCTGAAGAAGTTCGAACTTTGATATTCTTAGTTCGTAGCCTCAAACTTCCGATAATCCTAACTTAATTATATTGAACATCTAGTATTCACTCTCTACATACCTATGCCATGTCAAAATTAAGCGAAATATATCGATTATGCTCAATTATGTTCTGCCAAAGTTGTAGGGTCGCGAGGTCGACCCTTAGGATGACTCTTACAACCCTTAGGCTGACCCTCACGAACCCCATTTCTAGCCAATTAGCATGAGGATTATCAAATGTGATCTGTCATTTTATCTCCTTATATCTACTCAACAGAGACAGGCAATTATCTACAAGACTCAACTACTCCTGAGTCCTTTGCCGAACTGCAAAGGAAATCTGGTAAGTCTTCTCTTCTTCTAACTATTGTTATGGGCTAAGCCTGATGTTAGAATTCTCAAACTATATATATGTTTATTCTTGAGGGAAAGGCATTCTTACAGGAGTTTTTATTAGCCCAAAGGAGTCACTATTAGTCCGAAAGGGGTGGAGCGCTCTAGTAAAGGATAGGATGTAAAAGAGCCTCTAAGGCCCTGGCAGAGTAGGGCTTCCTTTCCCTTCTCCTTCTTATCAAATTCTCTTGGTATATATAACTCCTGATAGCTTGTATCAGCAGCTCTAGGCCATCATAACTATTATTACCATGTCCTAGTTTTCTAATGCATTCTTATCTACTTATAGGGGTCCACCCTTGGATTTTCTTGAATACATTGCTGATGATGGTCCAGGTTCAAATCAGCTTTACTCCTCTATTCTATCTAGAAATTAAGATACCTCTCTTCTATTATTTAAGCTTCAAGTGGCACCTAATTGTCTTCCTCGGATTTGTCTAGACTGGATCAGATCATTCATCATATACTCCCTAGAAATGGGTAACGAATTCGTGCAGTGGTGGCTTCAGACTGATTTTAGGAAAAAGAGATAGATATCTTGGGATGCAAAATGAGCCGCAAACTACTGGAAAAACTTTAATTAAGTAGTGTTTGAAAAAGATAGAAAGCCTAGGGTTATGTGTTATTAATGTTAGAAGGTACTTGATTACCCTGCATTGGCTCACTTAGGGACATCTTCAATAAATAAGCATTATAATAGGATAAATTACTAGAAAGCTGATTCAGCTATAGGAAAGAAATTAAACATCAAGCTTATATTGGAATATTGTTGGTTGCTTCGTGCAATCGAGATGCCTGGCACTGGTATGCAGCAAGTAGAGGTCACGTATGGCTTACACGTGACCTCGTCAAGCAAGGACTATATAGACCGCGTCGGGGCCTCATTAAGACAGATAGACACAACAGAACACAGAACCCAAGAATCACCTATTGAGATTGACTCAAGTGCTTCGTACGTACGTATATGCACCTTAGTGCACCCACAAATATGCAGTATGTCTAAGACCTGACTTTGACAGTAAGCATCCCAGTTCTGATCTCAACATCTAGGCGCAGAATGTAACAGTACAAAGATTTGATAAGCAAGTTTGGCAGCGGAAGCTTGCTCAGCTCCTCACTGTATTATATCTACTCTTTCTTTTTCTTAAGTATACTGAGTTCTATGATTTAATCTCCTATACCTAGCTAGCATTATTAATGCTAGAAATTCCTTCTGCTAAAGTTATACGCTAGTAGCTTTAAGACCTCGTCTGTAAGAATTAAAAGAGTATCCATTAAAAACTCTCTTCTGGTGTGAAGCTATCACTTGTCCTGGATTGCTGGATATCTCTATTCTAATAGATATTTATAATGATTACAGGATACTTTCTCAATGAGAACTAGGAATATCATGAGATATTACTAGGATTTAAATACTTGCATGGATCTCATTCTAGTGCAAATTTAAGTGTAGTGCTCTTCCAGCTGCTACAGGAGTATCAGATCACTAATTGAGTGCTTGCGGTAACCACCAATAATATTTTAAATAATATTACTCTCATGGTAAGTGTCCACGAGGTAATTAAGTCACTACAATCCTTGAACAATGTTATTATCATTTAGGTACCCTATATTGCATATATAATCTAGCTGAGTCTCAAAGATCTCCTTGGGAAGATGAAGGCTGCTCCAAAGATTAATATGGCTGAGCAGACATAGTCTGATGATTAGGTGGATAGTCTTCATGCGAGACAGCAGAAACGCGAGATCGTGGATACTTTGAATAAGGTGCGATATCGTAGCTTTTATCCTCATTCATTATCCTAATCTGTTTCTTAGATTTGAAGCCTTACAATTTATATTAACACGAGTCCTCAGCGCCGAGAGTCATTCTACAACTTGCAAACCAAAAAGCCAAAGCTTGGGCCAATCCAGGATGTTACTACTTGGTGGAACTCCACGTTCTTAATGCTTGTACACATAAAGAAACTCTAGCAGTGTGATGGACGCTCAAGGCCCAGAAACAACTTCATTTCTAAGCGTAGCAGTATCGACGAAGAAAACTAAGTGTGAAGAAGAAGAAGAAAGGGAAAAACTGGCGCTGAGCCTTGAGGCTCTCCAAATACACTCTGTCATGGGATGGAGGCCTTATGGGGAAAGCGGTCTAAAATGGCAGAATTGCAAGATCATATCAACCAACTTGTTTGTAACTTAGGCCTTCCCTTCCTCTTCTCCCAAGCTTAGGATTATCATTAGAATAGGCTTATTGAGACGTCACAAGCAGACCTTTAATACTTTCTGCTCTTAGTACAACTAAGAGCACTTTGCCTTGAATTAGGAGCAGTAGCGACAAGTAGACTATCTTATCTATATTCTTTAGCCTTTTTACTGATTCACGACCCTTCTCTTGAAGTCCAAGAATATCACCATCCATTGGGTTTTTAAGATCTATAATAAGTTATTTGACCATCTAGAAAAGTCAATTAGACAGCTTAGACAGAAGAGGGTCACTTAGAAGTAGGTGATACTTGCATCTTTTAAAGCAGCAAAGGATAAGCTCTCAATCTACTATAAAGACACTGATAATATGGATGGTCATCTCTACGCCATTAGCACTATTCTTTCTTCATAGGATAAACTTCAGTTCTTCTTAACTGCAGACTGGGACCTAGAGGAAGACAGAATTGATTACCAAGCAACTTATCACCAGAGCCTTAAGTCCTCTCTTGAGAAGTACCTGGAGAATCTTGCCTAGGAGCAGCAGATATTAGGTGCTCCCTTAACAAGTATAGTAATGGATGAATTTGATTTAGCCTGTATTCAGGATGAGTTGCAGCAATCTTAGATTCAACAGCCAGTTTAGTCTGATGAGCTTGTAAGGTATCTTAATAGCAGTGAGTATCTCTTGATCTTGATAGGAATAATTACTGATTTCTCTTTTAGATATAGTTCCAAATGCCCAATCTCGAACCTGGTGGAAATATCACCAAGATGAATTCTCTGGAATGGCGAGGCTTACACGAGATATTCTCTCTATTCTAGCTAGTAGTGCAGGAGTAGAGTGGCTTTTTAACTCTATATAAGATATCTACTATTATCACCGAGGCTCTCTACAGCCTCAAACAATCTTAGATCTTATGATGTATATGTGTACATCACGGTTCGAGATTCATGAAAAGGAGCGAATAATGCTGTCTGAATATCTTTTGACTTAGGAGATATAGGCTGTAAAGAAAAAGAGAACTTAGTAATAAATCACTATTAATCTAATTAGTGATGATAAAGAGGATGAAGGGCTTTCTATAGAGTCCCAAGCAACTTCGTATGGCCCATCTACAAAGGCACTTGGCAAAAGACACCTAAGGGATATAGCTGAGGATGCGGAAAGTGCCCAGGAGAATAATAGTAAGGTTATATCTCTACTAGAGATTCAGCACTGAGTGTCAGGTAGAGTTCGCAAGCGTTCAAGGTTGCTTGATGGATATGAGATATAGAACATGTAGTTTAATTTGTTTAATTTGTCTGTTTAATTTATCTAATTTATTTTGATTTAATGCTTTCAGGGTGATTAGAGCTAACCAAGTAGACCTATAAATGCTGTAATTGAGATACGCAAAAATACCACTAAAATCTACAGAATTTGTTGGAACGCAATACGCTATCCCTAATTGGGAATCCATCATACTATAACATGAAGAAATTTCGAGAACTAGGTTCACATACTGACGAGATATAGACATCCAATCAGCTCTATATGGCTATATCTAGAAGGTTCGACTGGATGTCATCTCATGATCTAGTTTATACAGGACCTTACATATAAAAGAGGTCAACATTCCTGACAAGTTTTGTATTAGAGAGTGTGCATTAATACATAGAAATTCTCAACTCTAAGTTCTTATTATTTGCCTATATTCTGTATCCATCCTAGCGTAACCGAGCTCCAACAGTTATGAGCCCGGGATTGCTGTAAGATAGATATTCAGAAACTGCCTATAATCCTCTATATCCAAAAGCTGGTTATCAAAGTATATCAATTGAATCTAAACCTTTGGGAACAGCCCAAGCTCTGTCTGAATTGCTTAGCCATGGACAAGAAAAAGACAACTGTAATTCTAAAAACCTCGGACAATTAGAGAAAATGGATAGAACAACTAAGAACAAAGGCGACAAAGGAACGAGTCTGGGAATATGTGAATCCAAGTACCATCAATACTGGGGACTTGGAGCCAGCGCCAACAAAACCGATAGAGCCCATTCAACCTTCTAAGCCAGACCTATCCGGCGATAAAGATATTGCTATTAAGTAATTCAAGCTAATGAACTGGCAAGCTAACATGGCAGCTTATGATTCGCAATGATAGATTTATGAACACAATAAGGCTCAATATGAGAAGCATATAGAGCAAATGACAAACGTCAAGAACTATATCCTTGATACAATCGAACTTGGCCACCAGTCAGAAATCCAGCAAATGGAAGATATTAAGGAAATAATCCGAACTTTGAAGAGACGGTTTGCCCTTACAGAACAACGAGAGAACGACCTGCTCTTGAACCAAGAACGAAGTCTTCTTAATCTGAAACGCACTCAAAGACCGAAGGAATGGGCAGAAAAATGGAGAACCCTCGTACTGGATATGAAGCTTGCCAATTTCTATGAGTTGTTAGACACAAGATTGGCACGAGACTTCATACAATCCACTGTAGAGATTGCGCCCAAGTTTCACGACATCTGGAGCACAAGAATCCTTAAATACGATATGGGATTAGATACATCAGGCTTAACGGAGATTCCAGATATTAATGAGATCATAGGAACATTCGACAAGTAGGTTGAAGCCAATAATAAGTTGGAATTAAGTCACAGACGCGATATCGCTATGGCAACTCTCAATGGAAAGTCAGATCAGCCTGAAGACAACAAGAAAAGTCAGATGAGATCAAAATTGAAGGACAAAACATGTCTCTGCGGCCAGAAGCACCAATTTGAGGACTGCCCATACGTGAACCCAGCAAAACGACCTAAGGACTGGGAATCAGACATCAGTATTGAGGAAAAGTTCAAGAATCTTGAGAAAAAGGACACCCCATATGCCAACGCCTTGAAACAGGTTAAGAAAGGACTGGAAAAGAAAAAGAAAGAGCGAGATTCCGATACTAGCAAGAAAACAGATAAGGATTTGGAAAGATCGAATTTTATGTATGATTCTGATAAGATTACATGTGCTGTCAGATTGGATACAGTATTATTAGCCTCGAACGACAACCTTACAAATAAAGTCATAATGGATAACGGTACAACAACTCATATTTTCAACAATCAAAGAAGGCTCCAAAATTTAGGCAATGAATCTAGGTGGCTGCTTGTTGGAAACACAAGAATCAAAATAACTGGACCTAGAGAAACAATAGTATATCCCACACAACCGATCAGTGAAAAGGTTAAGCGAAAGGGTATTATCGTCCGTGATGCCTGGTATGTTGAAGGCTTTTATACCAATATTATATCACAAGGGATTATGGAGGACCATGGTATATATTATGACACCCGAAAATGATTATTGGAAAAGAACAGTCAGGAATTGTGTCATATTCGACGAGAAGGAAATCTTTACCTTATTGAATGGGATGAGAATAAGCCAGCACGCAGTTCGCTTAGTGTCGACTTTGCCTTCAATTCCATGGAGAAAAACATACTCAAAGATCTGATGAATGTGTGGCATAAAAGATTCGGACACGTATCATCCAGAGCTATTGAGAAACTCCAAGAAGCAATAGAGGGAGCTATTGTTATGTCAGTTCCAAGCCGCAATAACGAGGGATTCAAAATCAAATGTGAAACCTGCGAACTTACCACGGCCAAACGTCAAATCAGCAGGGTAGCGATGCCGCTACCAACAAGGCCATTTTAAAAGATATTCGTTGACATTATTGTCATGAACTTGGCATGGAATTTTGACAGATATATCCTCCATGCAGTGGATCTATTAACTAAATTCCACGTATTAGTCACTACCATAATGAAATCAGTTAATTTCGACCTAGAAAGACTAATTGAGGACATCGAACATACCTTCAAGTGTGTTATTAAGACTATACATGTGGACGGCGAAAGCTCAATTAATGGCAACGACTTCAAGGACTATTGCAAAAGGAAAAGAAAGATATTAGTCACGACAGTTCCTGATACGCCTGAGCAGAACGGCCTAAGCGAGAAAGCTGGGGATATAATTGCTACTAGGGCAAGGAGCATGATTATTGAAGCCAATCTATCTGAAGGGTTATGGCTAGAGGCAGCCAGAGCAGCTGTTCATATCATGAACCAAACACTAACAAAATCCTTGAACTATAAAACGCCATATGAGTCAGTGTATAGGAAGAAATCATATGTTGGAAATCTGTTTTTATTTGGATCAAAGACTTATGTACGGATTGACATAAAGAAAAGCCACAAAGTAGCTCCACGAGCGCAGATTAGATATCTAGTGGGATATAAAGCTCACAATATTTGGCTCATTTGGACGACAGGTCCACGGGGAACGAAGGTCATTCGAGCACGAGACGTTGTTTTTGACGAAACGAAGAGATATGACCTAGAACATCCATTCGCTAGGGAAATCATCAGAGATGGTGTGACAACGATAACAGAATCATTAGAAATTTCAAACCTTGAAGATATTGACGAGGACAATCAAGTGTTTGATTCAGTTGATGACGACATAAGGCTTCAACGTTGGCAACCCGCCAGTATAAGGTTCTCACCAGCGAGGGGGTCAAATGAATGTTCGAATTAGCTAGATACTGAAACTCCAGTTCAAATCGAGGCACCAATTACTGGAATTGGAAATATTGAAGCACAAAACGACGAACATATATACAATCCTGACATGCAAATGGAGGATGCCCAAGAAATCTTTCAAGATATTTGCACTGAAAATCGTGGCGATTCCAATATTGTGGAATCTGGGGGGGTGAAAGAGGACGAAGTCGTGGTGAGAAAGGAAGAAACTGATTGAAGCTATACAGGGGAAAGCGGAATAACTAAAAATCCGGAAGAACAGATTCCCTAAATAGGAAATCGCGACTTACCAACACCTCCACTGACCAATTAGAGCGCGCCAAACACTCCATTAAGAAATGTCACAGGATCTGAGAAGGAGATTACCCTACCTTCTACACCCTTAAACAATAATAACGCACCCAAAGCAGCAGAAATCAGTGCTGATTTATTAGAAAGGAATATCGTGACAGGTCCAAGAGTGCGAATAGCTTCAAAAAGAGCTCGAAGCCTAGCAACTGATAATTCAGAATCCAGCAAAAATGTAAGAAAGAAGCAACGAGCTGCATTCGCAAGAATGAAGCTATTCCAAGAGTCCTCACTAGCCAAGTCCTTCATGGCCGCTATGGAAAAAACTGACAACCTTCACGAATCTGAGCTCCCACCAGAACCCAAGAACTGGACTGGCGTTCTACGGCACAAATATAAAAAGGAGTTCATTGAAGCTGCAAAAACCAAATTTGACACACTAAAGAAGAAAGGAACGTTCAAGTTTGTCCAAAAACTCTATAATAAATAAGTGTTACCACTAATATAGGTTTTCAAATACAAATTTGATAAATTTGGCAAGATTTCCAAGTTCAAAGCATAGATTTGTGTACGTGGTGATCTGCAATATGACAATAATTTGGAAATACAAGCGGCAACGTTGGCAGCATGAATCTTCAGGATGATGATATCTCTGGCAGCTGTATTTGACTTAGAGATAGCACAATATAACGCTGTCAATGCATTTGTGAATAGCAACCTTGACGAAGAGGTATATACTGAGTTTCTGAACAGCTTCAAAATTCCTGGTATGGCTATTTAACTCAAGAAAGCACTGTATGGATTACGACGCAGTCCACGGCTTTGGCAGAAAGAATTTACAAAAACCTTGATGAAAACACTCGGATTCGAACAGATACTAGATGAAGAATGTCTATTAGTTAAAAACGGTATATTTCTATTATTTTTTGTTGACGACATTTTAATATTCTACGACAAAGCCACAAAACAAGCGGAATTCGAAAAAATTGAGAAGACCTTGATGGCAACATACAAACTCAGAAAAATGGACAAGTTTGAATGGTTTCTCAACATGCGAATTTTACGAGATAGAGAACAGCAGAAAATTTGGATTTGTCAAGACTCCTACATCACCAAAATAGCTAAGAAATTTGGATTAACCTACGGCCTAGTCAAAACACCAATATCAGTTGATATTAAGCCTTTTGATGGGAAAGCAACAAATCAAGATATTTACCATTATCAGGAAATGGTTGGGTCAGTCATGTACGCCGCTGTCATAACACGAATCGATATTGCAAAGGCTGTCAACAAGCTTGCTAAACATGCCACCAATCCATCACCTATCCACATACAGCAGATCAAACAAGTGATACAATATCTATTCAATATAAGATTCCTTGCTATCGAATACTCACCACTAAGGAAGTCAGAATCAGACGTTGTTGTATGTGCCTCAGATGCTTCATTTAGAGATAACATTGATTGTATAAGCTCAGAGGGTTATCTTATTCAGCTGTACAACGGACCCGTCGACTGGAAGGCTACAAAACAAAGATATGTAACAACCTCTACCACCAAAGCGGAACTAAGAGTAGTAACTGAAGCCGTAAAGCGATTGTATATCTAGAAACGTGTCTTTGAAGCAATCGGCTTCAAGCCAGAGCATGAACTATCTATTTAATATGACAATACTCAAACTATACACCTACTGACGAGTCCAGAACCCAATTTCTACACAAGTCTACGCCATATCGACATCTATCACCACTGGCTCCACCAAGAGATTCAGAGCAAGCAACTTCATATTCAATGGGTCGACACCAAGAGAATGGTTGCAGATGGCCTTACAAAGTTGCTCAAGGGCCAGATCTTTGTGAATTGGAGAAAACACCAGGGATTAGTGGATATAGCACATTTACTGTAGGAATAAAAGCTTCAAGCTTTCCTTCCTGGGGGGGTGTGTTGGAACGCAATACGCTATCCCTAATTGGGAATCCATCATACTATAACATGAAGAAATTTCGAGAACTAGGTTCACATACTGACAAGATATAGACATCCAATCAGCTCTATATGGCTATATCTAGAAGGTTCGACTGGATGTCATCTCATGATCTAGTTTGTACAGGACCTCACATATAAAAGAGGTCAACATTCCTGACAAGTTTTGTATTAGAGAGTGTGCATCAATACATAGAAATTCTCAACTCTAAGTTCTTATTATTTGCCTATATTCCGTATCCATCCTAGCGTAACCGAGCTCCAACAGAATTTATACAACTCGTGACCTGATGATGTTTGCACTATTTTACGACCCTAAGGGTTGGGTCATGACCCTGAGGGTCAGGTTGTGTCAGATAATCCGGATTTGCAATGAGGTATATAATCAAAAACCATCCTCAAACATATAAACCTTCACCTGGTGCACCTGAAACTCGACTTGAGACGTCATGACCGTATTGCTTGGAACAGTGAGAACCTCAAGTCTGCTAGTTGTTACACATCTCGGCAAAATATCTATATAAACCCGGCTTTGGAACCTGATGTACTCAGAGGAACAGAACAGATACAATCTTGCTACTCACTTCTTTAATTTTACCATCCTTGTAACAATTATTCAGGATTGGCCTGGAGTCAACCCACCAATCCGACAGGTTGTACCATCAACGACCCTCCCCTTATGGAGGGTCAGGGTTGGGGCTGATGACCCAAGAATCTCCGTGGTCCGGGTCGCGGTCCGGGTCGTCAGGGTGACCCGCGGGTCGTGGCGAGGTCTACCTTTGATGCCGTGCTTCCCGGCAGACTGATCTGCAGATTACGTGAGCAGGGCTGGCCTACCAATCTCATTCTTTGGATTGCCTCCTTCGCCACTGGACAATCAGTCCAGATCCAACTTGATGGAGAGATTGGCCCCTCAACAGACATTGCCTGCGGTCTTCCACAAGGATCCCCAGTATCTGGCATCCTTTTCATGCTCTATATAGCGCCTCTATTCCGTCTAGGAAACCCAAAGAACAGATTTGGTTATGCGGACGACGCAGCTAACCTAGCAATCTCAACATCTCTTGCTACTAACTACAAAGCCTTATCAACTCACTTTAAGAAGCTCTTAACTAGGGAGCTGCAGAGGGCATTACATTTGCATTAGATAAATACAAGCTTCTTCACTTCTCCTAATATAAAGCAGACCAGGACCCAACCCACACATCTTCAGTGAAAGCTAGATCTATTTGTGAAGGTGTTCATTCTCTATCCTAAGGGGTAACTAATCGAGCAAAAACTAAGCATGAGGAAAGAGGGAGAAGACTCGCTATGCCGCTCGTAAGGACTCTTTTTACATGTGCGTCCGGGGCCTTGTCGGTGCCTATTTAGGAAATCCTGAAGACAAAGGAGGATATCCCCGTTAGGGTCATCCTTTTAGGGCTTAGGGCTCCGTCCAGGTGCCGGCAACGTCCGTACGATATCCTGCCCCGTAACCCAGCCGTCACATATTACAATATTAGAAAATACTAAATAGCTATATCTATAATGGCTAGGAATCCTCTTTGACAAAAAGCTAACATTTAAATAGCATGTTAGAGAAACAGCATTTAAAGCCCTTACTATAGCTAATATCCTTTACTCTCTAAGGAATACTGTCTGAGGAGTCAAATCTTATTTACTATAGCAGACTGTATCAGCCTGTATACTTTATAAAGTATACTATGGTGCTGAAACCTGGTGGCTAGGATATACTCACCCTGGGCCTTCCTAGACTTCAAACCAAGTTAGAGAACATCTTGAGAAACTAACTAAAGTAATATTAATAGGCGCAAGAGCAGTCCTTCCAGTCTTCCGCACAACCCCAATTCCTATCCTTTATCGAGAGTCTAGATTCTCTCTACCAGAAATTGAACTAGATCGAATAGCCCTCCTTGCAACTGTCCACCTATGGCGTCTTGACCCTTATTACCCACTTCTAAGACGCGCAGAACAGATTGCTAGTAATGGCCAACAAACTAGCCGATTTGCTTATCGTATACTGGCCCTCCCCAACTCCAAACAGATAAACCCCCTCCAATACGCTCCCTAGCATCCTCGCGAGTCTCGTGAGAATACCCAAGCTCGAATAGGAGCTCCCATGGGACGCACTAAGGAACAGGCAGCGGCTAATTTCATGGCTTTCCAATGTATCATTTCTAGCTCAGATATTGTAATCTTTTTAGATAGATCTAGGCTGGTAGATGGACGTGCAGGGGATAGCTATATTGGATTTCAAGCACACCATCAGTTCCTCTGCTCCTCACTCTTATATGGACATAGGAAAGAAGTCTTTGATGCTGAAGCAGAAGCTGCTCTAGCTGGTGCTCAAGTAGTAATAGCATACCCAACAGCTCAATTTACTACCAACTTATGGATCTGTCTTGACAACCTGGAAGTTGCCACACGCCTTCTATCTCCCTCTACAGGATTCTCTTAAGAAGTCTTTGAATCCTTTCGCACCCTTGTAGCCGCCTGGCCACTACGCGAAAGGCTTCCACACACTAAAAGTGGATCAATCTAAATCCGATGGGTCCCTGGACACACCAAAATCCCTGAGAATGAAGTGGCTGATCTTGCTGCTAAGGAAGGAGCTGCCTCTATCCCCCTCTCTTCATATAAGTCCTCATACGCCTCGCTAAAGAGATATACCAAGACTTAATCTCTTTCTACTGCTCAGACACAGTGGCAGACTGTAGCACCACAGACATACTAAAATCTAGAAATAACTACATCTTCTAAACGCCCTAGAGAGCTTTAACTCAACCAACTTAACCTTAGCCGTATCATAGCGGCTCATACTGGTTATGGAGACTCTGCGGACTACCATGAACACTTTAATCATGATGATACTTATCTTCTCTATTGATGTGGAGCAAGAAAAGTACTTCTATATTTCTTCTTCTGCTATATAGCTAAGAGATGAGCCCCTCGTCCTCCTGAACCCTCTTCTGAAGTTATCTCTTTTCTTTTAGGCACTGCGAAAGGAACACAAAAACTAGCCACATAGCTAGCAGAGACCCGTTTCTTTGAGAACATCTATCCTCGCTAACCTCTCCTTAGCACCTAGCTAAGCCAGTCCTACTTTCCCTTTATATCTCTCTTTCCTTTCTTTCCTCACTTCTTTCAAAACTCACTACTTAAGTACTATGGTGGTAGAATTATGGGTCATGGAGCGTAGGTGGATCATTGCAGCTGGCAAATACTTAAAACCCACCTAGAAGTGGACCTCCCTGTAAGACCATGGCAGCTATGGAAATGCGCCAAAGAGTCTCTTATTTGTATATAAATCCGATAGGACCTGAAGCCCGAGATTTACCCCTCGGCGGCCTATGTCCCAGTAGGGATCGGTGGGAAGCGTGCGAGTCACGAACCACGGCTGTTAAATACACACACACATGTCGGATTGGTCGGTTTATTCCAGGCCAATCCTGAAGAGTGTTTTACTAGGATCAAAGAAAAGAAGTGACTAGCAAGATTATATGTATTGAGTTCTGTGTCTGTCTTTCAAGTCTTTAAAGCCGGGTCCTTTATAGACACCTTTGGCGGGGTGACTTGTGAGCTATCAGGAGGGGTAAATATTGGGCTGAAATCTAGGTGCCCAGATATATGCCTAAAGGTGCCTTTTAGACCTGTAAGATTGAACAGTCGATCTTTCTGCCTCGTTTGAAAGCCGGATTATCTGACAACACACACACACACACACACACACACACACACACACACCAACCAGCGGTTCTACGAACCGTACACATTTCTGAATAGCCTCATGCTTGGCCGTCACAAGACTAGCCAAATGGCTTACGGAGACCCAATTCTTTGAGGACATCTACCCTCGACACCCCCCTCTTAGTACATAAGCCAAGAGACTTATAGCTACTTATGTCTTTTGTTTTCATTGTCTTTCCTTTTCTCTCTTTAAAACTGCATCGGTGTTGAACATGTTAGATTTGGTCACAGGGAATAGGCGGACCACTGCAGCTGGCAGCAACATTCACCCTCTACATGTAGAGGTTATCTATCTGACCACAGCAGCCATGTAAGTGCGCCAAAGAGTCACATCTTGTATATAATTCTTGACACCCAGGGCTTACCCCCTGGTGGCCTTTGTCCCACTAGGGAATGGGTAGGCAGTGATTAATCACGACCTACGGCCGTTAAACAATGACACACACACACACAATCTATTAACGCCCGGCGGCCAAGCCGAAAGGGCAACTATCACTAATCTACTAATACATGTCCCAATATATATGCTGTGTCTCCTTAGAGCCCATACATGATCACTTTTAATATATGTCATCTCATCTGTCAGTATCGTAGCGGATGCTCGTGGGTTAGTAATTTTGTTAGTAGCTGGCTTGAAGGCGCTTCTTCAAGTGTTCAACATCCTATCTTCGGCAGTTGAAGCGCGTCTACCGTGTCTGTCACGAGGTGGTTGGTGTGAGTTGGATCGGGAGGAGTGGTTGATTTGTGTTCGTCTACATAGTTAAGTGGCGTCGAGGCTTGTACCGCTTCGAAGCTTGGGGTCCAGTTCTGATTATCTGAAGGTGATTTTTCTCCTAGGAAGAAGGATATGTTGCCTCGGTAGGTGTTCGTACATTGCAGCATTTCTGTCCGGTATGCCGTCCACTTCTGACATCGAAAGAGGAAGTGCTCTACGGTTTCTCTTGCTTGTCCACATGCACACTGATCTGTCTGCGCTACGTTGATTCGATAGAGATACCCATTTAATCTTGCCATGCCAGTCCGGAGTTGCGCTAGCACGCTCGCTTCTTTCCATGATAATCGATCATATAGCTGTTGGGTGTGTTTGCCCAGGAGCGCCGCATCCACTCTTTTAACGTGTTTGCCCACTTTCTCGGGCAAGCCTTTGCTAATAACTTTTTGGGATCGTGCGATATTGAGAGTTGTTGATTTCATTCGGGTTTTAGCTTTCTATACCGGGGCGGTTTCCTCTGGATCGCTCCACCAAATCCTACCATCTCGTTCCGTGCCGAACTGCTTACCGCGATCTGCATCGATCCACCCTCTTCAGTGTGCGTTTCTGGAGTTTCACTAATATCGGTCTGCACGCGCAGAGATGGGTAGTTTAATCTTTGTCAACGAACATTACGGAGCGCGGCGGTTGACAAGGTGCACCTGGTAGCAGGTAAGGCTGATCAAGCGTCTCTGGCAAGCACCTTCCTGTCAAGAGGAGGGTGTTAAATGGACAGAATAGCTATCCATTGAGGGTCCCCATATTATACCTACTAAGACAGTTTATATAAAAAAAATGTTGCCATACATTTCTGGAATAGTGCTAGAATTATTGAGGGAAAAGTGACTCTCTACATTAGACTACACAGGTAAAGAGGATTGTAGCAGCTGAACCACCGCGTCGTGGTCTCCCTCTGCCGCCCATGACAGTGGTGTCCGACCGATATTATCCCTCGACTCAAGATCGACGTCATCCCTCTCAATTAGAAGCTGAACCACCTCCTGATAGCCTTCTGCTGCTGCTCTTGACAGCGGTGTACGACCGTTATTATCCTTCGAATCAGCCTCAACTTCGTCCCGCTCGGCTAGGAGCTGAACTACCGCCTCATGGCCTTGCCCTGCCGCTATTGATAGTGGTGTTAGACCATAAACATCTTTTGGATCAGTGTCGATATCATCTCTCTCGACTAGCAGCCGAACTATTGCCTCATAGCCTCCCTCTGCCGCCCATGATAATGGTGTTCGACCAATATTATCTTTCGAGTCGGCGTTGACGTCGTCCCTCTCGACTAGCAACCGAACTACCGCCTCTTTACCGCGCTCTGCAGCCCTCGATAGCGGTGTCTGACCATATTTATCCTTCGAGTCGACGTCGACATCGTCCCTCTGGACCAGAAGCCGAACTATTGCCTCACAGCCCATTGCTGCGGCCCACGACAGCGGCGTTTGATCGTCATTGTCCTTCGAGTCGGCCTCGACATCATCCTTCTCGACCAGCAGTTGAACTATCGCCTTGTAGCCTTCTGCTGCGGCCCACGACAGCGGTGTCCGACCGTCATTGTCATTTAAATCGGCCTCGATATGATCTTTTTTAAGTAATAGTTGAACCACCGCCTCATGCCCTTGCGCTGCTGCTAATGATAGTGGTGTCCGACCATAATTGTCCTTTGAATTAGCGTCGACGTTATCCTTCTCAACCAGCAGCCGAACTATGGCCACGTAGCCCTCTGCTGCCGCCCGTCGCAGCGGCATCTGACTATCAGAGTCCTTCAAGTCCATCTCCACCTTACCGGTATCGAGCAGCTGTTTGACAACCTCCTCGTCTCCATTCCCTACAGCTAACAATAGCGGTGTCTGACCGAAGCTATCCTTCGAATTAACATCCACCTTGCCGCTATCGAGTAGCTGCTTGACTACCGCCTTATATCCTTTCTCCGTGGCCAGCCATAGCGGTGTCCGACCGAAGCCGTCCCTTGAATTCACATCAACCTTACCAGTATCAAGTAGAAGTTTCACAACTGTCTCATAGCCGTAACTCGCAGCGGACCAGAGCGGTGTATAACCATAAGTTGATTCTTTTGCATCCACATCCACCTTTCCAGTATTGAGTAGGTGCTTTACAACCGCGTCGTGTCCCCTATCCGCAGCTGACCATAGCGGTGTCTGACCGTAGCCAGAGTCTTTCGCCTCCACATCCACCTTTCCAGTATCAAGCAGATGTCTCACAATGGCCTCGTGCCCCTTATATGCAGCTAACCACAGTGGTGTCCGACCGTGCTCAGAGTCCCTCGAGTCAACATCCACCTTGCCAGTATCAAGCAACTGCTTTACAATTGTCTCGTATCCATTCTCCGCAGCTAACCATAATGGTGCCCGACCGTGCTCAGAGTCCTTCATGTTCACGTCCACCTTGCCAGTATCAAGCAGCTGCTTTACAATTGTCTCGTATCCATTCTCCGCAGCTAACCATAATGGTGCCCGACCGTGCTCAGAGTCCTTCATGTTCACGTCCACTTTTCTAGTATCAAGCAGCTGTTTCACAATCATTTTCCTGCCTTTCTCCGCAGCTAACCACAGTGGTGTCCGACCGTGCTCAGTGTCCTTCGAATCCGCGTCCACCTTGCCAGAATCAAGCAGCTGTTTCACGGCAGCCTCGTCGCTATGCCACGCAGCCCACCACAGCGGCGTCCGATTATAGTCAGAGTCCCTTGAATCCACATCCACCTTTCCAGTATCAAGCAGCTGCTTCAAGACCGCCTTCTTGCCGTACGCCGCAGCCAACCACAGGGGCGTTCGACCGTACTTATCCTTTGAGTCTGTATCCACCTTGCCAGAATCGAGCAACTGCATTACGACGGCATTATGACCGTTCGCCGCAGCCCATGACAGCGGAGTCCGACCGTCCTCATCCTTCGAGTCCACATCCACCTTTCTAGTATCGAGCAGCAGCTTCACGGTCGCCTCATTGCCGTACCCTGCGGCTCGCGAAAGGGGTGTCCGACCGTACTTATCCTTTGAGTCTACATCCACTTTGCCAGAATCGAGCAACTGCTTTATGACGGCATTATGGCCGTTCTCGGCAGCCCATGATAGCGGAGTCCGGCTATACTCAGAATCCATCGAGTCTATATCTGCCTTCTCGGTATCAAGTAATTGCTTCAGGACCGCCTCATGTCCCCTTTCCGCAGCTCGTGACAATGGCGTCCGACCGTCCTTATCCTTCGAGTCCACGTGTACATTACTAGTATTGAGCAGCTGCTTCACAATTGCCTCATCTCCGTTATCCGCAGCCCACGATAGCGGTGTCCGACCGTACTGATCCCTTAAGTCCACATCTACCTTACCAGAATCAAGTAGTTGTTTCACGACTGCCTTATATCCCTTCTCCACAGCTCGAGACAGCGGTGTCTGACCATATCTATCCTTCAAGTCTATATCCACTTTATCAGTTTCAAGTAACTGCTTTACGACCTCCTCATCTCCATTCCCCGCCGCCCATGAAAGTGGTGTCCGACCGTACTCAGCGTCCTTTGAGTTTATGTCCACCTTGTTGGTATTGAGAAGCTGCTTCACGACCGTCTTATTCCCCTTCTCCGCGGCCCATGACAGCGGCGTCCGGTCCCTCGAATCCACAGAGTCTGGATGAACGTTCTCCTTGGCTAGAAGTAACTTGACTACTCCTTCATGCCCATTTTCTGCGGCCCATGACAGCGGCGTCCGGCCCCTCGAATCCGCAGAGTCTGGATGAACCCCCTCCTTGGCTAGCAGTAGCTTGACTACTCCCTCGTGCCCATATCTTGCGGCAAATGATAGCGGGGTCTGGCCGTAATAATCAGTAAAGCCGTGATCATCCCAGTATCTGTCAGGCTGCTTGTAGTCCGGATTCACACCCTCCTTGGCAAGCAACAGCTTGACTACCGCCTCATGTCCGTTACTGGCGGCTAACGACAGGGGTGTCAGCCACAATCCGTAGTAACCGTCGTCTTTGGAGTCGGGGTCGATTTCCTCCTCGGCGAGAAGCAGCTTAACTACCGCCTCGTGCCCGTTCCTTGCGGCTAACAACAGTGGCGTCTGCTTCCCCGTGTAGTCGGACACCGTACCTCGAGAGTTCGGGTCGACGACCTCCTTAGCGAGCAGTAACTTGACGACTCCGCCGTACCCATTCTGCGCAGCCCATGACAGCGGCGTCCGGCCACCATTGTCCTTAGAGTCTGGTTTGACGTCCTCATTATCGAGTAGCAGCCGAATCACCGCCTCGTAGCCCCCCTCTGCCGCCAATGACAGAGGCGTCCGACCATCTCCGTTCTTCGAGTCGGCTCCAATGTTGCTGTCCTTATGCTCGCTTACCAAAAGCCTCTCTGTCAAGTGAAGCAGTCCATACCATGCTGTGAGGTGTAGCCCACTTGTCCGATTTAGGTTGCGTTTCCTATTACCCATATATTTGTTGTTTAGCGTCAAAGCACCTTCGAAAGCACAGCCAACCAATGCATCATCGCAAAGGAAAGCCAGCGCTAAGCGTACAGTTCTACTTTGGACTGGCCGTATATGCTCGCTCCAGTAACGCACTACGTAGTCGAAGAAAGGATTCCTTACGAGCCTCTGTTTGAAAACTTCATCATCTGCACATATACCACTTCGGAACGTATCGAAGGACAAATACGTTAGGCAGGTTATCGCTATCTCTTCCTGAGCGTCCGGGTGCCACTTCAAGAGTTCGCGCTCAAAATATTCTTGTGTCGTGTAGTGGACGAGGCGAATGATACTGCTCTTCTCATCTATCATAACGAGGCCTGCACAGACTGAAATAATGTCTTCCACGTCATCAATATTGTCATTGTTTAGAGCTCTATGTCCCGGTTCAATGGCTAGGGCGTGGCACAGCTCTTTCGTCGTGAGTGGTCTCTGTGTCAAAGTTATCCAGGATATAGCACGCCTTGCAAGAGAGCGATCTCCGGGCAGCTGACCATCTATTCGTGCGATTGCATCGTCGTACGATTCATCAAGCGCTGCCGACCCTTTCGAGAGATTGTTCAATGTAGATAATACTTTGTGCTTGGTTCTTTTGTCAAGAAACGAGTCGACGTGTAGACGCGCGAGGAGGAACCTAGTAAGGTCAACAATATGTCTCGCATGTACAAATAAGTAGAGAACACCAACATTCCGTCAACACTTTCAACGATTTTATCCTCTACAGCACGCTTGAGTTCATCGTCGAGTCGAATACATTTTGGCAGACGTGGTATATGCCCTGCAACGAACTTTCTCACATCCTCTTCGCTGGCACGCACCTGTAGCGTCAGATTTGATTGGAATATCTCGGTTATTTCGGTGATGAATCGAGACGTGAATAGAAGGCGTACGTCCGTTGTCAGTTGCAGTTCACGCAGTTTGTCAATGAGTTGGCCTCGCGCATTATCTTTGTCCGTACACTCATCCAACGCATCTACGACAATATATACTGTAGTATAATCGGAACAGACCGACCGAAGAGCTTGAAATATCTCTTTGAGAGATGGCCCAGTCCCTCCCTTTGAGTGGTAGTCGTATATCTTCCTTACTGGAGCGGCGATATCCGGCTTGTTCTGTACCAGCTGCTTCAAAAGAGCGCGAAATAGGGCTTGCGCGCTCTGTTCGGATTTCGCCTTGTAATTGCAGAATAAGAACGAAACTCCGATGCTGTCACTTCGTGTCGTCCTAGAGAGGTGATCAATGGTTATCGCTGCCATCATTGTCTTGCCCGCGCCTGGCATGCCAGGACAGAACAAAGTCTTCCGTGGTCCTTGAGCCCAGGAGGCAAATTTGGGATCCTCAAGGAACCATAATCCGGTCCCTTCTTCCCTGCGGGCAATGATGTCGGACTGCTGAGCTGGAAAGTTCGTTGAGGATATCCAGTCAAGGATTTTTTCACGAAGTTTTTCTTGCTGGTCTTGTTTCACAGTCTCAAGAGTCTCCTTCGCAGTGCTGTTGATTTCTGCAATACGCTTGTCCATTCTCTGATTAGTTGCGAAATTGATTGCGATGACTAGTCGTTGCTCCTCATCAAATAGCTTGGCAAGCTTGTCAAACGATCCCTTAATCTCCTCATCTTTTCCTAGGAAAATCACAGCTGCATACTTTTTCCATCGGCCAATTTTGATTGCCTTCTCAGAACGGGCAAGGATTTCAAGCAGACATCCTAAAATCTGGACGACCTTTGTCCCTAGATGAGAGCCAGTACCTTCTTTGCAGTACTCATCCAAGCGAACTGTGAAATCACCAAGCTTGTCGAAAAGTTGATCGATCCAGTCGTACGCCTCTGATACTCCATCGGCGGCTTTCACAACGAAGAGTACGGCACCGAAAATAGTAGAAGCAGGTGCAAAAGGCGACAGTGAAAGGGCACTGGACGCAACATCCGAAAGCAGTGTAAAAGGTCTGATAGCATTTTTGAGTCTGCGTGTAAGTGTGCCATGTTTTGCTCTGAAGCTGTTGAACTTGCTGTGGTCTTTCTCGAGCTGTTTTTCGAGGCCCTCGGGACTTGTTAGTTGCCCCAGCAGAGTTTGCTCAGAGGGCGTTCGGTTGGTGGACTCGATGTATTTCTCTATGGCTGTTTCCCATAGGTCGATGAAGTCTTGGTTGACGGACATGTGTAACTGGTGTATTTAGCCGTCTTTAGCTGAGATAGTGTCTTTGGAAGGCAAACATGAGGACGGTTACTCTGTTGGAAAGTAGACTAAATGGAGTTGCTAACTGGCGTCGACGAGACGTTCAAGTAGCGACAATAAAGAGGGGTAGACACGTCAACCAGGATACCCCGCGTGACCTGGAGTCAACACTCGGAGCACTCAGCAAGGAATTCCCGATCACCAATAGCTTACGACAAAAATCACAGAAAGCACATATTTTTGCTTGAAATAAATAACTAGGAACCGAATTTTGCGGTTATCGAGATGTTATTTCTGGGGAGGGCTTAGCACGGCAAGCCTGATAAGGAGACTACCAACTCCAGAAACATCGAAACATTATATTGAGGTCAAAATATGGTATTAGCTAGCTTCAGCTTGAAATTATTTTGTTGTGTATGTGTGTACCTGGACACTCTTTGCCATAAAGGATCAAGAAGCATAGGGGTTGACAGATATTACATACTTATTGACAGCCTTGGTCCCTATAAGCAGTAAGGTGCCAAAACTGGAAACTGAAGTAACAAATCTTTGAAACGATTTAATTCTTTTTGCAGTCATTCGATAACAGTCGTTGATCCCGTTTGGGTCTAATACGTCCTCACATATCTCGATAACTAGGCCGGAACGGAAGTTGCGCTTTCCCGAGAGACTTTTCGAAATTTAGACATTTTTCTCAGCCGCCTTGATCCAACAACTTGTCAAAACATTGTATCATCAACAAATCTAACATGTCAAATCCTCCAACGCTAGTCTTTATACCTGGCGCCTGGAATAAGCCAAGATGCTACGACAAGGTCATCAAGCTCCTTCAAGATGAGCACCAATTGAAATGCGTGTCAATAGCCCTACCTACGACATCCGGAGACCCACAAGCCACTTTCAAAGATGATCTAGACGTTGCTCGTGAAGCCATCGCGAGCGAAACAACTCAAGGGCGCAATGTGGTTGTCGTTGCGCACTCGTACGGCGGCATGGTTGGGAATAGCGCCATCAAGGGGTTTGCCAGCCCTAACCAAACGCAGACCTCCAGCCGAAGAGGCCGAATACTGGGTTTCCCAACTCACTACCCAGGGTCTCAAAGCTCTCTTTGAAGGACGTGAATATACCTATGCCGGTTGGCAAGACGTGCCGACTTGGTATATCGGCACCGTTGAGGACCACGGACTGCCGGTGTTGGCGCAACGGATAATCGTGGGCATGGCGAGGGAGATGGGTGGGAGCGTGGAGCATAGAGAGTTGCCGACGAGTCATTCGCCATTTTTGAGTCAGCCAGAGGCCACGGTAAAGATTATGTTGGATGCTGCAAAGAAACAGCTTCCACACGATATACAGTGGACGTACAGTAATGATTTGGAAGTGATTACTATGGACCACCAGGACGGGAGTTACCTACCGCAAGGTGGATGGTTAAATCCACCTCCCGTCAGAGGCGCACAGCCGTTGCTCTTAATTCCATGTCTTGGGAGAGATTGCGACGACGCGATATTCTCGAATAATCATATTCCATCAGTACAGGGCGCTCGGAATTAGTTTCGCCATAATTCGAGTGGAATACTCACGCGTGTGATTTTGCGGAATGAACGTGTGACACCACAATCGATTGTAGAATGACTACGTTGAGAAAGTCAAATCACAACACTGGAAAGAGTTCCTTGACAAAGCGAGACATCTCTGGAAAGCGGCGTCATACATGAAACCGCGGGAGTCCTATGGCAGTATTCCACCACTGAAAGACGGAACAAACGAGGTAGTAGATAATGAATGCAAAGCTAAAATGTTCATGGAGGCATTCTTCCCCAAGATGGCAGCACCAGGAGCCATGGAAAACCCAGAACCAAATGAAGAAATTCGATGGGATCCAATCACAAAGGAAGAAGTCTATGGAGCCCTACAGCGCATGAAAGCCAGGAAGGCTCCAGGAGAAGACGAAATCCCAACGATGGTATGGAAGCAAATTTGGCCGTACCTCAGCGAAGAGATCTTCCAGATCTTCACAGCATCAATTAACCTCGGATATTACCCACGACAATGGAAGAGAGCGAGAATCGTGGTCCTCCGGAAGCCGAACAAACCGGACTATGCCATCCCGGGAGCGTACCAACCGATCTCGCTCCTGAACACGCTCGGCAAGGTCCTAGAAGCAGTTGTCGCAAAACGCCTTTCTTACTACGCAGAGACCTATAGTCTATTACCGAACACTCAATTCGGTGGTAGACCAGGACGAAACACGGAACAGGCGCTTCTAATATTGTCTAACGCGATCGACAAGGCATGGATCCGGTCTAAAGTAGTGACGCTAGTTGCGTTCGATCTCAAAGGAGCCTTCAATGGGGTCAACGGAAGTGTCATCGACGGGCAACTCAAAGCAAAAGGGATTCCGTCTATCCTCCGGAGCTGGGTCATCAGCTTCATAGAAGAGAGGACCACTAGCATTACGTTCGATAATTTCAAATCCACCAGACTACCCCTGGAGAATGCTGGTCTCGCCCAAGGATCTCCACCATCGCCGATACTGTTCATCTTTTTCAACGCTGTTTTAGTAAATCAGCCGGTCAACCACAAAGGTGGTTCGTCAGCATTTATCGACGACTATTTCCGATGGGTCGTGGGACCATCCGCAGAGGAGAATCTTCGAAAACTGCAGGAAGACGACATTCCACGGATCGAACAATGGGCCAACCAAACAGGCTCATGCTTCGCGGCAGAGAAAACAGAACTGATCCATCTAACCCAGAGAAAGTCTGAGCTAAGTAAAGGACAGCTGATCATACAAGGCACCACCATCAAGCCGAGCACCACCGCCAAGCTGCTCAGCGTAGTATTCGACAATGAACTGCGATGGAAACTGCATGTCCAACAGGTGTTAAAGAGAGCCACAAAAGTCAGCACGGCACTGAGCGGTCTACGATACCTGCGTCCAGGCCAAATGCGACAGCTATATCAAGCCTGCGTCACCCCCATTGTAGACTATGCATCCACAGTCTGGCACTGCCCCACGAAAGACAAGATGCATCTCAGGGCCCTCAACACAGTCCAGAGATCAGCGCTCATACAGATCCTGTCAGTCTTTAAGTCAGTGGCGACCACCACTATGGAAGTTGAGCTGTTCACACTACCGACCCGACTTCGTCTCCGCCAGAGAGCGCAGATAACCATTGTCAACTTACTCACGCTCCCGTGGGATCATCCGATACAAGGAGTACTATCGAGGGCAAGAAGGCGACGGGATAACCCTGGCAATGGCAGTGCCCCGCGATTTCCCCTTGCCGAATCCATGAAAACGATGGGCCTTAAACAATTCAGCGGATTAGAGACTATCAATCCCAAACCAACAGCCCAGTGGAAATTACGGGCGTTTAAGGAAATTGACATCAACCCAGACCGAGAAAAAGCACGAAAGAACGCCGCAGCCCTCCTCACGAACCCTCACCGAGTGGTCTACTCCGACGCCTCGGGACATGACAACCACCTGGGGGCAGCGGCAGTGGTCTTAGACCGCAACCAGAATATAGTTGCGTCTCGCAAAACGGCCATAGGCTCAATGGCACACTGGTCTATCCACATAGCTGAGTTAATTGGCGTTTATGACGCAATCAGTCTGGCGCTCAAAATCTTCCACCAAAACAGACAGTCCACCAGACCCGGAACGGGTCAAATAATGGTTAGCCCTAACCCTAACCCTAAGGTATTGGAGGCGGATTACCCTCAAACAAAAATGACATCCGGCTTGGGGATGTGATTGTCAGCAAGCCAGATGGGCAGTATGGCGGAGTTGTGCAGTATGACCTGGGAAAGTGGACGGCAGATGGCTTCGAGAGAACAGGATCATTAAATGCACCACCTGAAAGATTACTGGCCGTGCTTAACTTGATGCCTGGTCATGGTCGCCAATTCGCAGAACCACCGTCACGGCTATATCCAGACGAAGGGCTTGATCAGTTATTTGAGCCTGATGGGCAGCAACTAGTGAACCGACAGCCAGGTAGACGGAGGGAGGGACCGTATGTCTTTTACGGGACAATTGCCTCTGGGAACAGTGTTATCAAGGATGCTGACACCAGGGACAAGCTAAGAGTCCAACATGGCGTGCTCTGTTGTGAGATGGAAGCAGCTGGCCTAATGAACAGCAGCTTCCCATGTCTTGTGATACGCGGAATTTCCGACTATGCTGATTCCCATAAGAATGATCGCTGGCAAGAGTATGCGGCAGCTACATCGGCGCGTTACGCGAAAGACTTTCTCAGCCAAATTCCAGAGGAAGTGGCGCAAGAGTTGGCTCCGATAAGAGTGCGGGAAGACAGAGAACTATTTCTTCAAACAGTGGCTTCCACTCATGGCCAGAATCGAACTAGTCGAGTGCGATGACTGTTTATCAGGGAGGCCGTGCTTGGTTCGGACATATCTCGCATGGAGTCTCCGCTGCCTACTAAGACTGAATCCGTGCTAAATGATTGTTTACATAATCTTACTAGATTGTCTCGGCTTTATGTAGCCTCAGACTGCACGATGTCGGCGACTGGATTTCAAAGCCACTGTCTTACGTGACAAATCCTTGTATTCCAATCTATTCCTATGCTATTCTACCAAGTTCTTGCTCGCCCAGACTATCGTCCGTTCTAGGAATGAGTAAACGAAGCGGAAGGTTGGCCGCTTGAATTGGAGCAGGGATAAGCGCTATCGTTTTCATGATCATCCTTTCATTGAAAGCTATATCAACCTCCAGTGTAACAAAATAGCGGGGATCCTGGGAGAAGAAGGGTCCTAAGCCTCGTAGAAGGCACATCATAGGTCATTTAGGTGACGCGGCTTGCATGGAGTGTTCTATTTCGTTAATAGCTTAGCTGCAGAATATTCCTACTACTTCCGACCGCCCACCTTCTCGACGACGAGACTGCTGTACAACCTCCAGTAGACATGCTTCATGTTTGCACATGTTCCAGCGAGAAGTCTAATCCCCTATGGAAAACACCATGCGGAGAGAGGCCTAGAACCTGATCAATGTCTCCGCATCATCGGGCTGTAACGTGGTTCCAACCAAGAGCAGTTCGGTATTTCAGCGGGATCCCTGACGATCCAGGCCGGCGTTTTGGAGCTGCCTCTTCCGGTTGTCTCGACACGTATTCTCAAATTTTGAGATGCGCAGTGATGCTTTCTCATGTGTTTACGCAGTTCAGCTGCGACCGCGAAGTCTTTGCCGCAGTACACGCAAATCTTCATACACTGGACAATCGTGAGTTCGGCGTTGTGTGCTGGCCAGTCGCTATAGATTTCTTGATGTTCCGGACAATGGCAGCCTTTATAAATCCTCCCCAGTGCTGTACGAGTATCCGTCGCCAAAGAAGTTATTGGGGATGGTTCGACCTCAGCCGTGTCATAGATCCATCCATTGCCATTGTCGCCGAGCATATTGTTTAGCCAGTCGTCTGTTTCCTGTAGTGTCAGTAGTCCTTCCGTTTCGTCCATCTGGTTTGTGGATGGCTGAGGGTGGTCTCTGCCAGACCCCCCAATGGCGTTCTGTGAGCCTGGTTGCTGTAGTATGGGAGATTCTTGTCGTGTCGCTGGAGTCTGCCGGTTCTCCTCGGCCGGCGGAGCAACGGGGGGTTGGACCATGGGTTCGTCCTCTGGCACCTGGGGTGTTGGTGATGTGCTTGTTTGTGGTGCTGCTTGCGTTATGGCCTGATCGGTTGGTTGCTCAGGACGGGGTGTTTGTTCAACGTGTACAGGGGTGCTGGCTTCTTGTATCGGCCGCATTGTTTCCGCTAATCTCTGGGTGATGGTGCGAGTCGCATCGGGCGCTGTCTGAGTACGAATCATTGGTGTTGCATTGGTGTTGTGTTTTCCACGTGTGCTTTGTCTTGTAGCTTTCTCCTTTGGAGGTACATGCCAGTAGATGCTCCGGGCCTGTTTGGCTCGTTCTACCGTGCCATCTCCTTCTTCCTCGCTGGGCAGACGTTGCTCCATGCAGTGTGAGCATCTTTACATACTGCGCATTGGGCAGTGAACCCTTCGGTTCCCTTCTGCTTGCAGTGCCTGGTCTCATGTTGCCCCGCGCAATAGCCGCAAGTTTGGGATGCGTTGCATTGAGTGCCGATGTGGCCGTAATTGCAGCAGCGGAAGCACTGTTTCACTCGGCAAGCACGATCATAGAGCTGGCATTGGTGTACCTGGCCCTCCCATACCATTCCTGCATAGATGATAGTGTTGGCCATCTCCGGGTCCTTGAATTCAACCACTATGGAGGATGCCTGTTTGGGAGTGGCTTCCTTGGTGAGCCATCCAACATATGTGATCTCTGCAGACGGGATCACTGTGTAGTTGTCCGCGAGCATCTGTTGGATGGTTGCTGTCTGGTCTTTCGTGTTGATGGAGTTTGTGGAGATGCCGTGAACAATAACTCCATAAGTTGGCATAATAAGTTCTGCCCGTTCTCCAAGGCCCTTCAACCAACCCTGGTTCTCCTTGAGCTGTGTGGCTTCTGCTGTAGTACTGGTGAAGATCTGTATTTCGCCGCTCTTGAGCTGATATGCTGCAACTATTTTGATTGAATTGGTCGGTGAGTTATCACGGACAGAGTTCTGTACTTGTTGCTTGGTCCAGGCAGCTGATTGCGTCCGATGGCGCTGGGCGATACCGTGATCCTTGAGCTTAACTGTGAGTGCTCGGTCTGTGTATGTTGTTATTGTGTGAGAAGTCCTAGAAGTGTCTGCGCCATGTTGGGTTGGAGGTGGTGCGGGTGGAGAGCCTTTGGCTTGTGCAGCTACTTGCGCCCACGATATCGCGGCAGTTTGCCTTCCACTGAAGTTGGATGCGACGAGTGGAGTAGTGCTCAATCCCACCGAGTTCTTAATGATCTTGACGTCTTTCTGGATGGTCTGGGTGCACTTGGCTGCGTCCTGAACCTGCTGGAGGATATCGCTCATCGACGGCTGTCGGAGGACCTTGCCAATGAGTGCAATGGTTGATGTCAAATAGTGTTGCACTGTGTTCCATGGTACTTGGTTCTGCCGTCCTCTATTCACTGCTTGCAATTGAGTGCATGCTTCCTTGAGGTATGTGGTGTGCTCGTTGATGTGTTCGGGTCCAATGTTTACCTGTGGCCACTTAGGCGCCATATTGCAGATAGACGCGTTTTTTACGCGTTATCTGTAATAAATGCCTATGTGAAAACAGATTTACTGTGAATATTGTAAAATTTTACGCGTTTTCAAAAATTCGTTCTGAGCTGTGGGTGGTGTTTTTCGATATCCCTCTGGGCTGTTCCTCTGGGCTATTCCACTGGGCTGTTCGTCTGGGACTGTTCGTCTGGGATGTTCGTGCGATGTTCCTGGGATGTTCTCCTAGGATATTCTCCTAGGATGTTCAGCCGTTGGTCTCTCTTGACACTGTTTCCTTAGTTTCGAAAGAAAGTAGTCTAAGGTCTGTATCAGAAGAGCCTATTATGCTAGGAAGGATAGGATTCAACTTATGTGATTTGCCGGCTCGTTGCAGATGGGATGACTTGCCGATAGGGTTTCTTTACAAGCCTGATATGTCTAGGCATGAGATTAGTTCTGACCTCAAGATTGCAGGAAGCTTTGGGACTGAGCATACGGTAATTCAGGTTGTGAGGCACTGCTAATCACAGGGTCTCGGCGTTTTAATCATGTCCACACTGATTCCCAGTGAAGGGTGACTTAAACTTGAAGTCCGTAGGGAGGTTTGTAGAATTTACTTTGAAGATGAAAATACAAGAAATAAGATAATTTGAGAGAGGGAATCACCCCTTCTTATATCCATCCTTCGCCTTCCATATTCAATCTAAACAAGATATTTAGAGCGAGAGGTCCTCATCAGCTTCCATCAATATAGCGTGAGTGTGATTAGCAATTTGAGTATGTATGCATCTTAAGCTCTTTGGCAAAGTAAGTCTTTCCGCTGCACTTTGTGCTTCCAGACTGGAGTACTGGTTAGCAGCGTTGAGTCCACCATAGAATAGCAACAGCGCCGATATCTAATGCGGTTTAGCTCTTCACATCTGAGCTAGTTAGTTATAATTTTTTTTCTGAGTCATCCAGTCCCATCTTGTCCCTCTTATGTCACATTAAGTCTTGGTTTACTTACTATCCAGTCCCATTTTTGTCTTACTTGGTTTCAATGCCTCACATTGGCCCATAATGGCTGTCTTGGTCTCGAGCAGTCAGTATGCATTAGTCGACCGAAGAAACCTGTCACCCCTTTCAAAACGACGACAGGATTGGTCGATACAATTAAATGCTATGCGGTGTTCTTCGAAAATAGAATACAACCTTTAATAGCGCGTATCTGATGTGTGATAAACGGATTTTGGCCTGGTCTAGACACATCAAGTCATGGTATTCCTTGATCAGCAACAAGTCTTCTGTGTTGGTCATCAGGAGAGATCATAGCAGTGGCTGCATTACATCTCAAGTTTCGTTGAAGCGATGTATGCGCATAAAAAATTCCAGTCGCAAACATATAAGGACGGTGCCTTTCCTGACTTCTTTCCCGCTTCATCCTTTATCTTCTTAAGCTGCATCATTATAGCAATGTGTTCAGTATTATAACCTCTCGATTCCGGCCCAAACTGTCGACATGGCTCCCAGTTCATTCCAACCAAATGTACCTGCCCAGCGGCCACGCCCCCTGACAGTCCAAAGCGGGAGCTGCCCTCGAAAGACATGAAGAGAGACAATGAACTGATCGTTAATGTGATCCGAGGGCTACTTGCCGATATGAAAAGGGATACTTCTCTGGCTGGAACCTCCCAGCCAAACGGCTCCTTTAGGGACAAATTGGAACGACTTCTAGAGTCCACCGAAGATGAATCATCATCTGGCACAGTCGCTGAACCTTTGAAGCTGCATCATCCCGAACTGAGACTGTCTCCTGATGTCCCGCATGATAATAGCTCGGAGCCTATCACGGTCAACCAGCTCATAGGATTGTTGGAGGCCGCGTTGGAACCAAAGGGATCGCGGGACCTCTCTGCAACAGAACGTGCCGGTGCAGAGCACGGCGGTGACATTACATCACATGGTCAGTGTTCACCTACTCATGATGTTCCCAAACGCTGACCGATGCCGGCAGATTTGCCCCTAGTAGTCTCAGGTGAAGCCAAAAATCATCCCCCTGGTATCCAGCGTCTATGAAGACTCTTCTCGCAGCTTGCGCAGACCGGACAGTCTTCCTCCTCCATTGAACCCGAATATCGCCGAGACATCACGGTAGAAACGTTGGACAGCTGTAGGAATCTCCAAGCTTCGGACGCCGTGACGGAAATCGACGACTCTCCACAAGAAGTGTATCGTTTCTCCTGGACAGGGCTCGACCCTAGATCTGTGGTTACAGCGCCGCCTAATAGTCCACACGTAGCCCCTTCGAATTGCATCACTAAAGAAGAGCTGAAATGGTTGTTTGCGGAAGTACTGGGAGTTAAAAGCGCACAACCTACCTCGGATGGCAAGGATTCTAGCAGCAACGAGAAGCCCGAAGACAATGATAGAGCGAGAATTCGTGCCTCAAAGGCGGAGTACAAGACTGTCAACGAAGTGGGCCTTCTACACTGCGCCATGGTTACATTCAGTATGCTCATAGATCCACTGATTCAGGATCCATCACTATCCCCTTTAGCTACAATGTGAAGGTCCAGTGTTTGAGGCTATACTAGTACTATGGAACCTAATTCTCAATCTTTGCGCAGTCCCAGTTGGATCTCTCTACCAATAAGAAAAATCCCGCAACTAGAACTACATCGCCGGTAACTGCTGATCGAAATGGCTTCCACTGCTGCTAGGTATAATAGGGTGGTCAACCATCCCGATTGGGCTGAACCGCGCGATATATTAATTTGGAATAATCTAGATCGGTCTCCTTCCTATTCAAGGAATTACCCAGCCTGTCCGTGCAGATTCGGTGACAGACCCTAGGGAAGCTAGTCTTACAAGTTGGATTTGTTTCTTTCCTATTATGGCGTTTACAATATTGATTCAAGCCTTTCCCAGGTTGCCTATATAAATCCCAGCGAGGCCACCAGAGAACACAGCAAAATCTTAAAATCTTATTATCATAAGTAACCAGTCTCTTCCGTTATTCAGCTCTCTTATGCAACTCCAGCTATGGCAGACATCTCCCTTGATAATATGGTCATGTACCAGTATCGTGAGCCTATAAAGCTGTCTAAGTTACCAGCGACCCCTCACGGGATGTCTTCATTTCAATCGCACATGATTTCCTCTATATCTCACCCTCTCACTACTTGCCCCTACACATCAAGGAAAACAATAGTTGCTCACCGAGCAAGGAACGGACTTTTCTATCAAAAAACCCAGTTGAAGAGGTGCTCGTCCCAAGTGCCGTCACTGGACATCATCTACCTATACTGATGTACCGATTGAATTCAGTCCCGAAGTTTAGGAGACACCCCGTCTGAACGGGCGCCGTAAATCGTCCCTAATTCACGAAGGGAACACGGAGTAGTGAAGCAATCTATATTGAGGGGGCCGATGTGAATCATGTTTATCAATCATTTAGACCATTTTATGCGCATTCAGGTACTAGACCAAGATATCAAACGAGAATATGATAGTAGATTGTCTCTCCTATCTAGCTACTGCTTCTACACCCTCTGCAACAGTCTGCGATAACCAACCCTCCGCATCCATCCCATCAACGACAATAACCTTCCTCTTAAACGGGCACCTGCCATCTCCACTTCTCACGACCACATCATCCCACCTACCCCAATGATCAGGCATTTTCAAATGCGTCCCCGCGATAATATAAGTCTGACCCTTTGCCTCCATCGCCGACTCGAACTGGACATCAACGGTGGTAACATGATGCCTCAGAAGTTTTGGCGTATTGTTTTCGGTGATCTTGCCGATTTCAAGTGGCGAGAGTTCGCGGCCGTCAGGTAAAAGGATAGTGGCATTGGGTTCAAAGAGGACTGCTATTTCGTTTTGTTGGTCAGGGATTCCCCGGGCAAAAGAGGCGTAGCGGTTTATTAGGGAGAGGATGTGGGTGCGTGCTATGGCTTCTTCGGAAAGATGCATGCCGATTGAGGAAGAGCCGGTTGGGAGAGGGTTTTTATTTGACATTTTTTTAACACTGTCGATGATGAGAGTGATGATTTGATAAGCCTTAAGTTAGATGCTACCTAATTAGGTAATCTGGTTGATTGCCTCGATACATCTTGATAAGAGTTGGAGGAGCTACCTAGGTGATATTAATCATTTCAATAACTGAAAATCTCAGTGTAATTCAAAGCGGTTATATGGAGGGGTCTTATTCCTTTTCTAAGAGTTCGAACTCGCTCGAAATTTTGAACTGGTAGCGTACAATCACTCCGCAGCTCTTAGCTTGATCTAGCGGCATAATCTGGTCTGGATGATCCTATGTTTCGTCCTTATTCCTTTACTATCACGAATTGGTAGGGCTCGGCTACTTACTTTTGGGATATGTTAACTAGATTAATTAGTTCGATGATACTATACAAGGAGTGACTAAAGTTAATAAGAAATTAGCTTTCGGCGCTAGGCTTTTCCAATCAACCAGAGCTTCAATTTTATTGTCTCTTCGCCTGATCAAGAACATGATTCGTTATCCCTCCCTTTTCCCAGCTTGAGCGATCTTGCTGGATAGATTTATAACCCTAATCCTATCGATGATTATACAGCTATATTAGGGATGGATTGATGGAGAAGTGTTGGAAGCCTGGTGTTAGATAGATATCATTAGTGGAATCCGCTGAGAAGCCCAGGGCCTCCAATTCGCCAACTGGCTTACCAATTAGCAAGAACCACGTATTCAAACGAGGGGTTTGGATTCTTCAGTAAAGAGGACAATTCCCAATGTCAAAAAACGGGCGAGATTCAATGAATCAAGCATTGACACATACAATTTTGTTAGCACGCCGGTGTCACAAGCTCCTACAATTTTTATACAAATTCCAACAAGAAGTAAGGAAGCAGTTGAGCAAGGATTTCTCTTGAAGTTATTATCAGAAAGCATCGTCATCTTTCCTGTGATGTAGATAGGCCTCTCACCCGCGGGTCGGGTGCGCTCTAGGTCTGACCCTCGAGGGTGACCCTAGAGGGTCTCCGAGGGTCCACAAACAAGACAAACATGAGAAGCTTGTAAGTGGCGTAATTTATGCGGCTCGTAGCTGTATTTTTCCGTATTTCTCTTACAGGATTATTGTGGGAGAAGGGACAATAGAGTACTCATATAGATGCGGAAGTGTCTATTTAAAAGTCCTTTATTGTTAAAGTTACTATTCTATATTATAAATAAAGCTACGCATGACTAACTTCATACCCGTCCAAGAAGTTTTGAGCGTTTCCGAACTCTCCCTGACATCCGACATTGTGTATCAGGTAAAGGCACATCACTACCATCAGTTTCATCTTGCTCATCCTCTTCTGGCTGAGATATAATGCTTTTTCGCCTTTTTCCTAGTGCTCACTTATTAAGGGGTTGAATAGTTGGTTGGACATGATCCCCACCCTTTTCCTCAACCTCATCCTCATCCTCATCCTCATCCTCATCCTCATCCTCATCCTCAACCACATCCTCATCCTGATCCTCAGCCTCAGCCTCATCCTCAGCCTCATCCTTGTCACTGATTGGCTCAAACTCATCTGCTTGTGTATCCTTTTCCTCCTTTACTGCCTGGGGCTCTTCATAAGATAAGTACGCATTGATTAATACTCGCTGATCCTCTTCAATCTCAAATTTTAATGTACACATAAACATCATAATATCTTGAATGGTTTCAGACTTAAGAGAGCCTCGACGGTAGTGACAGACATCTCAAGTGGAGTTAAATAGCCGCTCTACACCTACTCCAGTCGCAGGTATCGAGAGCACATCCCATGCGAGACTTGCAAGTGCTAGAAATTCATATTGATTAGCAGAGCGTAAGCTCTGCTAGTTTACCGCGTTCACTCGGGAGTCCCCACTTTTTTCTGATTGGTCCATTGAAGTCCTATACGATTGGTTGAAAAAACTGTAGTAACGTGACTTCCCGTTTAGGCTGTGCTTTAGGGCTTTTTTCTAGGGTTAGCTCCTTACCTCACGACACGATAACTTCCTTCCCTCTATACATGCTCTTTCTCTTTATTAACCCCCCCCTTCCTCTCACCATCCTTCTCAAGTTCTCATCCTCACGCTTTCTAAATTTTATCAATTTCATCGATCGTTCGCTACTTTCATCTCGTTCGTCTCACTCTACTCCTGCTGTGGGCTTGAGATATCCTCACTCCGCCACTATGGCTAGAGATAGCACTCAGCGGTGCTCAATATGCCACCAAGAAAAGTCAATTAAATAATTTCAATCGGCAACTGGAAATCACATCTTGAAAACATGCTCACAATGCTGTACTCATCGTTCCTCCAAGAGAACGCGTATTAAGGCTGGAATCCATACTCCCAAGCCTCCTGAGAACCCCTCTATAATCCCACCTGTCGAAAAAGATCTTCCTCACTTTATATGTTATACTACTGCTTCTTCGTTACATCGTCTCCAGCCCACGGAGAGACCCTCTACGCATCAAATTCATCATCAATTTGAAGAGCATCAAATAGCATCTTCATCTCAAGAACTTCACGCCTCCCCTATTTATCATTATCGTGGAATTCATTCGCAAGATTCCCCCACTCATCAAGAAGCACGGCGTCAGCGAGAACGTGATCGACGCGCACATCGTGCTGCTAAACGTGCTGGCGAAGAAATGTCTCCCACTCAGGACTTGGAGATATATCTTGCTGATCCCCAAAAAGAACAGGATATCCTACCATCTGGTCAACTTTCATCATCTACTGATCCTCTTGCTGCTTTTGGTTCTGAAGTGTTCTCACCTGTTACTCAAAGTACATCTTTGCCACCATATCGAGGACACGGCGCTCGCCCTAGCTTTAGCTCTTCGTCTACGCCGCGCCGACCGCTCCTGTCAAACCACTTTGTATATACTGCGTGCCATAAACTGCGTCATCATGCCCGAAAAATCACTAACAATGTTGATATCTGCCAGTACTGTCAAAACCCAAGTATCCCACTTAAACAATAGTACAAATTTTGTGTTAGTGATAAACATGAAGTCCCAATCACTGCTTTCTTTGACTCTACACCCACTAAGCATAACATTTGTAACTCATGCCGTCCCCAGATGATGGCCCAGAGTGATACTGACCCTTCATTCCACCCAGATAGTGGCGTACCCTATTCATAGAATTTATCCATGGCTTCTACTTAGCCATGATTCCCCAGTCATCCTACTATCCCCTATACAGAACCGCAACAGGCTTTAACTTTACTTCAATCTGATCCTCCATATACCCCCAGTGATCTAAATTGCCTTCCAAATCCCGCCCTCGCCGAAAGTGATATGATCTTGGTTAAAAGATTTCATACTACTCTTGAACAACATACCACGGAACTCTGTCACCGCTGTGAGGAAAAGTGGTTTAATATGAGACTTAATGCACATGGTATTTGTGACCACTATGTGCGTGTTGATAGTGGAAAACACATATATCTGTTCTCCGCTATCAACAATATGCATCCTGGAGATCTGCCTGACCTTCCCGAGCTTTCACAAACAGAAGAGATGCTGATTGCCCGTGTCCATGTTTGTGTTGAAATCCATCGTGTACGTGGTCAGCAATATAAGTATAGCGGCCATGTTGTGGATTTCCTTAGAGATACAGCCTATGTTTACAATACCCTTTCTCTTCTTCTACGTCATCTAGAGGTGATTCTACTAGAACCTGCTAATACCCCTGATGACGCCAGATTACGACGTTAATTTATTCACAATTTTCGTGTTTGCTGGGAAAACGTTGTTAGATGGCTTGCTTTTCTTCGCTTGAACCATCCCGGCTATCACGACATCGAGATTTCACAGGAAGCCATCCATACTCTTCCTCAAGACAGTGATGTGTCTGATCAGGTTGTCAATGAAAGGATTGAGCCTGTTAAGATTAATCCTGATAATAATACCAAAGGAGTCGAGTTGCCTGAGCGCAGTGCAGTGCCAGATATTTTAGCCCAGGAAGATGAGCTAACTTCTATTTGTGAACAACTACAGCCAGAATCTCGCCATGCTTATATTGAAGTTCCTCCATTTTGGTCTACACTACTCATGGAATTCAACCGCACGCAGCCATTACTCCATGGGCATTTCCTACACTATTCCCTCGTGGCGAAGCGGAGTTTACCTCTCCTCGCCAACGCACCGTACCCTTTGAGGACTACATCAAACATCTGATGAAGTTCCATGACGGGCGATTTGCCAGACATCCTCGATTTAGATATGTTGTTTTTAACATATTGATGCGCCAACAAGCCAATTCCAAGGCTGGATTCTTCGTTAAGCAGCGGACTATCAGAGGTCAAGAAGTTACTGCAGATGATCTTCGCAGTGCCTTTGCAGACAAATCGAGGGAGGGGGATGCACTCATTAGTTCTATTATACAGCGTTCCAGTACACTTCGTGGTACACGGCCTTTCTGGACAAATAAAAATCAACAATTGAAAGCCATGGTTAAGAATATTAGTCCTGCTCATCTCTTTCTCACCTTATCTGCTGCAGACCTTCATTGGAATGACCTTATGCTTCATTTGCCTCGCTATGAAGAGTAGAAATATGGTACCGCGAGTGAACAGATCCAGATATTGCGTGAGAACTTATGTGACAATCCACATATTGTTGCAAATTGGTTTCATATTCGTTTTAGTTCCTTCCAGAAAGAAGTTTTGGATAAGAAGTTCAATGTCGTTGATTTTTGGTTTAGATATAAGTGGCAGGGGCGAGGCTCCGTGCATGTACATGGTCTTTATTGGATTGATAGTGCTTCGCAGTCGGAAACCGATCGACTATCTGAGCAGCTATGTCAATTATTTATTGAATTTTGGGGCAGGCATATATCTGCAATGAATCCTCAGCCCGGTACGCAGGTTAATATGGGAAATGAGCGGTCTCCCTTGCAAATTCCTTTTGTTAATCAACAGAATATAGTTTCTTATCTTTCTCAGATTGCTAATAGTGTATAGCGTCATTCATGTTCTACAACATATTATCTCTAGAAGGAGAAGAATTCAAATAATATCTTATGTCGTTTTCATTTTCCACATGCACTACGTAACACTGGCTGCCTTGAACCTGTTCCTGGCCATGCCTACCTTCAATTCCATCCACCACGCAATGATCCCATAATTAATGCGTGGAATCGGTGCATTTTGATGTCCTGGCTAGCAAATATCAACATTGCTTCGTGTACTAGGACTGAGGCGCTTTTACAATATATTGCGAAATATGTGTCCAAAGCAGAGACAAAGTCTGATTCATACAAAGATATGATGAAGAGTCTGCTACCAACATTGAACCAGAAGAATCCTTTTCTATCAATTGTCATGAAAATGATAAATCGTCTGATTGGGGAACATGATTGGTCGGCTCAGGAAGTCCTCCATCTACTGCTCAATATTCCTCTCCAGATTGCCAGTCGTGTATGTCTTACAGTCGATTGCTAGTAAGAAGATCTTCATTCTACTACCTTTATTCGCATTGATCAGGATGCAGGGGATGATGGTGAAGCTGTCCAGAGAGGACTTTCAGTCTATGAGAAATATAAACGTCGACCTCTACTTTTTGAAGATATCACTTATTTACACTTCCTCCAGCGCTTTGATTTCAGAAAAGTCAATAACCCATATGAACGTCAACATGTTCTAGATAGGGTTCTCAATTACTTCCCCATATACAACGCAGAAAGACAGCAAGATGATTACGCTCATATTAAGCTGATGTTGCATCATCCATTCCGACAGATTACCAATATATTAACATTGAACGGTAATACATTTGACTCTTTTATTACTGCATACACATACTGCCAGGAGGCTTGTATTCATGAGAACAATTATTATGGCGAGGTTCTCTCTCAACCTCCAGAATCAACATACGAAGACGCTGAATTTCAAGATGATCAGGATATACCTTAGTCATGGGAAGCACTCGCTCGTCAGCTCCCACGTCGAGACGATGCAACAAGGATTGAGAATCCTGATGAGCTTGGTGACTGTTCCATTGATTGTGAAATGGATTGGACCTTGCGTATTGGCCGTTATAGTGACCTCAATGATAATTTCTGGCCTTCGATGAAAGCAGACTATCCCATAAATCTTGCCGTTCATTCCTCTGCATCTCCAGATGATCTCGAATTGAAGCAGCGTTAGTTATTTGATATCATTACTGGGCATTATGAAAAACAAATTGCCGGAGAGGATCCTCCTCAAATGCTTCTCAATCTCGATGGCGAGGCTGGTACCGGCAAGTCTCACATTATTAAACTAATATCAGCCATACTAGAGCACATGGCAACCAACGCAGGGATTAAAAAGTCTCCTATTATTCATGCTGCTCCGACGGGTGTCGTTATTTATTCTATTAATGCTCGCACACTTCATTCTCTATTTTGCCTTCCTATCGCTGCAGGAAGGATGGTTGATCTTACAACCTAGAACTTACAAGCTCTCCAAGCCACTTTCCGCGGCGTGAGTTGGCTAATTATAGATAAGAAATCTATGCTTGGACTTAAATAGCTTTATTGAATAAATCTAAGACTGCAACAAATCTTCCCTACTACTGATACTGATGCAGTGCTCCCTTTTAGAGGTCTCAATATCGTACTCGCTGGTGATTTTTATCAACTTCCCCCAGTCGGTCAACGTCCTCTTTATTATAACAAGAGATTGCACACTCTTGAGGAAATTCATGGGCGCCTTCTATATCAAACTTTCAACACTACAATTCAGCTTAATAAAGTCCGACGTCAGACTGAGACTGGCGCAAATGCCCGAGCTTTTCTTGAAGCTCTTCAACATCTCTGGGTAGATGAATTAACCCTTCAAGACTGGGAAATACTCTGCACCCATGTGCAGGCAGTTGTGCCCAATAAGGTAGAACGCTTCAAGGATGCAATTTGTATCTACTCTAGGAAGGCACAGGTGTATGAGTTCAACCATAATTGTCTACGAGATATTAGTGCTCCTGTGCTTCGAGTTCCAGCTACCTATCAAGGATCTAGAGCAGCCCAAGCTTCCACTAACGAAGCAGGAAATCTTCACGCTAAAATCCATCTATCTATTGGTTGCCGTGTGATGCTAATAGAGGATATATGGATAGAGCATGGTCTGGTGAATGGGGCTTTTAGTATGATCATAGATATTATTTGGGAAGCTGGTATTACCAACCCTCGAGAGATACCTCCGTACGCTCTTTTGATCCATTTTGATACTTACAATGGTCCCGAATACATCACAATCAATGAGAAAAAAGTGGTCCCAATCTTTCGATCAAAGCGAGACTTCTCAACGAATAATATCAACTGTTCTCGCATTCAGTTCCCAATTACTGTTGCTTATGCTATGACAATTCATAAAGCGCAAGGTATTACTGTACCCAAAGCTGTTCTGAATATTGCAGAAAAGGATTTCACTATTAGCCTTACCTATGTAGCTCTTTCACGCGTTAAAGCACTTAACGGTGTCCTTTTCGAAGAGCCTTTCAACTATCAACACTTTGTGCGTAAGAAGCCCCATGAATCAATAGTTATGAGACAAGAAGATGCCCACTCTCGTCATGAGCAACATGTTTTTATCCCCTCTCCGGTACAATTGCACGTATGGCTGTGACCTAACCAGTCTCTAGTTTGATTATATCCCTCTACCACCTCAATTACCGTCACAGATTCCTCGGAACTATTTCCAAGCTTTGTTAGCTACTGAGTCCTCTCCCCAGCGTGGTTCCTCGGTCATTCCCCGTGGCTCGTCCCACACTCCTCCTAACGATGAGATTGCATAATTGTGATCGACTTTATTGCATTCCCCCAATCCCCCTCGTAATATTCATCTACTATGTGCATACTTACTACTATATAGATTTCAATTCGTGACCGGTCTCGTGGGGGTTGGGGGGGTTAAGGGGGAGGGGTTTTGGGAGTCAGGATTTAGATCAAAATGCTTGTTATTAAGAATTAAAATCTCTACTCTTCTTTTCTGCTTTCTGATTGGTCAAAAATCTTTCTCTCGTAATCAGCCAAGCCGCACCAAGCTTACGCTCTGCTACGATTTCGGTGGATAAATGCACCGTAGAGACCTTGTAGTCTCTCTAGGATACACGGGGGGGAGTCCGAACAGTGCCTATAATTGAGGTTAATCTACATTGCTTAAAAGGGGTATTGCACTTACTACTTTTGAGATATTATGTTAGCTCATTACAATAACTAGAAGACGAGTGATGAAGTCCAGATGACTCCTCTGGCTTATAAAAGACCTCGAGTTCCAATATTATAGTTGCAGATGACTGAACCCTAGATACCGACTGTGTATCTAAAAGATACCATTTATAAACCTCAAGGTAATCTTTAAGACTCTTGCAATATCGTCTACACTAATCTGTTTTCAGATCATGTCATTCCTTTCTACAGAAGAACTAGAGCTTCTGCTGTGGAGAGATAATTGTGCTAATTGCATAGAGATTACTATCAATCTTGTCCGTCATAGGATAGTATTATGAAAGCTTCTTCTTTGCTGCATGAAGAGCAGTCAGCATAACCTACTTCCAAGAAACCTTCTTTCGTTCAAGCTGACTCATTGACTCTTCAAGATGACCAAAGAGCTTATTGTAGATGCTAAAAACTAGATGTATAGTAACATCTTTAGTCTTTGAAAGAAGGGTTATGAATTTGAAGAAGAGCTGAGTGATCCAGAGACGATATTTAATCTGACGCCACTCCTCTTGATTCAATGTAAAATGAGCTTGATTATATTGTGAACAGAACTCATCGAATGCTGATTGGAGTTTTTTAGCACGTCGAAGCATCAAAAAGGTTGAGTTCCAGCAAGTTCTAACATCCTATATAGGCACAAGCTTTGGCCCTTCAGCCTATAGGTTACAGAACGCTTCCCAGCATTAAGGGCTGGCACTGATGTAGACAGCAAGGTTCCGGACCTAGTGACTGTATTAGTAAAATAAAGATAACACAACAAATAATAACATACCTTATTAAGTGTATCAACAATCATTCTTTGCTGATTTGTAGCATAAATAGGTCCTATATGGTCTTCTAACTATTGTATCTCTGCCATCTCATTCTTTGGGTTTGCTTCCATTTGACCAAGGAGGTCTTTAAGGCTCAGCTAAATAACATAGGCAATACATGGAACCTAAATGATATTTGAGTTATTATTAAGCTTAAGAGATTGGATTAACTCTTGAATGCTCAAAATCATTATATTATTATTAGTGTAATGCTGAGCCAGCTATATTCATTTGCAGCCTGGATAACAAATTTCTTATACTCCTCCTATTTATTGATGACATCCTGCTAACTAGTAACCAGGATGCAATTAAGGAATTCGTCAAAGAATACTGCAATAAATTTAAAACTTGAGATATAGGAACACCTAGGCGCTTCTTAGGCATCCATATTGAACATCGGAATGGCAAAGTGATATTGCATCAGAAGGCATAAATACAGCGAATTCTCAAGCGCTTCAACGCACCCACAAATCCTATTGCAACTCCACTTGATCCTAAGCACCCACTTGTTAAAGCAACTGATACAGAATGTCTAAATGAAGCAGATGCTTTAGAATACTGTGCTGCAGTGGGAGCACTAATCTATCTTATGATTTATACGAGACCTAATCTTGCATTTGCACTTTCTCGCCTCTCTAAATTTATGTAGAAACCAGATATAAAGCATGCCGCAGCGCTTAAGCGTCTACTTAGGTATTTGGCTGGCACCCAGAACCTGGGCATCGCCTACTGCAAATCATGCTCTGATAACTCAGTCTTATATGGCTATAGCAACTCTGACTTTACCCCTGATTTAAATAACTAATGTTCAACTTCTGGTTTTATATTCCTTTTGAATGGTGGTCTAATATTATAGAAATCAAAACAGTAATCTTTAGTTACTAGCTTAACTCATGACGCTGAATACATTAGACTAGCAACTACATTATATGAGGTTATCTAGCTTTGGAAACTCAATTCTTGCTATTCTGCCTCAGTATGCAGAACATACAATACCTTCTAACACAATTCATTGTAATAACTAAGACACCATTGCAACTACAAATCAACCTAGTTATTCGCCCTCTACTAGGTTAAAACATATTGATATCTGTTTCTACATTATACGCGAGGCTATCGCAAATGGCCTTATTCATCTGGAGTATATTTGTATAACAGAAATGACAGCTGATATATTGACGAAGGCACTACTAAAGGAATTACATGAACATCATGTAAAGGGAATAGGAATGGAATCAATATAACATATACTTGAACTGGCCTGGTTTCCTCCATGATTTTTCATCCCACAGGGTTTTGCATGGAGGTTTTCCCCTAGGACTGCCTATATATACTCTCTTTCCTCTTTTTTTCTTTTTTTCTCACTCTCTCTTTTCCCCATTAAATCACCCGTGATCTAGTGGGAGGATCCTAGCCGATCTGACGCCTTTGGTGAGATCCCGGATGAGTGGGAGTGTTGTCGGATTAGTCGGTTTATTCCAGGCCAATCCTGAAGAGTGTTTTTACTAGGATCAAAGAAAAGAAGTGACTAGCAAGATTGTATGTATTCAGTTCTGTGTCTCTCTGTTCACCAAGTTTCAAAGCCGGGTCCTTTATAGACACCTTTGGCGGGGTGATTTGTGAGCTATCAGGAGAGATAAATATTGGGCTGAAATCTAGGTGCCCCAGATATATGCCTAAAGGTACCTTTTAGACCTGTAAGATTGAACAGTCGATCTCTCTGCCTCATTTGAAAGCCAGATTATCTGACAGTATCTCCACATGGCGCTTAGGATATCCTATCTCTTCACCTAATTCTGGGACCGTACGAACGTACCCATGGGCAATCATATCCTCACTCAATTCTGCGAATGAAGAATCCGCATTCAGCGATACTATTATCACTTCGCCATCCGGATCGATCACGTGAGTCGGCAAATGCATGGCGCAATTCTGGTGCTAGAAGTCTTTCCAAGCAAGAGATACAAAGTTTTGGGGAATGCCAGAATACGAATTTTCCGTGTCTTACGGCCTCAGGCAAAAGCAACTGCGCATGCTTCTGTAATAGCGGTTGCCGTAGCTCAATCAATCACTTATCTATGCCGAGCGGGCCCGTCCAGGCGTACATATTCCCTGGCTTTAAATAGTCAAGGACGATATACTACTATAGACCTTTGGATGTGGAGCTCAACAAATAGGTAGTATACATGGTGTCCGAGGGTTGAGTTCAAGAACCGCACAAGTCTAATTTAAGCTCAGCATAGGATATTGTCGTAAATAGACAGACGTAGGATAGGCGCCTACCTACAGGGGATCACTACGATGCCAGAATTAGACCGACACCGGCAATTCACCTACAAAGGATTGCTACGATATCGTAAACAGACCGACATAGGGTTGGTGCCCTTGGAGGATTGCTGCAATATCGTAAATCGTTCGACAATGCTAGCCGCCCATGTATTGGCGATTTTTCAACAAAATTGATAATCCTGGAGTCCCATGATCCAATTAGAATGTTCACATGGCTCTTCTAGAACATTCCGACCGATGAGTCATAATTTGCCTAGTAAGAGACAGTGATGTCGTATATAGAAGTAACTTGAACAAGAAGACACTATAAGCTGAAGCATATTTTACTCAGCCAGAACTGAAATGATAATCCGCAACTACCCATCACTTGCGCCATGGCGATAGCGGCTGATGACGTCGCTCGAATGACCGAGACCATTTGCTGCACCTAGAACGGGGCCATAAGGGGTGCAGCTTTTGGCGCTATCCCTTTATGGGAATAGCTTTCGATCCGGGGCCTGGCGGTATATGACATAAGCGAGGGGAGGCAAGAGCTGAGCCAATCATAACAAGTAAAATGTTTCACATGTGGGGCACTGACAGAGGTGGGGACGTAAATAATCAATCAATCAATCAATCGGGTGGGGGCTAGGATCCCGAATTTTACATCAGTCCCTTTTGTTTTCTTTTTTCTGGGAATAAATATCGATACATGTCGCCATCTCCACTACCCACAGGGTATATCCATCAAACTACTCCACGGCAAAGACATTTAAAGCTTTGACCAAGATCGCTTCATTATCACTTGGGCGCTAACTGTCGCATATACACCATGTCTTCTACAGACTGTACATTAGGAGATGAAGCTCCACCGCAACATATGCGGTCGAGGACCCTTTCACTAGGCTACGACGCCGGCGAAGTAGACCCCACGGCACTACCTTTTGGACAGCTCAACGACGGTGCCGATTTAGAGGAATATATCACCGAGACAAGAACTGGAAATATCATCAGACACACTCGTTCGAACGTTACTGGTGAAGTGGCCGATTGGAAACTGGTTACATTTACGATCGACGACCCGGAAAACCCTAAAAACTGGTCCAAGGCGTACAAGTGGTACCTCACAGCAATCATCGCATGGACATGTTTCGTCGTGGCTTTTGCGAGCGCTGCCATTACCGCCGGTCTTGACGGACCGGCCAATGAATTTCATGTTTCAATGGAGGTCTCTCTTCTTACCATCACGGTGTTTGTTGTTGGCTTTGGAGTTGGTAAGTCTTCCGGTCTTCACACGATTGTCTGAATGAGCAGAAACTAACTGTTCGTTTCGCTAGGCCCTATGGTTTTCGCGCCGTTATCTGAGGTCGTTGGACGAAGACCCGTCTACGCGGTTACATTATTCCTTGCCCTCATTTTCGAGATTCCTTGCGCCGTTGCGCCTAACATCGGAACCCTCATCGTTTGTCGAGCCATCGACGGAATCGCCTTCAGCGCACCCATGACGTTGGTTGGAGGTAGTCTATCAGATCTCTGGAAAAATGAAGAACGTGGTGTGCCAATGGCAGCTTTCAGCGCCGCTCCATTTATTGGGCCTGCAATCGGACCCCTAGTAGGCGGTTTTCTCTATGATGCTGCCGGCTGGCGATGGCTATATTGGATTCAGCTGATTGTCGCCGGTATTGCCTGGGCTTTGATCACTTTCACTGTTCCCGAAACATACGCTCCTACTCTACTGAAGGCCCGCGCAAAAAAATTACGCCAGACGGAGAATGATCCGAAATTCGTGACAGAGCAAGAAATTGACTCGCGTCCGCTGAGTGAAAAGATTCGCATCTTCGCGCTACGCCCTTTCCAGTTGTTGTTTCTCGAGCCCATTGTTCTCTTTATTTCGCTCTATATGTCCGTCTTGTACGGCATGTTGTACATGTTCTTTATTGCGTATGTTCATGATTTCTTTCCCCTTTTTCCTCGTAGCCTGGCTAACTAGAAGTTTTCTAGATACCCCGTCATCTATCAAGAAGGAAAAGGTTACAGCCCCGGTATTACTGGTCTTATGTTTATACCATTGGCCATTGGAGTCGTTGCTAGTGCATTCTGCGCTCCATTAGTCAACAAACACTATCTGAAGATGCACGCCAAATACAACGGCAAACCACCAGCAGAGGTTCGACTCATTCCGATGATGTTCTCATGCTGGTTTATCCCAATCGGCCTTTTCATATTCGCTTGGACTTCGTATCCACGCTTGCACTGGATTGGCCCAGCCATTGGAGGATTTCCTGTCGGATTTGGCTTCATCTTCTTGTACAATTCCGCGAACAACTATCTGGGTAAGTACACAGGCTTCCATGCACTGGTCAAGAATGAATTGCTAACCATACCCTGCAGTGGACACATACCAACACCAAGCAGCATCTGCCCTCGCAGCCAAGACCTTCTTGCGGTCAATGTGGGGAGCAGGAAGTGTTCTTTTCACCATACAAATGTACCACAGGCTTGGTTACGAGTGGGCGGGCACCCTTCTCGCATTCCTGGGACTTGCATGTTGTGCAATTCCTTACGTTTTCTGGTTCTACGGAGAAAGGATCCGTTCATATTCCCGCTTTGCCTACGTTGAAGACGAGGAAACCAAAGCAATGCCTCCGTTCGACGGCGGACACTAAGAACCAGAGGCCTCCCAAAATATTAGAGTCGGCGGTAATAGAGTCGTTGCATAGAAAATAGAGGAGCGATCATCTGGGTTTCATAGAGGAAAAGTCATCTCATTACTCTGTTGGCCAAACATGAGTTCGATCTCAAGCATCGTCGTTCTGTTTTTTTTTTTTTTTTGTCCTTTTTTTCGGGGTCATTTGTTGGCCATTTTTTTTCCCTGGGTTAAACTCGGTTAGACACGTTTTCTTTATGATATCATCCATGCGATAGACAAAATATAGATCAAGCGATAATATTAATAATATTCATTCATATGAGTTTTAAGGCATGTCAGTCGTACATTGTGTAGAATCAAAACGTTGGGAGAGGTTGAAGATGGAAGGCCAGAATAGGCAAAGAGGCGCGATGTCCCTTGGGGTGGTTCATATTGACCAATCACGGCGCCTCCAAGCACTGAGTAATCCAGAGTTCACGTGATCTTATAGCCTGAAGCCGAAGACTGAATGTGGGGTTTTCTTGATCGTTCTGTCTATCCTCCTATCCGGTTGTGATCTCGGAGATATTCAACGCCATTGAAGCTTGGCAACTCATCATGATAGATATCCAAAGGAACTTCTACACAATGCTGGTGTTTATAGCAAATAATACTATTAGATATGTAATAGCTACCTAAGCACTAGCTAGAGCAGCTTCTATGTAATGACCGGGTTGAACGATAGTTCGAGTACGAGGGTATGGGTTGCGGAACACTTGAAGAAGCGAATACTAAGGAATCCACACACAAGAAATACGAACTAAGATAGAGCAACAATACCAGATGGTACGAGTGAAATTGTACGAGAATAATCGCTTGACCTTCGAGGATTCCCTGCAAAGATCTACGCTCTATATACACAAGCGCTCATGCACCGGTCAGGCGCCGAGAGGGGGGTAAGGAATATCTAGATCGCGCGCTTGCCGCCGCCAACTATCCTGACTTGCCAAGGCCTTGGGCATTCACCCGTATTCCTGCCTTAGATCGCTGGCATCAATCTTCCGCGCATTCAGATTGGCTCCTTGGATCTCGCGATGGAGTCAGCCCTTACATTCTACTTCTATATCAAAGACTTCTTTCCTAGGCTAAAGGCACTCTCCCCATAAACTGCAAGACAGCTATTCATAGCAACAGTGGCACCTACAATAGACTACGCCTCTAGTGTGTGGATGCATGCCTGCAAGACACATGGAACGCGGTGCCTAAATAGAGTGCAGAAGATAGGAGGTATAGCAGTTACAGGAGCCCTTCGGACAGTTGCTACAGCAGTTGTAGAAGCTGAAGCAAACATTCACTTATTTAGAGAGTGACACACAGAGAAAGCAACAAAACTATAGGCTAATATCTGCGCACTCCCTAGAACAAACCTACTAAGGAAGCTGAGGGTCACATTAACTTGGAGGTTTTCCTCTCCACTACAGAGTATAGCGCAAACACTAGGAAGAGATGCAATAGATAGTATGGAAACCATCAATGCGTACGCGGTGTCACCTTGGACAGATCGACTGCAGATAAGAGGTGAACGTGATAGAGAGAAAGCCATTGGAATTGCTAACAGTGCAGAAGGTATCCTTATTGCCACTAGCTCATCCGCTAAGGATGACATAGTAGGCATGGGAGGAAGCATTAAGGATACCCAGGTTAACAATGCAGATAATGTACTGACTAGCTACACTACAACACTATTAAATTGAACAGAACAGAACCCGTACATAGCTGAGCTAGAAGCAATAGCTATAGGATTAAAACATATTCCACTATGGGTTTTCAATAGGTAAGTGACCATCCTCAGTAGCAATCAATCAGCATTAGCTGCTATTGGACAACCACGTCAACAGTCTGGCCAAAGCATGATTCAACAGATATACACAATGGCCTAGCTTCTTTGGGGAAGAGAAAATGTGATCAGCCTACTTTGGGTCCCAGTACATACTGACTCTATATTAAGATTAAAGGCGAAAATGGCCACTCAAAGATCAACAAGAGAAGAATATAAATCAGAAAAGCAATCGTACTAGGCTAAATCTACTACAGCGAGACTTGCTATTACTAAACAACGACAAAAGAGAGCCCTTCCAGATGGAGTAGGTAAATACTCAAAGACTATTGACTTAGCGTTGCCAGGAAAGCACACCAATAGCCTATACAATGGGCTAAAGCGGAAAGAAGCTGTAGTTCTGGCGCAACTCCGGACAGGAATGATTAGGCTTAACAGCTACTTGAATAGGATAGGAGCCGTAGAGTCAGACCTCTGCGCTTGTGGCCAGGCAAGCGAGACTATAGAACACTTTCTATTTCACTGCACAAAGTGAGCAGGAATGAGAGAAGACATGCTACAGTATACAGAAATGAGAAGAGGGAGTCCATCTTTTCTACCTTAGAGGAAAGTCACGATCTGATCCCAAGCAATGGTGACTAGATATTAAAGCAGTACGAACGACAATTAGATATGTAATATCAATAGGAAGACTTGACATAGAGCAGGAACAGGAACCAAGTCAATCATAGCGAAGCCAGCACTAACTAACTATTCCCACCCTCACATATGATAGACACCGCTGCAGCCGCCGAGAATAGGACGCTGCACACTTAAAGAAGACAGCCTTTAAGCCGGTCTATCAATTCTTTTTAACACACAAGATGTTGGGAACCACAGGCCAAGGAGGCCTTAACTCCAGATACCAAGATAATTACGTTGAAGCAGGAAAAGCAGGGGCTTGTAGGAGGAGAGGTCGGAAACACATGAATTGTATATATCTAGAGCACTAGTGCCCTATAGGGTCATTTATCTGGGCACCGAGATTTCAGCCCAATGTTTACCCCTCATGATAGCTCACAAATCACTCCGCCAAAGATGTTTATAAAAACCCAGCTTTGAAACTTGATGAACAGACAGAGGAGAACCGAAGACATACAATCTTACTAGTCACTTCTTTTCTCTGATCCTAGTAAAACACTTTTCAGGATTGGCCTGGAATAAACCGACTAATCCGACATAATCCTCCACCAGTATATCATGAAAGAGAATTCACTGAGCTATCGAATCATTCTTCTTTCAAATCCGCCGACGACGCAATAAGGGACGAAAGTTAACAGTCATTGTTGACGCCTGGTGGAGGGTTTCTGTACGTTCGGGGGTTGGATGGCTAAGTTAATGGATATGGGGTTTTGATGTTTCATCAACTCCACCGTCTGATTATGGTCCGTGATATGCTACTCAAACAACCTATAAGTCGAGAGCATGAGGCATCGGACTGGACCGACGACAGTATGCATTGGTTACATTGTCTAGACTATTTGGTTCGGGTGAGATGTAGACTATTTTACTTTTCAAACCAATTGAGCACGAGCACACCGAGTAATGACAAATGATAGGGAGTCTTGTGTGCGGCAGGCGACACAATCGAGAAACCTGGGTCTACCAGAGACTTCCACGGAAAGTTGGCTGAAGGCATTGACGGCATGGGCCATGTACACCAGTGTCGTAACTCTGAGCTGTTGAGAGACGTGGTGGCAAAATCCGAGCAGGATCCACCTCCTGAAGAGCTCCTGGGCGGTTCTACAGTCTTTAAGATGCCGGGACGAGATAGTAAGGGGAAAGCATGGATCGTGAGCCAAAGCTGATCTATAGATTGTAGATAGAGGCGAATTGTACGGGCCAAAATATGAGATTAAGCTACGCTTCATATCGAAACGCATATAGTCTAGATTGTATGTAACGCTAAAAAGCAAGAGGATTTTCGAGGAAGTTAATAATTGCACTTGCCTTGACTAATTTCCTTCGTATATTCGGTGTCATTTCTACATTAATCCTCGGAATAAGTCTCAATGAGCATGAAGTGGGACGATGATATACCACGAGGCTACCCTTGCAATTGTGGAGTGCCAATTCATGATACTCGTAAATGCTTATCATACATACATTAGCAAGTATCAAAGCAAGAAAATAGTTAGAGAGACAGCCTATCAAACATATTTTGGGTATATTCCGAGTTGGTTCTGCAAGCAATGTCGACAAACGTGGGCACACTGCGTTTTGGAAATGGGTGTTGCACAATAAATTCTGGCATGCCTAGATTGCAGCGAATAAAGAAAATCTCGAGCAGTATATCACCAAGAGTGACACCATCTTCATCGATGCTGCTATGAGTCGCTCCACCTACGGCCACTGGAATGTAAGCATAGACCTTAATTGGAAATGAGCTTCAAGATTAACTGGGCAATAGTATTTAGTATTGGGGGGAGCGCAGAATCTGTGAAGAATTTCCGCGGTATCCTTGTTAATCCCAGGGCAGGCGATACTGTCCTAACTAATGGTAGTCTGCTAATGGAGAGGGAATCTTCTATAGACAATGGTTTTAGTCGATACATTGTCCATAAATGTGCAAAATCCTTTCTGGGGCTCAGACAGCGACAGATATAACCAAGATCGATTCAAGAGTATCAAACAAACCGATGTAAGTCACCTACTATCCATCCATGAACGTATGTGCTATTCAAGATAGCTGACTTTTCTTTCTGAAAGCTACTATACAATCTTTATGTGTTTGGCTTTGGCCACAAGAAATGACTTGGGCAATATCTCGCCGGTCATATGGTCAAGGCAATAATGGTCCACCTCTTCGCACAGCATGAGGTTATCATAAAGAATGGAAGGAGCGGCAAAGATGACTACATGATTGATAAAAGGACCTGGGTTCCGGTGGCTGATGTCACTATTGAATTGAGCAAACTTCAATAGTTACGGAATCTCAGTGTTTTTCGTTCACAATGTCAGCAGCTATTTACCAAGAGAAGGAGACCGGGTGATATAGAGTACTTTGTAGGGCTGCTTGAAAAGATATATATATTCTAATACTATTACACAGAGTTCTAAGTCATTTACATACAAAGCGCGCAAAAAAAAACCAAAGTTGAACAGCTATGCCTCCTTGATGCAAGTTATTCCACTATCCAAACAGTATTTGTCAATACTCGATCCGCTTCGTAATGTAGAGCAATAATTTCGCCGTAGACACATTAGACATAGTATTATTATTACCGAAGTCATGAAAGAGACAACAGTTAGACCAATAACAGACCCCTTGTTTAGATGGCCAAGCCAGTTAATGAGAGAAGCGTCGAAGCTGTGCCAGGATGATGATCCGAGATGGCGGAACAACGGTGTCTCAGCGAATCCGTTCAGCATGTGTAAGTGTGGAGAGCCAGGAATACCACCAAGTATTCGAAGTGTAGAGTGGTGCTCTTGAAGAGTAAAGATAGTACTATAATATCTGTTCAGTAAAGATTATTCCTAGTCATAGAATATACTATAAACTTACGATGCATAATGACAGCCAGTGCTAAACATGACAGCCACATAGGGAAGGAAGAACCAAACATAGTTATATCTAGGCAGGTTGTTGACAAGCTCCTGCACAAAAGGATTGCCTTGGCTGGACATCATAAAGCCAATGGAGAAGCCTGTCGGATGAGCGGCTGGAGCTACAAACTCGAAGCGTCTCAGGGGCCCTAGGCTTCGCTTGCAAGAGAGGTCAAAGTCAAGAACGACACCTAATCAATAGAAATATATAATCAGCACGGGTAAAATCCTTGGTTCTTTTGTCCCCTTCCACATTTTGATGGAAAATTCAGAGTCAAAAGCACAGGAGTAAAGAGAAAAGATGGACAGACCCCCGTATGTCTGCAGAATCATGTATCGTAGAGCATCAACGCGTTCCACTGGAAAGCGATAATTGTCCCACATATCTTTGAGATGAGGAAATTCTTCCCTAACAAGTCTCTCGGACGCCCCGTCGTCCCAGATATACGCCTTCCAATGTGGATGATATCTGATGCACTCATCTCGAGCCGCCATCCACTCCGGCCGTGGCTGCTTGGACCCCAAATTTATATGGTGCATAATAGGCGGTATCACATCTCCATATCCAAAACCAGAGGTACTCTGATTGGCAGCGTATGAGGCGAACGTCACATCGAAATCATCATGCTCCTTCGAAATGAAAGCCTCCGCAGAAGCGTAGTGCCAACGACTCGAGAGCGCTACGAGATTGAAGAAAATGTGCCCAAGTGGTAACCACCATCTTTGCGAGAGCAAAAACATTATAATAATCAATGTAAATAATCTCACTCGCACGGAAGCCATTGTTATGAAGAAAAGATCCCAAGAGGCAAAAGAAACATGAGCCATCATAGGGGAAGATTGTATCCTTCCTTTAACAAGAAATCGATATTTATTAATAGGACTTGTACAACGTTATGATTGGATGAATCTAGATTATGAGGCTAAATGGCTAAGCTTAACACTAAGGAGCAAAGCTCAACGCTAAGCTGCCCCCATACCCACGCGCCCTTAACTGAAAAGGATGAGAATTTCAGTTCATATACGGAGTATGGTTCTTTTTTGGGGAATAGATAGCGCTGCAAACTTTTATTTGTCAAATAAGGCAACGGGATTTTCATACAAGTCTTTATTGAATTTTTTCAATAGGAATGGGTCTGGGCTTTACAAATCGGGTGTGCCGGGAATCGGGAGGGCGTGTCTAACTAATCCCTCAAAATATAGTAGTATATTTTTGATTTAGAGGGCTTTTTCCGGATATCCGGAGACTTGCTTTGTATGACTGTATATTATAGAGTCCTGGAGCCCAAATCAAGGGGAGTTACTATACGAGGCAGGAGTGTGCAACTCCACAGTCCGCTCGAATACTTCCAGAAATAGTCTAGCATCAAAAGGGATATTTCAGTCCCATCCAGACATTGTCTTATAGGGGTGCACACGAATAAGGATTTTGCTTATTCGTATTCGCTATAAGCCGGGGATCTTATATCCAGGGTTTACTGTATTCCATCGTGTGAAATCTGTAATTTGTAATAAGACAATAGGGGTGCACACGAATATCGACTTACGAATATTCGTACGATTATTCGTAAGTCGAATACGAATAAAGGGCCAGGAAAAATCAGTCGAATACGAATAACGAATTGCAAAAAGCCTACACAACCCGACTTATAGCACCAAAATCTGAGAATTTTTCATTCCACATACAAATTGTCGGATTAGTCGGTTTATTCCAGGCCAATCCTGAAGAGTGTTTTACTAGGATCAAAGAAAAGAAGTGACTAGCAAGATTGTATGTATTGAGTTCTGTCTCTGTCTAATACATCAGGTTCAATGCCGGGTCCTTTATAGACACTTTTGGCGGGGTCCTTTGTGAGCTATCATGAGGGGTAAACTTTTGAGGGCTATATTGAGCCCTGATAAGAAGATGACTCCTTATTTGCTGAAGTGTAGGTAGCTTGAGGTGACTGGATGACCTGATCAAATAGCCTATCTTCTACATTGCCGAATATCCCGGTTATCTGACACAAATGTGCTTTATACCTGGTTATAAGATAAAAGCACCATCTCACTGAGGCGCCCATACAAAAGTGCTTATAACCAAAAAGATTACTCAGCATTTTTCAACGTCAAGTCATTAATTTTTACCGAATATGGAGCAGCAACGCGCTCAACGACACCGGAAAGCTATTCCTAACGAATGGAAAGCAGCGCTACGCGTTTAAAAGCGACTCATAAAGATCTTGCCAAGTGGTTTGAAGAGACGTACAACCAGCCGATTGACTGGGCCTCGATAACCCGAATCCTCTCGCCGAAATACGCGTTTATCGATGAGCTAGCACCGCATCAATTGAAGGATAAAAGACGCCGTACTGAGCAGTGGCCGGAGTTAGAAAAAGCTGTTATGGACTGGATAAGACTAGCTGAGGTAGAAGCACCCATCTCACAAGAATCTACACGCTATAAAGCACAGCAATACTGGCCACATCTTTATCCTAATAACCCGGTACCCTCATTCAGTAATGGTTGGCTCTTTGGCTTCCAAACACGGAATAATATAAAGAATAGAAAACAGCATGGAGAAGCTGCGAGCATAGCTATTGATGCTGCAGATCAAATGATCAAGATTCGTCGACTTCTTGCTTTATATCCTCTGCAAGATATCTTTAATTGTGATGAAACCGGCTATATTGGAGGCTATTCCCTGACCGGAGTCTTTCAACGCGTTCTTTGCCTGGACGTAGGAAAGATAAAGCACGAGTAAATATTCTTTTTGCATGCAATGCGGATGGCTCATATTGAGCCTCATAATCTTGGCATTCAATGGAGGTCTAATAATCAGTATGGACGACCTGCGAGATCTTTAAGGAATGGATTTATGCCTTTGACAAGCCGGAACGTGATATTATTAATGGATAACTTTTCGGCGCATGAATCTGCAATTAAGGAGGTTAATTCGGATTTGAAGCATACAACAATCATATATCTTCCCCCTAATTCAATAATAAAATATCAACCTCTTGATCAAGGGATCATCCAAGCCTGGAAAGCTTTATGGAAGCGACAATGGGTTCGATATATTGTCGACGAATTTGATCGTGGCATTGACCCTCTATCTATAATGACAATTCTTCGTGCTGTGCGCTGGGTAGTCAATATATGGGAAGATCAAGTAACATCAACAACAATTACTAATTGCTTTAAAAAAGCTCTTCATGATGAAACTGAAGCCGAGCTCGAGACCGCAATACTGATACAGGACCTGCAGCTCACAAATCGGGTTCAAGATGTCATGGATATCCGCCAATTTTTGAATCCGCTGGACGAGCAGGTCAATGATTCGATAATGGATATTGATGCTATTGTTTTGAGCTAATTGGAAGTCGCTGAGACTGAGGAATGCGAGGAAGATATAGTTGATGAGCCTATTCCTTTGATTGTAGCTCAAGAAGCCTTACAATGTCTATATACTCTTCGCCTCTTTGAGGAGCAACGTGATTAAGCTGATACCCTTTTCATCCGAGTCCTTACCTGATACGAAAACCTACCGCTCCGCACGAATCGATCGAATCGAACTTTTTCCTCCAAAACGTCAATCTAAGGAATATATCATTTCTACTCCTCCGCGGTGAAATTATTATTAACGGACAAGGAAGAGTGACAAAGACCGGCTATGCATATCGCATCAAAGACGAGACTTGGCTTTGGCTATGTGGGACGACAACCATAGCGGTTATGGAGGAAGGAGAATATAGAGGAGAGTGCTCAAGACATACACAGGAATTCCGAGACACGATACTGGCTAAGGCAGGTGGGACAAGAAAGAACCAAGGAGCTAAAACCTCGCTCCGCAAAAGGTTACAAGAAATGTTATCTTTGTGACGGATTCACTGAGGAGTGATCTCGAAAAACTGTGCGGTTTCTACAGTATCACTTAAGATGCACCTAAGAAAAGCAGCTGTTACATCGGAATCTATCAATATTCAAGAAGTATACAGCGCCTTGCATGAGTGGCTTTACATGATTTGCAACTCTTTGGTTCTTTCTCGGCGCCATTCCCGTTACCTAATCCATAATAGGTTTAGACTAGTATTCCAGTATTTTACGACCCGTATGGGACGTAAGAGTACCATTGTTTTGGTAAGCTTGGCATGGTTTTGTACATACGGAATTTTAGCTACTTGGTTGTCATGTGATATATAGCTGAGAATCGGAGTGGGACGCGTATTGTATTGTATTCTGTGCGTCTATCTAGGAATGAATTATCTGGCATAGGCTGCCACACATAATGTACTACATAGTAGTGCAAGACTGTGCGCGCTATTTTAGTCGGGGGGATTCTTGGCAAATCCTTATAACGAGGAGGACTCGATATCCAATGAGAGCGCGCGAGTGAGTTTATGCGTTGCACTCACTATATCCGGGATAGCCATAAAATAATCCTGTCACTAGCTTATCTAGAAGCCATTTAAGCATCCCCGGATAGCTCCAATCCGAGACTCGCCAAGTGGACTCGTGACTGAGAGTCCGATAACAAAATGCGGAGGTGCAAGAGACATTCTGGAATAGTATTATGATTCACGATCACCTTGAGGCTCGGACCAGTCGAGACTCAAGAGTAGACATTTAAGCTCCCGTGAAGCGAGAAAAGCCCGGCAAGTCCGAGCAACCTAGAACCAACAATATGTACGAAACGCCACTCGAGAAACGTCCAAATTTGTTAAGTATCACGCGCAGCGTGAGGTCGCGGGCTTGGCGGCACGGGTAGTGTGGATCTCTTATCTGCATGTGTTGGATTATTACTAATCCGTGGGGGCAGATTCGGCAATGATTCCTAGCTTTGCTACGTGGAAAGTGTTCGTATTGGAAGTAGAATTAACAAGCAAAATTGTATGTATTCCCCCCTCCCTCTTTCTAAGAATTGAGGGTGATTCTATGTCTTTATATATTCCAATGCGGCCTCAGAGAAGTAAGGGAAATAACAACAGGAATTTCAGCTAAGGTAAAGCGAAGAATCCGAGTCACAAACATGAAACTATACAGGTTTGACCACTGTAGTTGATTGGTATCAAGGGGCATTTTGGCGATGTGCACTTTCTTAATTAGGGTCAGAGGTATCGTCCTGTCGACACCTAGTTATCTAACACACCCCCTCAGCTGAGCTGCGAGGCAAAGTTGGAATAACTTCATGTCTCCTTTATATAGCTTCAGGGTCCTCCAGGAATAGTAATTCCTCAATTTCCACATCTGTGAATTCCTTCTGTTGTAGTATGATTCTTTCAGCGATATCTTGAACGCCAACTTATTTAAGGAAGAGTACATGTTCTTGTCGACTAAGGGCTTTGGTGAGACCGTTGGCAATCATATCATTTATTAGGGTGTACAATACCTCGATTGCTCCTTGTTGAACTTCTTGTCGAAGCCAGTGGTTGTGTATATCGACATGTCGCAGCTTTGTATGTAGCCGGGGTGTATCCTTTTCTAGTAAGCCGATAGTTTGTTAATTATCACAGAGTACTTGGAGTACTGGTGAGGTAAGCTCAATATTCAACTTAGCAAGCAGTCAGTGTACGTATTTGCCTTCTTTCACCCCCTGAGCGAGAGCTAATAATTCGGCTTTAGTAGTTGACGTGGTTACTGTATCTTGCTTGCTTGCTTGCTAACCAATCGATTCTCCGAAAAGTGTCATAACGTATGCCTGAGAGCTCTTCCAGTCAAGTGAGTTATCTGCAAAGGAAGCATCAGTTAATATTGAATAGTCATCTCCTCCTCCGAGCTTCAGAGCGTACATTTGGTGACGATCAAGATACCAGAGTACTCTATCAGCTGCCTTGTGATGCTTTGATCCTAGATTAATGAGAAACCAAGCAAATCGAGATACGGCAAAGGCGATGTCTGGCCTAGTATTGACTACAGCGTACATTACCAAGCCCACTTTGCGTTGATATTTGTGCTAACTTTGGTAAGTGGCTATGCCATCGTAAGGAAGTAATTCTTCTCGAGACATGGGGGTATCGCAGGCTTGATCGGAATCTACTAACTTGATAATTTTATCAATATAGGTTGCTTGACTGAGCCAGATAATGCTGCTCGATCGATCTCGTATAATTCACATGCCTAGGAACCACTCCAAATCCTCTCCGCTAGTTATATGATATTTGGCACAAAGTTCCTTCATAACTGATTTGGCTTCGGCCTCGCGGTCCTTTTTGTACGCCACCACAATATCGTCAACATAGAAGAACAAGATAATCCCCGATTTGAGCATGCAGCAAGGTTCCTGTGGAATGGCCTTAAATTCTAAATTTATAAGGGTTCCTGTGAGTTCCTTTTGCTAGAGAAGTGGTGATCTCCGCAGTCCATAAAGAGCCTTGTTGAGCTAATAGATTCTCTCTTTCTCACGGTATCCGGGTGGCATTCTCATGAACATTCTCTCATTCAATTTGGCGTTAACGAAAGTGTTGACCGCATTATATTATTTCAACTCTAAATCGAATTGTGCAGCTATTGCCATAAGGGTCCTAAAAGATCTGCTTGCAAGAGTAGCCGCGTATGTGTCTCTTATATTGTCCTTCTTCTCCTGGTCTCCTCTTACTACCAATCTTGCTTTGCATTTGACTAACCTTCCTTTCTTATCTGGCTTATAGATATAAACCTACATACAATTGAGAATCTGCTTTCCTTTCGCTGTCGATATTAGCACTTCCGTCCAAGAGCCTGCTGGATCGTGACTCCTGAGATGAGCGAGCTCAGCTTCAAGGAATTCAGCTCCGAATTTGTGTTCCTTTAGTTCATGGTGGCTCTTGGGAGCAGGCGGCAGGTCCTTAACCAAGTATGACTGGAGTCGTCGCCTAGTTAAGAACGTATAAAGTTGACTGCCTGCTCTGGCTGTTCGCTTAAGGCTTGATCATTCGACTTTGATTGTTCTTACACTGTGTTTGCAGTGACGTGTGCCTATGAGGAAAGCAGCTCTTCAAGGATTTAGGTCTCCTCATTGCGTTGTTAAAGCAGCAGCGATTGGTAGCTTGCTATGATTGCGTCGTGAGCTTCTCATGGTGTCACGCAGATCAAGAGTACTTGTTGCACTTGCCCCGAATTCAGCAAGTGGACTTGTTGCCCTAGCCTTGCCTACATCTCCAAGAGTACTTGTTGCACTTGCCCTAGAGACTGCTTCCTGGACAAGAGTACTTGTTGCACCTGCCTCGCCAGTTGACTTGCCAGCTCCAAGCTTAGAGCTTTGACGGAGGAAGGTAAGGTCATCTTCTTGAACGATAGTTATGCTACCTGCCAACAATGCACTTGGAGGTGTATTTGGAGGTGTAGGGTAAGCATATTTATCAATCCCTTCTAACAAGCCTTCTCCTGGCGCCAGAGTTGGGCCGGTTAGATTAGATTCAGGTTGATTGAGATCCTCTAATCCAGAACCAATTGCTGAGCTGGTCATATTAATATCTTCGTCACTGTGCCTAGAATCGTCAAAAATTACATCATCTATATCAGTGATAACATTATCATCAGTTCCTGAAACATCCTGCTGTGCGCTGAGGTCCACTTTGTTTAGCAGTTGAGTGATTTCCTTAATAGTCATATATAAAAGGTCATCCTCAAGATCCTCCTTCTTTCCGCTGAAAACTACCTTCTTGTTGAACAAAACATCCCTTGCACGCACAATCCTTCCAGTGTGCGGATTCCAAATCCTATATATATTCGTTGAGTTATATCCTACGAGATAACCTATCCACGACCTTACATTGAAGCGTTGGAGTCGGTTTTCCTTCTTCTGATATTCTGATTTAAGTGCAAACGCCTTGCACCCATATACCTTTAAATGAGCAAGTTGAGGTTTCTGATCTTGCACGCAAACACCAGTCGATAGGGCGATATAGGTGTGAAAAGTATCATACAGTGTCTTCCAGTTGTTGAAATAGTGAGGACTTCAATTATAGAGATATACACTAGTGCGGCATATCTCTAGCCATAAGTCCGGTGGAAGCCTCGCTTTATCTCGCATGCTTCTTTCCTTATCTTTTATCGTTCGTCCTGCACGTTCTCCGCCACCATTTTGATCCTGATTATACGCAGTTGAAGGCATGAGCTCGACGTGTTATTCTTGTACGAGCCAGTCCCTTACTAACTGCTGGTTGTCGTATATCTCATTGTCAAGCTCAACACGCAGAGGAGTGATATAGTAATGCTTCCTGAGGTATTCCTAGAACCACTTCAGCGTTTCCAGGATTTCAGTGCCTTTATGAGAATTCATATAGAAGTCCCATATAAGACTGCTGTATCGGTCAATAATAAGAAACAATATCTTTTCTTTGTGCATCGTACTTTCATAGAAATCGTGGAAATTGAGTGCGAGATCCACACCTGATCGGCCTATCAGTTTTCTAGGCTCTCATCGGATAATACGGTGCGCTTTTAATCTTGCACATGAGTCACATTCCACGGTTTTTGGTCCTTTATTGAATCTAGATATCCTGACTCCTTTTGCTAACATTAATAGATGTCGAAGCGCTTCAGGTCCAGGATGACCAAGACAAGCATGCCAGCATGTAGTGTTAGTGGTTTGTTCTTTTCTCTCCATCCAGAAGTTAAATTTATAATGTCATATAGTAAAGCCTGCTTTTACCATAGGATGATCATTAGCAATATACTCAAGAACAAACTGACCTTCTTTCTCTTTCATGTAGGCAATAACATTATTCTCAGCATCTCAGAGACAGTTGTATCCCTTCCGCGTATCCCACTAGATATCTTGTTTCCTCAACTGGTGGAAAGACACAAGATTTACTACAAAGTCTTTATAATATGCAACACCATATAACCGCAGAATCTGTAGCTTTCCATCGATTCCGTGAACTTCAATATTGACTTTTCTATATCTGAGTACTGGAACTCAGTGTGTTCCAGCCTATAAGAAGTCGCCGGGAGTCGCTCTCTTAAAGTTAATAAAACATTCTTTCTCGTTGAATACATAAATTGATGATCCGGAGTCCAATAAAGCAGAGTGCTTTAGAGGATAATCATTGATTGACAGGGCAGCCAGTTCTTTTTCCATTTTCACAAAATACATTGCCTTGCATCTGCCAACTGCCGATCGCTCGCGTCACTGTGGACTCGCTGTTTAGTCATCAAATGATACTTCCTTTGGATGAGGGGTAGGTGCTCTTCGTCTTTAAGCTGGTTCTCGAGAGTTCTGCCGCTGAGGTTGTTCCTGGGACTGAGATCTATCTCGTCCACGAGGAGGGGCTCTTTCCTTTCCTAAAAGGAGTCGTTTTACTTCCTGGGCAAGCAGTAAGTCTGCTTCTAGGAATCTATTAATTCTTCCTACAAGCCAATCCTGCTTGTTCCATCCTGGTGGTGCAAGGTGAGGGAAGAGGTAGAAGCAACCCTAGATTATATGCAATCCTCCACATTCAGCGCAGTGTTGCCTGGAGTTGGAATTCTCCATAGAGTTATAATCTCTCTTCCAGGAATAGTCTGTGGAACAAGATCATGATCTTCCTCGTTGGTCAGGCGATACATTTGCTTGCCTGCCGCAATATTGAGTTTCTTCAGTTAAAATGTTATCTCCTCCTTGCTGGCAAGTAGCGAAGGATCCCTTGGCTACACGAGATGTTAATTATGGCCTTTTGTTAATCTTAGTGATTAGACGTTGGAAGTATCGTGACATGTCTCCATACGTGAGCGTATCGTCGTCTAGTTTCTCCTCAACGTCATGCTCAAGGGTTATTACCCATACTGGATCAAGTGGTCGAATGGCCTCAATAAAGCGAGTTGACCAATCTTCTTTGTCAAGGGCAAAGGTCATGGATTTCCCTTTCCCTTTGTTTATTAGTTGTTCCCATTTGTTGATCTAGGTATCTAGGTCCTTGGTCCTAGTAGTGAGGGCTTTCATATGCTGATCGTATGCCTCACGAATTGATCTCTTGATCTCTCGTGATCCTGGATTGAGGGCAGTTTTGAGGTTGTTGTATGCCTTTACCCAGTCGTGGGTAACTGACACATGAGACTTGAGATAAATTACACTGACCGAGTCCCTTATCCAGGTAAAAGTTTGTTTAATATCCTTACGCTGGATTTCATATCGGTGCATCGCTTGCGAGTATTCCTTCGTTTTTACGTTGTATCGTCTCTTGGCTCGCGATTCATTATGCATACGCGATGCTTCTGCAATGAGTGCCGCATGTTCTAGGTTCATATTATCTCCGTCTTCAGTATTGGAAGAGGCTTGGGTTCCTCCTTCAGCTTCAGATGTGTTGGTTCTCTAGGTGGAGGCTAGATTTGTCTGGCGGCGAGTTCCTCAATAAGGGCCATCTCCAGGAGCCTGGTCTGGCTAAGTCAGTTATATAAAGTCGTCATAAAATGGCTGATCAGGTTCCGAGATGGGTTCTTCGATTCCCATGAGGATGTTGTGTAGCTTTCGGGATTGGGCTAGGTTTTGGAGGGCCTTATCCCACTTATCCCAGTCCGCTGGGGAGTTGAGTGTGCACTTTGAAGCCGAGTTGGACGTCATATTGGGAATAACTTTAAAAGAGATCCGGTAGGGGTACTCAGACTCTTAATTGTTGGATTATTACTAATCCGTGGGGGCAGATTCGGCAATGATTCCTAGCTTTGCTACGTGGAAAGTGTTCGTATTGGAAGTAGAATTAACAAGCAAAATTGTATGTATTCCCCCCTCCCTCTTTCTAAGAATTGAGGGTGATTCTATGTCTTTATGTATTCCAATGCGGCCTCAGAGAAGTAAGGGAAATAACAACAGGAATTTCAGCTAAGGCAAAGCGAAGAATCCGAGTCACAAACATGAAACTATACAGGTTTGACCACTGTAGTTGATTGGTATCAAGGGGCATTTTGGCGATGTGCACTTTCTTAATTAGGGTCAGAGGTATCGTCCTGTCGACACCTAGTTATCTAACAGCATGCTCTACCCGTGCCGCTAGCGCACCTCAGCAGCGAGTTGTCAGATAATCCGGCTTTCAAACGAGGCAGAAAGATCGACTGTTCAATCTTACAGGTCTAAAAGGCACCTTTAGGCATATATCTGGGCACCTAGATTTCAGCCCAATATTTACCCCTCCTGATAGCTCACAAATCACCCCGCCAAAGGTGTCTATAAAGGACCCGGCTTTGAAACCTGATGGAGACAGAGAGACAGAACTCAATACATACAATCTTGCTAGTCACTTCTTTTCTTTGATCCTAGTAAAACACTCTTCAGGATTGGCCTGGAATAAACCGACCAATCCGACACGAGTGGGTTTGGGCTTGGCGGCACGGATACCGACATTTGTCTATCATATCCTGCTGGTTCGCCAATCATGCGAGTGAAATATCGCCACACAAAAGAGCATATCCATTAGGTGTACGTATGAAACACCTTCACCGCGGCCATCATTCGAAAGTAACTGGACACTAATGATTTCCTAGTATGTATAAGGTGTAGATGAAATTGCGAAGCAATTGGAGGGGAAAGACACAATTTCTTGAATCAAGACTAACTATATACATTTCTGTCGGAACGTGAATATCAAACCCTACACGTTTTGGCACCGGATATAGTTAGTCTGACGCGGCACGTGCGTGCCGCGTATATCTAGCTAGCTATCCCCGTCCCCCTCGTTCTTGGGGACAAGTCACAATATTAGGAATCAAGATATCTTCATATTGTCAGGCTCATTAGGCCGCTTCGTGTTCGCGCCTTACTACCGTCTATGCTTCGTGATACGGACCGTAGTTAAACCAACAGAAAGATTTAGCTGAGCAAGAGGAAGAATCTTATTAGCTATTTCTGATTTACAAAATGGACGAATCTTACGCGTGGCTCAAGCTGCAAGGATTTATAGTATACCTCGGGCGACTCTACGAGACAGATTAAACAGCACTCGGCAGAGATCTCAAGTACGCGCCAACAGTCATAAATTAACTCAGTGTGAGGAGGAATCGCTTGCCAAATGGATACTCGACCTGGATAAACGTGGATTACCCCCTCAACACTCTCTTGTACGAGAGATGGCTAATTATCTTCTCTCACAACGCGGAAACCAACAGGTTGGAGAGAATTGGGTATATAATCTTGTCAAATGTCGCCCAGAGATTGAATCAAAGTTCTCGCGGAAATATAACTATGAACGTGCTAAATGCGAAGATCCGAAGATAATCCAAGAATATTTTGATCGCGTACGAGAGGCTATGTTAGAGTATGGAATCTTGCCAGAAGATATCTACAATTTTGATGAGACAGGCTTTGCTATAGGACTCTGTGCGACTGCAACAGTTATCACTGAAAGTGATCGATATGCTCGGCCAAAGCTATTACAGCCTGATAATTGAGAATGGGTAACTGCAATTGAGGCAGTTAATTCGATTGGATGGGCATTGCCTTCGTATATTATTTTCAAGGCAAAGAAATACACTCAATTAGGCTGGTTTGAGGATCTTCCAGACGACTGGAAAATCAATATTAGCGATAATGGATGGACGACAGATAAGATTGGATTAGAATGGCTGAAAACTCTTTTTATTCCTCTTATTAATGGCCGTACATTGGGGAAATATCGGATGTTGATTCTTGATGGTCATGGAAGCCATTTAACTGCTGAATTTGTTGGATGCGAGGATGCAGTCGAGATCCGGATAACTGACGTCACGTGATTTCAATCACGTGACGAAGGCTACACCAGGAATCCCTTACGCGTCGGGGTCAAAGATAGAAAAGAGGGACAACTTAAGACTACTCAATTGAACCCATATTCCACGTTAGGAATCCTATCGTACTAGTACTAGTGTAAATGCACCCACACTGATCAGTCTTGGTTGCAGAACTAAGACAGATTGGCAAGGTATCAGACCCCTGCGCTGTAGCCACCTGTGGTTATAGGTAGTAAGGCCTGACTCCAGGATTTGTGTTGTCTCATCGCGAGGAACCGAATCCACGTGGAAGAGACGGACTTTGCAGCGTCACCTGTGATAAACTAAGTCTGTGCTAAAAGCCTCTCTCCTCTCAGAGCGAGACCCAGAGAGACTGTATTTGGGATAGTTCGTCAAAACGCTGACATTCCATAATATCGCCCTATCGCGAGACCACGCTGTTGACGCGTTCGAAAGTTAACAACACCAAACTAACAAGAAGAGACACCCTGTTGGTCAGTTCTTTGAAATTAACAAACACCAATGTCTCATCTGAATCATCAAGACCAAGAAAATCCAGATGAGAATCAGTCACTCAACAGTTATCAGACTAGTCTTGCTATGGAGCTGCCAGACGACAAATTCATAACAGAGATTAGATTTAATAATTAAGCTAGTAAAGATTAAGTCAACATGGCGAATTGGCTCTACGACGCCGTGCCCGGTGACGACGAGAAGAAGTTATCCATGTATATAATTTAGGTCATGTATGAGGCTGCAAGTGGCTTCCAGGTTAACTTTGAGATGTTCCAATGGTTCTATGACTTCTTTGAGGATTGGAAGATTGAGGATTTTAACCGTCTAGATAAGACAACAAGAACCAAGTTGAAGGACTTCCTTTTATAGCGTGGCGTGTATGTTGACCACATGAATAGGAAGACCATCCTAATGGCGTTAATAGAATTATTAGAGATGGAAGACCCTCTTGAATAGCCTGAGAAGGCTCTATAAAAGAGGACTTTCCACCCTCAGTCAAAGATAGCCTTAGGACACCATGAACAGACAGCAACTACCTATATTAAGGAGTCAAGGATTATTAATGATACCCACATGGTGCCATCTATTGAGGAAGAAGACAAGGGTATTTATAAAGAAATATCTTCTAAGGGGCCAAATTAGGTGATTCAAGACCATGTTTAATCACCATTAAGATTAGTATAAGACATCTCAAGATTTACACCTGAAACAGGTATAAATGTAATACCAGTCATAACACTAAGTCACAGCCAAGTCAAGATGTCTACGATACCTATCTCTTTAGTGCCACTCTAAGTAAGATCCTTGGATTCATACAGTAAGGTACCACCCGACGAATATGGACGTCAACCTGTTGATTCTTAGTTGGCCATGAAGTTCACCAAAGTATAGGATAAGACGAAGAATTATTCAGGAGATCTTTACAATATTCTAGATGACAAAGTTTGAATCTTCTTATAACTATGCCAATTAACAGAGATCCAGTTAAGTCAATGCTGGGCTGTCTTTCCTGAGATACTTTCTGGCAGAGCAGAAACTTATTACATGTACCATGTTAATTCTGATACATCATTTGCACAGATGTATTGGGCAATAAAGAGCTACTTTAACACAGAGTCAAATCACGCTCTCTACTACCAGGATTGGACGTTGATCACCCTGGTCGACGTGCATCGTGAGAACATAGGGAAGACACTGCCAGAAGCAGTAGAAATCTTAGTAGAAAAACTGCATCTATGCCAACGTGCGTTAAGACCACATTATATATCCCCTGAACATCTTATATCAGCCATCATAAGAGCATGTCAAGGATTACTAGAAATGAGTGAGGTCCTCAGTGAACTAACAACAAAGTTTAAAATACTGGTATCACGACTTCGTGCAAAAGCTGCTATTATGCAAAAGAAGGAAGCAGCTAGTCAATATCTTGCTAAATCTAACAACGTGCCATTAACACACTTTACTGACAGGAAGTACATTGGAAAAACCAGTCAAGGGAATCGCCCGCCACCTTAGAGATTATGGCGACGCTAAAACCGTCAAGATAATGGCTCTCGACAACGAAGTGACGGCTGATGTTGGGTATGTAATAAACTAGATTATCGATCTTACAACCACTTAGAGAAGGAACGAAGTGAGGCGAGGGAGTGATTTAATAGGTATTGCCACGCTAAGGGCAAAGCCAATGCCTCGGACAAGACATATCGTGCGTTTCTAATGGACTTCGAAGCTGGTTATAATATCACATTGGACAGCGAGGACAAGGAAGAAACTAACGATAATAACAAGGATGAAGCAACAGCATACTTTATGGTTGGACAACTGCAAGATTAAGCGTTCTTACACTAGATAACAGGCGAGGAGACTGAGCAAGATAACCCCTCTACTATTGCTTCTTAGTTCATGATAGACTGACATGATAGTGAGATTTTCCATGGAATCTTACCCAACACGGGAGCAGCAAGAGTATCAACGGTTGGAAGACGTTAACTCACCGCTTTACAAAAGATCTATCTAGGGATCATGGTTGACAAATCTCATGCAGGAGAGTACTTAATTCGATTTGGTTAAGGGGATAGTGTCAACTCTGAGGGAGCTATTACTATCAAGACCCTAATTAGCAATGTCAATTTTCATGTTATGAATATACCAACCCCATTCTTACTTTGCATTGCTGATATAGATTGCCACGAAGCTTATCTTGACAACACCACCAACTGCTTGGTTAAGGGAGATTTGAGAGTGCCAATTGTCTGGAAATAAGGACACCCTTGGTTCTTTCTAGATGATAGTCATACACCAGTAACATTCTTGACGGAAGTAGAAATAAGACGTCTTCATTGATGATTTAGTCATCCAAGTGTTGATTGATTGCATAAACTCTTGGAGCAAGCTGGTCATGACAATGTTGACCACAAATCCCTTGCTGAGATTGAGAAGTATTGTCACCACTGCTAGATGAATCAGCAGGCACCCTGCCAGTTCAAGTTTACATTGACTGACGACTGTGAGTTTAATTATAAGATTGTCGTTGATATTATGTATCTCGATGGAAAGCTGGTGCTTCACATCGTAGATTGGGCAACTTCCTTCTAGGCAGCGAGATTCTTAAAATCTCTTTTAGCAAAGGATACTTGGGAAGCACTCAGAGCGGCATGGATTAACACTTACCTTGATCCACTGGACGTCATATCTTATGATGCCGGGACGAATTTTGCATCGAACAAATTCAAAATGGAAGCTAGGATGATGGGGATTACATGCCACTAGGTACTAGTGGAAGCACATTCCAGCATTGGTAAAGTCAAGCAGTATCACACACCACTACGTAGAGTGTTCAATATTATCTCTACAGAACTTGGCACTAGTGTTGACAAGGATGTAGTTCTCCAAATGGCAGTTAAGGCTGTTAACGATACCATGGGACCAGATAGAATTGTGCTAACTGTGTTAGTTTTTAGGGTATATCCGCAGATAATGTTGGATTCACCACCATCTACGTTGATAATTAGACATACCCAGGCGATAAGAAAGGCAATGGCCAAATTAAGAAAGGCCATAGCCAAGAGAAGAGTCAATGACGCTCTAAACACTAGGAATAGCCTAATAATCACAGAGATACTCAACCTCCCTCTAGGGGCCAATGTTAAAGTTTGGCAAGAAGGCAAGGGTTGGACAGGCCTACATAAACTTATCTCAGTAAATGGCCATGATATGACAGTTAATCTTGGTAATAGTGCTGTCGCTTTCCAGGCAACATCAGTCCAGCAGTATCTCCAAGATCAAAGAGAGATAGATGATGGAATCCACGTCCCTGAACTACCTGTGACACCTCCACCTCCACGACATTGAGGACGACCACAAGGATCCAAGAATAAGCAAAAAGTGGATGTCAACGTATACCTATCGAAGAAAGAGAAGGATAACCTTGAACTCACACTCAAATTGAGACGAGAAGAAAAGATCATGATAGAAGGTGTCCTATTCGAACTTTCAAGCATTGCAGAGATTGATGGTCTGATTGCAAACAGGACATTCAAAATCGTCCACCAAGACAATGTGAACCTTAGGGATCTCCGCATATTCAACTCCCGCTTGGTTAATGAGATCAAGGGGAAGAATGAGATCCTATATAAGAAATCACGCCTAGTCATCCAAGGATATAATAACGCTGGGAAAGCTGGGATCCTGACCTAAGTGCCAACAATTCAATGAGCCAGCCAGAGGCTATTGATATCCCTTATCCCCACTTTGCTAAGTATAGATATGGTTATGGAGATCTGTGATATCACACAAGCGTACACATAGGCTAAGATGAAGTTGCAACGTATTATTGTTGCCAATCTGCCCAAAGAAATAAGGAGTAAATATCCACCAGACTTACTACTGTTGGTAGAAGGAGCTTTATATAGCATTCCTGAAGCTGGCGTCCATTGGTTTAGCACCTACCACGAGCATCATAAGGTAAAAATAGACATAGAGACTTCTACGTACAATCCATGTCTACTCGTGACAAAACCAGGCGCTGAGAGCTTTGGCCTGGTGGGCATGCAGACTAATAACACACTCATTATCGTAATAGAAAAGTTTGTCAGGGGTGAGGAGCGAGTACTACAGGAAGTAAGATTTAAAGCTAAACCTAAAACCTAATTATCGCAGAATACTCCTTTGGAATTTAATAGTGCAAGGATTATTTTAGAGCAGGACAACGTCTTCATGCGGCAAAAAGGATAAGTAGCAAAGATAGAGCCGGTTGGAACAATAGATCGCGCGCAAAAGTACATTGAGCAACGGGCACGAGGGGCTTACCTCGCATCTATCTGCCAACCAGAGGCTTCTTATGATCTCGCCGTCGCGGCCCAGCTGCAGGAGAAGGATCGATCCGAAGACGACTATTTGGTATTAAATAAATGCCTCATATGGCAAGCTGAGAATCCCAAACAAGGTCTTAGATTCATCCCCCTCAATCTGACAAAGGCAAAGATCATGATCTTTACAGATGGATCCTTCGCGAATAACCGAGATTTGACTTCCTAGATTGGTTTTGTAATCGCTATAGTCAACGAAGACTTTTCTGAGGAAGAACACTTTATTGCCACCGGTAATATAATCCATTAGGCTTTGTCAAAGTGTAAGCATGTAACCCGGAGCATTCTCGCCTTGGAGATCTATAGGTTAACAACTGGATTTAACCATGGAATTACTTTGGCAAGTACCATCAAGATGATCACGGATCACCTCAATTTACCTACAATCCCAGTTGTGGTTTGCACTGATAGCTACTCGCTATATAAGTGCCTCGTTAAGTTAGGAACCACAAAGGAAAAGCGCCTCATGATTAACCTTATGGCGCTCCATCAGTCATATGAGAAACGGGAAATAGATGAAATCTGCTGGATCCATGGAGACAATAATCCCGTGGATGCTTTCATAAAGGTGAATCCAAATGGGGCCCTACGGGACTTCATTGACAAGAATAAGTTAACGATTCGCGTGGAAGGATTTGTGGAAAGGACCAAGCAGGATTAGGACAAGGTTGACGATTGTTGACAGGGAGCCTGGTTATTGGGATTTGCATGCTTTTATAAGAGTTGGGAGCTCGACTGCAATTCGATTTGTAAAAGAGATCCAGTGTTGGATGCGAGGATGCAGTCGAGATCCGGATAACTGACGTCACGTGATTGAAATCACGTGACGAAGGCTACACCAGGAATCCCTTACGCGTCGGGGTCAAAGATAGAAAAGAGGGACAACTTAAGACTACTCAATTGAACCCATATTCCACGTTAGGAATCCTATCGTACTAGTACTAGTGCAAATGCACCCACAGAATTTGACTATATATACACTAAGAATAATATTATTTCAGTCTGTATGCCTCCCCATTCCTCGCATCTTTTATAGCCTCTTGATGTTGGCTGCTTTACTGTCTTAAAGCGATATTATGGACAGCTTGTTGAGCAGCGAATGGGGCTTAGATTCAATTATATTGATAAACTTGACTTTCTTACTGCATTCTCAAAGGCTCGTATGATAGCATACAAAGCTCAAACTGTTCGGAATAGCTTTACAGCAACTGGATTAGTACCATTCAATCCAGATTGAGTTTATTAACAGGTTACTGTTCGATTGAAGACTCCAACACCCCCCCATGTCGATCAAGTGATACACAATCATCCTGCTTACAAGCCCCGCAGAACCCACGTCAATTCAAGCGCCAAATGACTACAACGAAGAAGAGAATAAGCCGGCACACAAGAAGTTCATCTGAGGCTATTGGTGAAGTGTTTACACGGGCGTCAAAGGCTTATGAGATAAGTATTACTCCGTACTGTACTTAGAGAAAAGAAAAATGACAACAAGGATCAAGGATTCCATTACGTTGAGATATACCACTTAAGATTGTTACGTACAATCCAACAAGATAACAGCTCATTTAGTACAGGCTTTTCCCAAATAGTATTAGCATCCCTGCAAGTTGGCTTCGTAACATGTGGGTTTTATGCTGCATCTTCCATATCAGGCCTAGCCATAATATACGGTTGGCAGAATTCCTTTTCATGGAGCCATTAAACCGCTTAAGGAAGTGTTCGTGCGGCTGGGCTGAGATGTGATACTACTACTAGAAGGTCCTGAGAAATAGATTTTTACAAAAATTAAATTTAATCAAATCTGTGGGACTAAATACTTTAGAAAAACATAGTGTATTATATAAGTACAAAGTTTCCAAAAGAATGTATCTCCCAATCCATGTGTCAGCCTCTCGTGGAGCCTAATCTAGATGCCCCTCTAAACACCCTATGGTGGTTCCCAGGCTCATATATAAATACTCGGGCTCCTCTGCAGACAGCAACAGTAAATTGTGGAGGTCCACTCAAGTTAACGAGATCGTTTTTTCCCGGGGGAGAGAAACTATACGCCAACTCCCTGCATTTCTAGATCCTCTGGTCCTCGCGTCAACTGCCCGAGTTTTGCAGTCAATGCAGCTACAATGGGCTGTATTCTCTCTCGTGTTCGTACCATCTATTTTAGCGTGCGCATCTTACTCGGCATCATGGAAGAAGTAAGAGCCGATCTCAATGCGGCTCGGATCCGCATTTTGCGTCCGTCATGGCCTATCCCCAATCCCAGTATTTCCTTCTGGCAGCAAAACCCCATTTACCCAGAACTAGTGAACGCTCAATCGGCAACACTCCCTGAATCGGCTGATGTTGTCATTATTGGTTCCGGGATCTCTGGCGCCAGCATTGCTCATACTATTCTTACATCACCTCGCTCGGAGAAAGATGTTAGGGTGGTCGTGCTCGAAGCCAGAGAAATTTGCAGCGGCGCAACGGGGAGGAACGGGGGCCATATCAAGTTTCCCCCATATGCCGTCTATGCCGGATATAGAGGGAGATTTGGGGTTGAGAGAGCAAAGAAGCTCCTCGCATTCGAACGAAGGGCACTTCCGCTACTGGTTGACTTTGCGCAAAAAAAAAGATTCACACACGCGGAAGTCCGAGAGGTAGAAACTATCGACATATTCACCGATGAGGCCATGTGGAAGAAGGCGAAGGACATGGTACACTTATTACGGCAAGATCTGCCTCACGTTGCGGAAGGCGTGGAGATCCATGAAGCGGATGCTGGATGCAAGGTACGCTGTGTTTGTTGTCCATTCATTATTCCTCTTATATGATTTCTGGACGCATACTCACCCGGCAATGTAGAAGTTCGGAGTCAGTAAAGAACACTGCTTTGGTATTATATCGTACCAAGCAGGGGCTCTTTGGCCGTACCGACTGGTCACTTCAATTTATGCAACCCTCTTGTCTACGTTCACGTCAACATTCTCGGTTGAAACTAAGACCCCTGCCTTGGAAGTCAGGACCCAAAATGATAAGGAAAAACCATTTCTAGTCTGCACTTCCCGAGGAGAAATCGCAGCCAGACATGTTGTACATGCCACAGACGCGTTTGCCCCGACTTTGGTTCCTGGTATCAGGGGAAAACTCTTCCCTATCCGAGGACATATGACCGCCCAAAGGCCAGGCCATAGGTTCCCGGACCATGGTGGCTCACGGTCGTGGTCTATCATAAGTCGGAAAGGATATGAATACATCTCGCAACGCCCGGGCAAACCGTACCGTTCCGTCCCGGAAATGGGCGGAGAGCTCATGGTTGGCGGCGGCGCGGTTCAATCCCCTGGAAGGGGCATTGATGAATGTGGAGTCTGGCGCGATGATCAGAGTTGCAGTACCATTGGTGCGTACTTGGAGGGTATATTACCTACCATATTTGGAAAAGACCACTGGGGTGATGACGTCGACGGTTCTCGCACCAAACAAGCGTGGGTTGGTTGCATGGGATTTACGGCAGACGCTTTACCATATGTCGGGAAGCTGGAACCTGCGTTAACGGGGCGAGACGTCGACAGACTTGGTTGGACCTCTGATAGCGATCATGGTGGTGACGGAAACGAAAGGATCCGGCGGCCACCTCCCGCCGAATGGATATGTGCCGGATTTGGTGGAGAAGGAATGGTGCTAGCGTGGCTGTCGGGTGCTGCAGTCGCACTGATGATACTAGGCGTCGAGGATGAACATTTCCAAGCTTCTCCCGGTCTTCCGGAGGGCAAATTGATGGACTGGCTGCCTGAGGAGTTCATTTGCTTGAAATCTCGAGTCGATAGGTCCGATGTCGTTGGCCTTTTTGAACTGCTCTAGACAATCGGCTGGAGTTTGACGTCTTTCGTTTCTCGTATGATCAAAGCAGCAGTCTGGTGCCTCTCTAGGCTACGTTAGTATAGATGCGGGCTTTTGTCACAAGTTTCAGGCACGAATTCTACTCAATCTTTGGTTCTATGTAGATTGAAGTTCGACTAAGAGAAAGAACTGCAATATGAGGTCTCCTTTCAAATAATCTGATATTTAACTTGCGCAGACATGGTTCTAATAGTGACGATCAATATATATATCTGAGCTCCAGATCATTGAATTTGTCTTAGGACTACATTCAGTTCTCTGTCTTTCACCGAGCGAGGAAAGACTAAGAGTATTCTGAGTTCTCTGCTTTGATTCGCCCGAACCTTAGCGCCTTTTACTAATGATAGTATTTTTGTAAACCCAAGCCATGATCAAGTAGGTGAAAAAACTACATTAACGGAATCAAGTCCGTTAGATACAGTATTACATTTCTGATTGGAAATCAATTCGATGTTTCTATTGTATATAAAAACCCCTAGTTCCCTCGAGATGAAGATAAGAACAATTTGTCTTTCGTTAGAACCTAACTGTTGGTTTAGCTACGTCCCGTATCACGAAGCGTAGGATATCGTAAGCTAGGGCGATCCAACTGCCCTACGTGGTGAGCCTTGCTATATAGCACGAAATGTAATATTATAAAAGACTGACCCCCGAAACTAGGGGGGGCCGGGGTGCCTGGATACATTATA